TCTCTCTCTCTCTCTCTCTCTCTCTCTCTCGGGGTGCTCTTTTCTGCTCTTCGACATGAAACTTCCTTTTCCTGAGCGAACATCAATCATTCAAAGAAAAAGAGATTGTTGATACAAGCTCGCCCTTGGAGTTAATGAGCTCGACAAGGGCGAGATGAAAAATAAAAAAAGCTACACGGTAAAAAAAAAATTAATAATTTGCTCCCTTTTTATTAATTAATCCAGCTTAATTATACCATTTCAGTTCAAAGAAAGAAAACGAAAGTACGTTACTACTCACTCCGTCTGATTGTCCTCGAAAGTTAGACTGCCCTCGATGTGCACGTACTGTTTGCCAGGTTTTGCGGTGCCCTCCACCGTGCGATAAGGGATGACGACGCGTCCTCGGGCCCCGCTGTAACGCACCACGCGCAGGGGATACTGACCCACGCTCTCCACCAGTTCCACATCTCTCTCGGGAAAGCCGAAGATGCCGCTGTGATCGTCGTCCAGGATCATCACCGTTGCCAGACTCGGCGAGACGAGCATCGCCGGTTGCGACACGTTGCTGAGTCTAAAAACGTCAGAAAAATATGATATTGACAATATATTATTTCATTATATCACAAAAAACCGAATCGATAAAAAAAGAAATGCACTACAGTCCGGCGCAAAATGCGACAGAACTAAAGTTACACGATGGCTTCAGTGCGTATGTAAATACGTCACAAAAGTGACATTTTTAAATTTCTTTCGTATCTATAAGCTTTTCAGAATGAAAGGTCAGTATCCCTCCTGATCTATAGTCGCGATAAGTGACCGGTCGTAGTTCCGGGAAGTGAACTTGTTTATAATCCAACAACTCTGTGTCCCCACGGTCGCTCGCGATGTTCGCGAGCAAGTGCGAGGCGACAACTATGTTGAGTACGCGAGCGTGATAAAACCGTTTTCGTATTGAATTGCCTCGAGACACTCGCTCGTAAACACAACAGAAATTCGAATTCGCGTGATAGCAACGCGATAAGGTTTGCGGCAACAGAATCCTTTGGAACTTTTTGTCACTATAAATCCGAGAGAAACAGAGTAATACAAATTAATAGAAATAACATTCATATACAATATCACATATTCATTTTAACTTTAAGTAATAAATATTTTGATATTTTTTAAAAAACAAATGTGTACTATAAATAATTTTTTTGAAGTCTTCGTCGTCTTTCAATTCGATGAGCGCTTTTGACCGAGCGTCCTGTAATCTGAAAGTCAAATCTCTCTCCCATTCTCTCCCTCTTTTCTTTACTTTTCATGTAAAAATGTTATTCCGCAGAATACTTTAATCAGATATATATTTATACGCAGATAGGCTGATCTGTAATTTCAATCTTGAATATTTGTCATTCAAAGAGAATTTTTATCCTCGAAACTTCTGATTCGTTGATTTTCTTTGATGTCTTTTCACAAGAAGATCTCATTGTATCCCTTCGGTTTTTTTATGTTTATTACGACTTTTATTATATTTTTATTTTACGTGAGCCTATACGTAGCGCAAATAAGAGAGAGGAAGAGAGATTTCGGTCCTCACACGAGATCGCGTGCGCAAGTTCTCTCTATGTGTCACTTGTACAAGGCGATGTTAAAATAATTCACGCGCACACGCGAGACACACCGCGAAAGCTATGAATAAAAACCAATGATGTTTAAATTCACGAATCGTGCGACGCGCGTGTAAAGAAGTAATACAGATCTCTCTCCTCGACCTACATCGTCGGCACAAATCGGTGCAAAACTTTATTATAAATAATCGACGCAGAAATGTAACAATGTAACTACTAACCGGGAACGGGAAGGAAAATTAACATCCGCGTGTGCACATTATTATTTTTGTGGATTTCCCTCCGGTCGAATTATCAAATGCGTTTATCTGAGAGCGTGAACACTCAACTTTTAAACGTTATAAACCGCGTGCGGTTTCCGCGCACGACCTCACGATGTAATCTGCGACATGCGAGGCGCAAACTATATAGCAAAAAATAATACGCGAAATATCAGGTCATCTGTGACCGAATCAACACGAGCCCCGTAATTTCCGATCATGGCGTGAAATAAAAAAAAAATCTATTCGTTCTATATTTGCGTTCTTTTTTTTTTTCTTCGCGTTATTTTACCGCATTTCCATGCCGCCGCGAGACGTGTTACGTCGATTTTTCGCGGGAGTTTCTAAAGAAGAGGAAGACTCTCTCGAGAAGACCGAGCGGCAAAAGAGAAAAAGAAACACAGAGATAAACTCTATATGTATGTACGTATTGAAAAACATAATAACGCGGTTGAAGCGAGCGAAACTTCAAAGCCGTGACGCGTGTAGTGTCACTTCTGTCGTGTCCTTTGCCACCAGAGTATGTGTTTTTTTTTGTGACGCAACAAGACACGGCTCCATCGTAATGTCGTCCCACATAAGTAGAGGCTATACTAATTATACTCGTTTTCACGTGACGTCATCCATTCAATTTTAGCGCGATCGCGATATTTATCCGAAGAAGAGGAAAGTAAAAACACTTTCAGCGACAGAGCGGAAAGATATGAAATTAAACGTTAAAATATAATTCTACAATTACGTACGATGGCAATCGACACCTCACATTTTTTTTCAAATTATCGATTACCTTGTTTTCAAATGCGCGTGCATCTCAGACATTTTTCCGACTTGTGCGGCGTACAAAGGGCGTCGTTAAGTGCGTCAGTTGCATGAAGAAAAACGGCCACGCTAATTGCTCCTAAAGTCCTTGATTAAATTGACGAGCGGCTTATCCACTGATCAAATTGCGGATGCTACTTGTTCGAATTCAATTGAATAATTGCCTCTTTCGCTGTTTAAATCGATGATCTGTGATCGCGGTGCACGTACGATGCGGCACAGATGCACTTTAAGAACCACGCCTCTTTCTGGCGAAATCGAAGCGCGATCGCGCTTTTTTAATAACGTAAACTCTATCTCAACGTCGGAAGTTCAATTACGTTCGAACAATTATGCGTAATCATCTATAGGAACTACTAGTCACTGAGCACGATAATTATATGAGACGTCCCGTCGCAGTTGCTAATATATATTTACACGTACAAGGAAATATGAACTTCTGACGATATTAAAACGTGACAAACAGTTTTGAGTTTTCGATCGATTAAACAAACGACAAAAAAAAAACGATTTCAGCTTTCGGTTTAAAAATTATTTTTTTTTTATCGAACAGTTCGTGTCGTTATGAATATTTGCAAGAAACATTTTTTTGAAACGGTTTCACACAAACCTGACGTAGAAATGTTCGTCTTCTTCGAACAACTCGTCATCGATGACCGAGAGTTGGATAGTCTTCTTGGTCTCGCCAGGTTCAAAGGTCAGAGTTCCTTTGGCGCTCACGTAATCAGATCCCGCTTCCGCGGATCCGTCCTCCGTGCAATAGTCCACGCTGCAGGGCTTGCTCAGATCACCTCCCGTCCTGGTGACACCCACCTCAAAGGTACCGACGTTCTCCATCACGGTGTAGTGGCCAGGTTCGAAAAACACCCTCATGGCGTTTACGTGCTCGATGTCAATGCTCTCGGCTTCCGCTTTCTGCAGCTCAGCCTTGACCTCGCTGAGGTCGCTCTGCGCTCTTTCGCTAATCTTCCTGCTGAGATTGCCAGCGCCCACCATCTTCCGGGTGGCCTGCACTCTGTAGAAGGCCCGGCTCTTGGGACCCTTGCCCAATACCTCCTCGTGCGCCATCACCTCGAGCTGCTCCAAGGGCTGAGTGGGATACTTCTTGCGCAATTCTCTCAGAGTATTGATGTAATCACGTCGGGTCTGCTCGAACTCCCTCGCTTCGGGGGAGTCGGCGTCGGCTAAGCGGTCCACTATACCGTGGAGACCATCTTGCTGCGGCTTGATCTCCAGCTCCACCCCTATTTCGGAGTCCCCAGACTCCGCCTGCACAATCACACCGCGCTTGTTCATCCGATAGCCCTTGTGCAGATACTTGTAAATCAGCAGTCGTCGGTCGGCGATGTAAGCCGTCAATACGGTGGCCGGAAAGAACAGGAAGGTAAGTATACCCTCCCAGACCTCCAGCACACCCGGACTGGTCACCGCCAAGATGATATACAGCCACACGTAGGCGAATATGCTCCAAGTGGCTGTGACAAAGAAGACGCGGAGATGCTTGATCTTGCGGGTCTCTCCGTTCGGGATCACGAACACGCACAGAGAGATGATAACGAAGAGATTGTAGGCGGCGGAACCGACAATCGTGCCCGGACCCAGCTCGCCGGCGTTGAAGTTCTTCGCCCAAATTTCTATAATGGACAATAAAATCTCGGGCGCGCTGCTACCGAGCGCCATCAAGGTCAGATTGGCTACCGTCTCGTTCCACACTCGCACTATGATAATCTGCGGTTCCCTGCCATGACGGCGTACCGTGAGCTCCTTCTCTTTGGACGTGATCACCTCGATGGCTGCCATGAAGCGGTCGCTGATGATCGACACGCCGATGAACAGATACAGTAAGAAAAAGAAGTACACTATACCCCGGAAGATGATGTCAATTAGATGCAAATTTTCTACCGGAGACCAGATAGGTATCATTAGGCCCGGCTCGCAGCGCACCGAGTAATTCCCAGACATATTGTCCGAGCTGTATTTTGAAAACTTTCTAGTAGAACTTCTTTGCGCCTTTCTAGCGATTTATTTGTTGTCTTTTCGGGGATGAAACTCCTCCAAAAGTCTCATTTCTCATTGAGAATAACTAGAGCGGTTTTACGAGCGGTTTTATATTTTTTTTTCACATCCGTGACTCACTCTAATATTTCTACGAGAATTTTCGTCACTCTATATCTCTTTCTATATTTGTAAACGAAGACAAAAACAGCAAAAACGGGTTGTTACTGTTTTAATACTCGAGGAAAACAACCGAAGCTTAACACTCACTGTTATCTTTTTTTTTCTTTATACTTTTATTATAATTTTCTTTTTTTCTCTTCACAAATGTTTCTTTCTACCATACTGAGAGAGAGAGAGAGAGAGAGAAAGAGAGAAAGAGAGAGAGAGACACTGAATAAAAAAAACTTAAGTTTTAATATCGAACGTGAAAATTCTGATAAATTCGATTCGATCTTTCCCGCGCGATATAAATGTGCTGCTTCTTTTTGCTGTCAAGGGGATGATGATGATGTATCGGTAACTCCACCAACAAACACAACCATATCAGCAAACTGCAATGTTTGATCAACACGAAGCTGACGTTTCTCTAGTCTCCTTACTGATTAACTTAATATTCTTATTAAGATCTTCGACATTGTTCTCTCATCGGACAGTCTCCAACGAATTTTTCTTTGTCTGTCTCTTCGTCCTGATCGTGTTCTCGCACTCACGCACGTTCTCTCACCCCGCTGAACTCGCTTTCCTCACACACACCTGCTCTCATCGGAAAGACACTAACTGGAACCGCGCGATCCACCCCAAGGAAGGTAACATCGGCGCTGGGAACCGGCTACCGAGGGAACCTACCGATACCACCGCGGCGGCGAGTTCCCATCACGAAGCGGACCCTTCTACACCAACGGGGTAGATAGAACCGTACCGGGCCGCGTTCGAACGAACACTGAAAGAGGAGAGAGAGAAAGAGAGGAAGCTAGAGGAGAGAGCAGCCAGACCGAGTGGGGAGTGGTGTCTCGAGCTAGCCAGACGCGGCCACCCTATCCCCTTACTTCCCCCCAACTCGCCCTTTAGCCTTCTCTCGTCTCGCTTTAGCCTCATCCTCGTCGGCTGCAACACGCCCGCGATATTCCCATCCTCGTTTACTACATCATGCCGACAGTATCGCCGACCTCGTCGTCAGCGGTATCTTCGTCTCTGTCCGTCTCGCAGCGTACTGTCTCTATTCTTGTCGACTTTACAGTACCGGCGGTATCTCCGTCTCTATTTCACTTCATCGCGTCGATGATGCCTTCATCCTTGTCTATTTTACCCGCGCGCTAACGGCACCACCACCCTCGCCGCGATTATATATATATATACGTATATATATATGTATATATATATTTTTGTTCTCGTCCGCTCCTACGTGCCGGCAGGTATGTTCATCTCTGTCGACTTTACTGCACCGACGCAACGTAACCCTGAGCTCGTTCGGCGTGGCGAGGCACCTCCGTCTTCATCGCGTTTCGCGAAGAAACGCCGCCGCCTTCCGCGTGTTTGCGCGCGTCCCTCTGTTTCGCTCTTTGTCACGCTTTACCACGCAGCCAGTAACTTGGTATTCGTTGCTTGTGCAAAGTGTCCGGAACGCTTTTTCTGTCTAACAACCCTACTTTCTCTCTCCCCCTGTCTCTTTCTATCTGACGCTTTTTTCTCTAATGTCCCCCTCCGTATTTATATCTTTGTCCTTATCGAACCCTCGCGCGCCACTTTACCCTCTTTTTTTTCGCGCTATCTTTAACGTTCTTTTTTTTTTTTTTTTTTTTTTTTTTTTTTTTTTTTTTAAGTAAGGGTAGCAGCCACGAGTAGTTTCACAATTCTCGCGTCCGAGTCTCGTAATACGATTAAACGTTACAATTCGCAGTTTACTTGTGACGAAACAATTCCGGAAAGAAATTATTTTTCGAAGGAAACTCCTTTCTGCTTTAATCCGGAAATTTGATGGCATTACTCGTAGTGCAGATTTTGTATAGATAATCTAACGGATTATCGTTATTCTTCCGTGAATTTACCCTCGCTATTCCTGTTCATCATCTTTCTTGTTTTTTGGATCCTTTCTGTCTCTCTTCGAAACTGTTCTTTGCTCATTCTCACGTTTTCCGCCCTTGTTACAGCGTTATCTCGTTCAACCCCCATCCACGCCTCCAAATCCAGGGACGTACGCACGGGAACACGGTCCGACTTATTCAAAACCACGTTCTTGCAAAACGTACATATTATTGCACGAATTACTACTAATAGTTTTTAGATACTTTTAATATTTTTACGTACAATTAATTAAACAAGTCTTATGTAACATACAAAAATGATACCATCGAAAAATTAAAGAGTTAACACAACACAATATTGAAACTTAATCATCTCTTTTGCGAAAGGAATCGCTCGTGTCGCTCTTTTATGAAATTCCTATATGTGCCGTTGCTCTGAACTCGATCCTCGTCACGCTATAATGTCCACCCTCTTTCCGTTCTTGTTGCGCTGCATCATCCCCTTCTCGTATCGCCGTTTTTGTGTGCTGCTCGAATGCGCCTGCGCATCATCCGTTTTACACACGTAACCGATATGCTGAGGGGTGCAAACGTATCTGCGTCGACATCTTGCGTCTAATCGCCTCAGTTACTAATAACGCGTCTAAACACAATTGTTTATTCCTCGTGAGTCACTTTAAAACTCAATTTCAAAAATTATTACATTACAAAACAAAAATATTACAAAAATCAATCAATTATATAAATCCTGAATCAGTTATCTTTAATCAATAGGCAATATAATGGGTGAAAATTAAAAAAATATATGCTGTGTGTATAAAATCCAGTTTTGTGTTGATATCAATAAATTTCTAAAAAATACGTTTATTTCAAAAATATATATAAGCGATATAAATGTATACAGTTACAGTTAGTACGTATTTAACATATAACGCAGTTTAGAGGAAAACAATATGTATTATATTTAAAAATTTGCGCATTTAAAGTAATAAAACTAGACACTCTACTAAAGCAAACAAAGTAGTTATTTGACTACTTAAAAAGCGCAACTGCAAGCGATTATTGTCAAAAAATCGTGTTAACGAATGTATCATTATAAAAATATAAAATTGTTATTCGCAAACACGTGCACTTTATATGTGCGGTGATAAACGATAAAGTTAATACTGTACAAGAAAAAGCAGAAGAAGAAGTGTTAAAAAAAACCTAACAAAATTATAAAATTGATACAATTAACTGATGTCATTATCCTCCATATCTCTTATTGTTTTGCAATATACTGTTCAATTTGAAATAGTAAAAAACTGTTGTTGAAAAAAGTACAAGATAAAGTTTAACTAAGAAACAATCAAAACTTCAGAAATATATAGTTGTGTTAGCGAAAGTATGTTCTGTGTTTTTAAGTTATAAAAAACAAAACTATAGTTGTATAATAATAATCATATATAATTTATAACACTCTTCTGCTTTATAGTGTAGTCTTACTATTAGTTTTCTTACATTCTCGTTTTTACACCCACTCGTTGCTTTGTTCATTCTCTTCATCACTGTAGTCGGTTATCGGTTCTATCGGTAATATTATATCCGGTTTCTCTTGCATATTTCTCACATGGAATGTCAATTGCGACGGAAGATTCTTCATATGCTTTACGTTTAATGTTAGTATAGGGTTTTCGTCAATATAAACATGTTGTAGAAATGTGAGACCATTTAGCGATATGTCAGCTAGAGTGTTAAAGTTATTTTGTTCAAGATGCAACTCCTGCAAACCATTAGAAGAATTATAATTACGATAATTATAGTCATTATAAGTTACATGTGACCACGACGTCGGAAGTTCCTTCAAGTGGTTTTTAGAAAGATCGAGATACTTTAGGCTAGTGAGATAAAAAAAAGCCCCGGTCTCAATAGTAGTCATATTGTTATTTGATAAAAACAAATTTTCCAGTTGCATGGAGCATTTGAAACTGTTAGAGCGAACCGCGCCAATACGATTTCCAGCCAAGTTCAAAATTTTTAACTGTGTCATGGAACACACGTTTGGTACAGCAGTAAGGATATTATTAGCCAAGGAGAGATTGATTAAGCGTAACATGTTACTGAAAGTGTCATTGTCCAAATTGACAATCTTATTGTTTGATAAGTCCAAATTTTGTAGACGTCCCGTGTTTCTGAATGCATCGGGTGACACTTCCGAAATTACGTTTTCTGATAGAATCAACTTCCGCATATTAGTAGCGCTTTTCAAGGATATGGATTCCCCTGAACATTCCAAGCACACTTTGGTAATAATATTGTTGTTCATAACGAGCTCTTGTAGATATCTGAAATTGTAAAAAATCTATCTGAATTAAGAGATAAATAAGATTATATAATAGCAACAATAATTAATACGACAACAGTAATAATCAATGCTAAAAAACAGTAATGATAATAAAAAAAAGGTCACAACAACATCACGAAGTGAATTATGATATGCTTTCTCGTAAATATAAAAAACAAGAGGAGAGAATTAATCGACTTAAATAATTAATTTTTATTTAATTTACAAGTATTATTACCTAAGTTTGTCGTGTTCAACTCGATCAATTGAATTCCTGTCCAGATAAAGATGAGTCAACGTCCATGGAATGTTGTCAAAGACAACTTTGGAAGTAATGTTGTTGTTGCTCAGATACAAACTAGTCAATCTAGGTGTTGTTATATTGAATGGAATTTGCATATTCTCCAACTGACTATTGCTCAGATATAAATTTCTCAAGTTATGGAAAATTGCGTATTCCTTTAACTCATCTACAGTACTGTCGTCACTGTTATTGTTGATAATAAGAGTCATTAGTCTGTCGGTTCCGTTAAACGATAGTATTTTTTCCTTCGAAATTCTGTTCCCCGAAAGATTCAGATAATGAAGATTTCGCATTCTGCGAAAAGCGTATTGCGAAATATCACTTATACTATTAGTGTCGAGAATGAGGCTGATGATGTCGTCACTTTTAATAAACTCTGGACCGATTTTCTGAAGACCCATGTTAGAAAAATTAAAGGTAACTTCTTGTATGTTACCAGGTGTTGGTTTAGTTACAATACATGGAGTAACTGAAGGCGTTAATTCGTTGTTGCTTTTCACTGAGACAAAGTTAATAACTCCCGTACTTTTCCTGAAGTCGTAAGGGGTAGAAGCAGTAGTTGTAGTAGTTTTTTTCACATGTGAGATAATAAGAAGAAAAAAAATGACAAATTTGTAAGCTAACGCCATCTGAAAAAATAAAAAAACAGATATATATATACATGTAAACTATTAATACAAACATTAAGAAAATAAAAGAAATAAAAATAATAATAAAACAAAAATATAATAAATAAACTTATGTAAAAGAACAATATGAACTAACAATTAATTGATAAAGTATAAAAGCATCAATTACTTAATAAGAATTAAAACCCACACGGAACAACACATTTTATACAATTTTCATTATGTTTTTTAAATGTCACATGAAGGTTTATATAAAATGTTGTCTCTTGTGTAAAAATATAACATGCTTTTTGAAAGTTAAAAAAAGTTTATACTTAATACATATATGTATGTAGTAAAAACTTTGTATATATACTCTTGATTACCTTTTTTGATAGTTAAATAATATATATAGTAATGATAAAATAGTATAAAATAATTTAGAAAATATATAATATGTATAAAATATATATATATATATAATATGTATAATAACAGCGTATAAAATAAAAATATATGTATTACGGGAAGTAATATTTTGAGTTTAAAATAATAATAAATTCTGAAGAAAAGAATTTGTAACACTTACCATTTACGGCTTTGTTGCTCAAATTTTAATTAAACTTTTTTATACATGTAAGAACGTTGTACGATGCACTCGTTCGAATAGCCGGACACCTTTTATCGTGCGCGAACGACGAAACCCTCTTATATACTCTAGCAATGATCTTATAGGTGCCATCTTAGCAGATTCAAATAACAGTGCTGTCTGCATAACGCACTAAGTAAAATATGTATGTAATGTTATATTGTTTCTAATTAAAAATATATATTTTTGTGCTCATTCTCTTTTTCTCTTAAGTCTTGTTCTATATATTTCTGTAGTTATTTGTTATAAATAAATTCTATAGATTTATTTACATATATTCTTCTTTAATATATATGTACTATAATTTATATATTTAATCTGTATGTATATGTAATTTACATATATATTATATATTATATATGTGCAGAAAAATATATATCTTATGTATAAGAGAAAATAAAAAAATGTACAATAATTTTACTTTCATACAAGCAAGGGTGAAAAATCCGTCGTTATACTGTCCTGGCTACGAGCAAGTAAAATGATGCCCCATGAACATTTCTCAGAAGCTTCATACATTCTTATGGATAGACTTACATAGATATTGCATCACTTAACGACTAATGATATAAAATTGACATAAATAATCTAAGGTTTGTCTACATATATTTGTTAAAACATGGAAATTTGTTCCTATTAGTTTTCAATATTACACATTTTTTATCACATCTCATTTTACATATAAATGTACAATGTATAAAATATTTTAAAATATTAAATCAAAGATACATACGTATAGGTAAAACTGAAAATACTAAATGAACCATTAGCGTATACTTCCTTGAAATGATTTCTATTATACAAGCAAGAATTCTACTGAAGAATTTCTATATCAGCTTACCTACTCAGCAGATAAAAAAATTATAGCACACTGAGTATCAGTTTAATGCAGTGATTCCCAAACTTTTTTTTTATTGTGCATATAATGTGTATAGATATTTATATATAAATTATACAATTTATGTGCACATATAATATACACATATCACACATGTAAATGTATGTATATATATATATATAAGATATACATATATACACATATATGTATACATATATTACATATATTACGTATATGTGTGTACATACATAACTTATTCTATCATCAAGTAAATAAAAAACTGCATAATAATTATACATATATAAATACAAAAATATATACATATAAAATATAATATATATATAATATATATAATATATATTGTATATTTTTAGTTATACAAATATATTTAAAGTACATTTACCATAAATATAAGATAAGTATCTTTCAGAATTTACGATATTCCGTAACGTTTTTCACACCAAATTCTACCGATAATACTCGAGCTTTGAGACGAACGCTATGTTTTTCTTTTTTTTTCCATTCATTTTTATTCTGCGTGCGTCTTACGTCATCACACAAATAAAACGTAAAGATTATTGTAGCTTTTTTAACAAATATATATGAAAACTAAATTATATTTTATACTGTAATATATAATATACTAATATATATTTATACATATTTATACTATAATATATATTTATGTAATATATACGGTACTGTTATCTGGTAATAATACATTTATATCATTTGATGTTATTTCTCTTAAAGGATTATTTATCATAAATACATGTTCTAACTTCGAATCGTGAATACTTAAATCTACAATATTACTAATTTTGTTTGCATTTATATTTAAATATTTAAGATTCATTAACGAATATGTCCATTTGTTATATAAAATTTCTAACTTATTATAAGATAGATCTAAATATTTTAAATTTTGTAGTCTACTAAAAGTGTTCGCATCAATGTACGAAATTTTGTTTCCTTTTAATTCCAATTTTTCTAAACTTAGTAGATTCGCGAACACATTTTTTGGTATGATTTTAATCTTATTATAATTTAAAGATAATTCGATTAACTGATTAAAATCAATTAATTGGGGAACAGTAGTAAATTCGTTAAAATTCAACATAAAAGTTTTTAAAGAACGAGTGACTACAAAGTCAGTTAAAACGTCAATATTGTTTTTTGAAATATCCAAATGATCTAAATTTGGTGCATCTAAATAAATGTTGTTTGCTTTTGTACAATTAGTCAATGATAAAGTTTTTAAAGTGTAAGAAATAATAGTAATATTTTGTAGCGGATTTGAATCTAAATATAACGTACTAAGTGTTATTGAATTATTAAAATTAAATTCGCTTAATTTGTTGTCTTTCAAAGAAAGACAACGTAATGATTTTGGTAATTTACTATACATACTCGAGTCTACAATGTCAGCATTTACATTATTTAAATACAAGTGGCTTAAATTTGGAAAGTTCATATTAAAATCTTTATTCAAAGTGGAAATGTCATTTCCACTTAAATCGATATATCGTAAATTTTTTAATCGCATATTTGAATTATCAAATTCAATAGTTTTATAATTTGTTTGAATTGTTGGGATAGAATTTTCATCAAAAGTTTCAACATCAAATACATTTGGTAATTTTTGACTGCTTAAATTTAAGATAGAAAGAAACGCATGTTCCATTGAAAATGTTTTATAAATATTGATTTCATTTTTCGACAAATCTAAACAATTTAAATATGGTAAATTCTTTATCATATTTTCAGGTATATCCTGTAACTTATTATCTCTTAAAGATAAACTTCTAATTGATGTACTTTTTATACTATTATCTTTTATAATGGTCAAATCATAAGAAGATAAATTAATATTTTCCGACTCGTCGTTACATCGTTTTATAAAAATCTGTTCTTCCTTAAATGGTAGTCCTTCTATAAAGTTTTTTTCGTAATTGCTGTTCATATGTAAAATTCTTAAAGCTTTCGTGATAATCAAATTGTGACACAGTAAAAGCACTATTGTGCTTATAATCTGCAAACATAATAAGCAATAATGTAATGGTAAAACAATTTAAAAAAAATGTAATAGACATTTTGAACTTTAATTACTTTCTCGCGAGTTTGTATTTACTTTAAAATCGATTTTTTTACAAAACTTTTGTGGATTTTTAAATATATTTTTTATAATATATGTAAATTTTAAGCAGAGTTAATTTAAATATGGTATAATATAGAAATATGAAAACACTCTTTTATATAGAATCTTTCTGTAATAATTAATATAACAACATAAGAGTACATGGATCATGCATAGATTAATACATAAATATGTATAATTATAACATTTGCAAAAACCATATAAATAAGTTAATTTTTTATAAAATTTAGTAATATAAAAATATAGTAAAAATATATAAAGTAAAAGTATAGTAGTATAATATATACAAAGTAGAAACACAAAACTTACCATTGGTATACTTTTCATTTTTTGCACACACACAAAAATATCTTTTGAAAATATTTCTTAAAATTGCAATTTTTTATAGCTGCTTGGTAACTGAGCTCGAATCGACTCGATTTCAACTTTGAATGAAACTCGTCTAATGGAGTTTTAGTTCTGTGCGGAGTATTTATATACGTGTTTGTATATAACGCGTAATACTGATAAACAAATGTTATAACAAAATTATTAAAAAATTCATATCAGCGGATATTAGAAGAGATCAAAAGGTCAGGTGTTTATTAATTTTATCTCTATTAGGCAATAAGTCATAGTTCGACTGACAGATAATGTTCAAAAATATACATTTGCAAATAAAATATCAAGAGAGGTGCGGTAGTGCCTCGCGCCAAGTTCACGCGCAACAAAGTCGCGCTCAAACAGCGAGAGACGCTTCGTGTAATATTAAAATTTACTTGAATAAAATGTTAATAATTTGCGCGCACGTGTAATACTCGTATGTCGTTAGTGTTCGATGCAGCCGCGCCAAGTTTTTTTTGCATTAAATATTTTTTATTTTAAAATCGGTTGTATTTTCGACTTCTCACGCAAAGCAAATTCTATAAATGTATAATTCTACATAGCACTTTCTACGCAAAGTCCATTTTACATTATCGAGTATTTCAAGCGTGAAGTAGACATACATATGTATGATTTCTCAATTAGCGCTATTGTTATTATATATAATTTTTTAAATAGATTTTGCAGAGAGAAAACAATTTTGCGGAAATATATGTTATAATTTCTCTGCAGTAGTATTATAAGATGCATAATAAAACTTTATCTTTTTGTTTAGATTAATAATACTGATAATGTAATGTTTCTTTGTATTACAATATATATATAAATCTGGCAAAATACTTATTGTCTATCAAATTTAATAAATATATTTTTCAACAAGCTTTTAAAGCATCAAATACATAGTTTGTGTTTAAGTGAATTGAAGATCAAATAATATATGTACTCGCTTTTTGTGAGTAAATAATAACTTGTCTCACACATTGAGCTATTGTAGTATTATTAATTCTAACTATGCCTACACATACATATAGAAAGGTTCTAATGATCTTCTTTTTCATCGGGAAGAGGCTCTGTTTTACTGTTGTCTGCATCTTGAACTCCGATAATTGGATTCTCATAACGATGTTTTATATGTTTCCAAAGTCTCTGTGTGTGACAAAAAGTTATTACGTGCAAACCGAATTTATTTTAGAATTTCTCAATTTTTTCTATTTTATAAAACAACAATTCTTGTAAATATACAACATAAATGTGCACATGCAACAATCAGTTTTTGTACCCCGTCATTTATGGTTTCGAATATGTATAAGCAAGCTTGGTCGTAAGCTCTTTCGAAGAACATCGCACTGACCACAATACCAAGTGTAAACGTAGAACTTCGCTTGCACACGTAGCGATAAAATAAACGCGCTGCCATATCAAATGCCTTGTGTCATCAAAAATAATCACAGACTCTTGACAGTTCTATATTAAATGAAGTGAAGTGTTTTAGGATAAAATAGAAAGATCGTAAAAAATGTATTCATTTATTATGTCGTTATATGCAAAGAAAAACAGACATATTCATGAGATTTGACTAAAAATGTAATACTGTCACCATATCGCAGTTTTCAAAGTAAAGTAAGTTTTTCCAATATGTGATTTAAGATTCTAAATATGTGCACAGAAGAAACAAACAGAAAAAAATATAAGAGATAATTTTATCATTGAACTTTCTCATTAACTGTGTGTTTATTTCCTTAAATTTAAAGTGTGAGTGAGTGAGTGAGTAAGAGAGAAAGAAAAAGAAAGAGAGGGAGAGAAAATTAAGAATTAATAAAAAATACTACATGTCATCTCTCACATGTTTATCTCTCGTTTAATTAATATTAATTTTCTTCTCAACAGTATCATATAAAAACTGTAATACTTAACAAATTATATATACACACATACATATACACATATATACATATATATGTATATAAAATTAAAATCGTATAAAATGATGGCATTGAGAGACACTTTTCGATGGAAAATTATTTATACTCTCATTGTTTCTTTAAAACATGAAATGTTGATATATAAATTGTGTCGTTTTCAAAATATATAACAATTTAAATTATAAAATTTTTATCCATTTTCTTCTTCGCGATGCAAACTTCTCACAACTTTCGTAGGTTGCTGCAACACTTTTCGCGATAACCTAATCTGCCCGGATACCGGATCTCGACCAAAGTATTTGACTTTTATTTCGTGACCTATTTCAAGACCTAGAGCACTCGGATGATGAATCACGCACTGATCTAACTGAGAGTTCGGCAAAAATGTGGGCACCATGTTGGAATATAACGTTACCATAACGCCAGTTTCTCGAATTTCGACTATTTTTGCTTTATATATACCACCGAACTCTAATGTCGGCTCGCGATCTTTTTGCAGAATATTCTCGATCATTTCTTTTGCCTCAGCCATGGCACTTTCGTTCGGCGCAAAAATGTAATACGTTTCCTCATCATGTGGATTTATCTGAAAAATAAAGTAAAATCATCTTAAAAATAAAAAACTTGTATAATCCGTCAATTTACAGTAATAATCATTTATATAAATAATAAAATAACTCTTTTTAATGTAATAATATATTAAGTTTTGTTGTATGTATTTCCGCTTTTTCTCTGGAATACAATTAAAAATTTATCTTACGTGCACTCCAGTTTCCAATAGAATTTTTTTCAGATTTATCCCACCGACTCCAAGAAACTTTCCTCTTTGATGAATAGGAATTTGTATGTTCTCGACAATCGGCATTTTGTCCCTTTTAGTCGATCGCGGTTCCCGCAACACATTGTTCATAAGTTTTAAGATCTCTGACTTAGCAACTGTTGCTTGGTGTATGCACTCCATAATAATTTTTAGCGGAACTCCTGGTATCTTCACATCAGCTTGCAGAGCAGTGAACGCTCGCTTGGTACCCGCTATTTTGAAATCCATATCGCCAAGATAATCTTCGATTCCCTGAGAGTAGATAAATAAAAGTAGTAGAAAAGTTCGTCTATGTCAATCGACAAAATATTTTGAATAACCACAGTTCCTCGTTTAATTAAATTAAACTTTCAAATTACAGCAAAGCTTACCAATATGTCAGTTAATATTTTATAGTCTTCGATATCTGTTTTAGTTTCATTGTACCTAGTCACAAGACCAATAGCTACACCCGCTGCTGGCGAAGATATTGGTACACCCGCATCCATAAGTGCTAAACTCCCACCGCAAACGGTAGCCATTGAGGAAGAACCTATTTTTATTGTAATAAACATCAGAAAAACCTTTAACGCATTATAACAACATAACTTGGTTTTTGACTAAGAATTACATTGAATCAAACATCACTTTTTTACCATTTGATTCTAAAACTTCACTAGTCAGTCTTATGGCAAAGGGATAGTCCTTAGGAAGAATCGGTTGCAGGGCCTTCTCTGCCAAAGCGCCATGTCCCATCTCCCGGCGACCTATCCGACCTACCCGCCCCGTTTCGTTAGTCGCATAGGGTGGAAAATCATAATGGAGAAAGAAATTCTTCTCTTTCACACCACTGCCAAAATCAAGATTTTAGGACTAAAATAGATTTCGATGACCGAAAAAAAACAACTAATGAGAACTTAGCACAGTCATCTGTGCAAAATTGCAAATTTTTCTATTTTGCTTCCGTAATATTAATTATCTTTTAGTGCCGATATATTTTTTATAATTTTAGATTAACTTTTTTAATGTACGTATCAATAATAAAATCTTATGTAAAATTATTATTATATAGTTACTAGTGTATTTATTAAACTATCGCAAAAAACAAAACAATGTCAGCAATCAATCATATTTGTGTACTGCTAGTAATATACCTAATTAGCATTGAAACAGCATCCATTTTAAGGGCGCTTTCCAAGGAATCCAGAGTTACAGTACACATGACCTGAGTTTGACCTCTTTGAAACACAGCCGAACCGTGAAGAGGATTAAAGAGATCTACTTCACACGTTATATTGCGTAAGTCAGTCAAAGAACGACCGTCGCATCTGTATAAATCATTGATTGTTACTTAAATAATTATTTATAATGTAACACACATTTGCAATACTATTTTATACATATATATATATAGGGTATGTATTTTTTTTTAGATACCTAATTTCTTTCTCTAAAATCAGTTGCCTAAAGATATCTTTACTAATTGTCCCGAAGATTTTTTCTACTAATGTAATGTTCAAATTTGCGTTATCATTTTTCAACGTTTCAATAACATTATTTCTAACATCAGAAACAGCATTATCTCTGGAAATTTTGTCATGCGTGTGATCTAAAAATATTTCTCGCAATTTCGTCTCCGCGAGTTCTTTCACGGAACTAATCAGACTTTCGTCATTGTCTTGCTCGTTGATTTCGATTTTTCTTTTTGGTTTTCCATACATCTTTTGCAAATTTGTTATTGAGGCTACGATGGTCTGGCATTCTTTCACACCGAGCTTTATCGCTTTCTTGAGATCTTGCTCCAATATATCATTTGCCGAACCCTCTATCATGACAATTAAGTTGTGCTTGGTCGCGGTGATAATCATATTTAATATACTATCTTGTATTTGACGTCTTGTGGGATTGATTATAATATCGTTATCGATCATTCCTACTCTGACAGCGCCCACAGGACCGTCCCACGGAATATCGGAAACGCTAAGAGCTGTAGAAGCACCATTAATGGCTATCACATCGGGATCGTTCATATTGTCCACAGCTAACATGTTGCACATCACGTGTGTATCAAAATAAAATCCTTCTGGAAATAAAGGTCTTATTGACCGATCGATTACTCTACTTGTGAGAATTTCGCGTTCAGTCGGTCCAAGCTCCCTTCGTAGGAAATTGGTCGGGATACGACCAGCTGCTGCTGCTTTTTGTCTATAGTCCACAACGAGCGGAAGAAACGAGGAATTGGATGACGACTGATGTTTGCTGACCGCTGTGACCATGACAGAAGTGTCACCCAGAGATACAACAGCACTACCATCAGCAAAACGTGCATATTTTCCTGTAGATAAGATGAGCTGCTTGCTAGACATAGAAACATACGTATCAATCACTAAGAAGCATATAAATTTATATAAATTATTAATGTTTCTTTGATATTTGTAGAAATAATTTATTTAAAAATGCTTTTTGAAACATAAACAAGATTGCATCATTTCTTGTATTTGCTCTTGATTTTAGAAAAAAAAAAACTGTCCCCACCCTTGAGCAATCTTCAAATTACTATATATCTTCAAAAAAACCAACAAAAAAATAAAGCCCGGCATAAAAACGTGAATTTTAATAAAATCTATCAAGTATCGCATTCATAATATTTGAAATCTAATCAACAAATTTTTGAAAAGTACAGGTTAGGGTACAAAACGTGGCCACCAATCTTACCCATCGGATAACGTGGCGATTTCTTTGCCCGCATTTGTGCTAAACCTCACGTAAAATACGTTCTCATTTTTATACAAAGATTTGCAAGCTAAAAACACTGGCTTACGAAATCTCGATAACCTTGAACTTGTGAACACTATCATTTTTGGTCATTACAAAAATCAGTGACCAATTCGGGTATAGAGAAAACTTGAACTTGATCGCTTAGCGAAGACTCAAACTTATTCTCGAGAAGAAACCATTTTAGCGAAGACCGATAAGCTACGTTGGCCGATTTAGCAGAGAATGAAACCAATGTGTGCGAAGAGCACGATATAGAAATATACGAGTCGGGTTTGTTATATATATACGGCGTGTATATACATACATATATAATATGTCAATGTGGTCAACGTGTTAGGCAAAGAGAGAACGACTATATAATTTATAGTTTCTCTCGGCTCAAGTCGGATGATTCGCTCTCGAAAGTCGTCGTTTCATTTCGAGTATGTAAACGAGCAGGAGAGAGACTGATTACGCTTTCATCGCTTCGTTTCTTTTCTCGCGATCAGCGCGCCCGATCGTTAATTGCCGCGCGGGAGGGCTCCTCGCGTTATAATTCACTTTTACTCGGCACAATACGCGACCGTTCTTGTTAAGAAAGAAAGTCCCCCTCCTTCCGAATTCGAACACAATCCTGCGAAAACTTCGTTTTTTTTTTTTTTTTTTTTAACGGAGCCAAGCTGGAGAAAGTTCTCACCTTCTCCCTTTTTATCTGATTCGCTTCGCGGATTTTTTGCCGCGCGGCTCTCGACGTGTTGCGAGGATTTCTTTCGTTCGATTTCCACTCTCGAGCCTCTGCGAGATGGAAATTTCGCTTGTTCACTGACGATTCGGTCGTCAACTTGTTTTTTTTTTTCTTTTTTTCTTCCAAGGACCCGATACGCAGGAATCAATTCACGAAGAGTCGCACAAACTTATTTCTGAGAACGATCCAAATGCAAAGTTTCCGTACTAGATTACGATCGTCAGATTTCTAAGATTTATCAGCTTACTCGCGCGTAAACGGAAACCCGAAGATGATGGCTTTCATCTGTCTGAGAATCGCGTCAGTATGTCGCTTCATTAAATCGCTATGGTGATTCTAAACGTGCTTTACGTTCCTCAGCATCTGCTGGACCACATTATTGCTCGTTACTCCCCTCCGCTATTTCTACGATCACTTTCTTCGAGATCGCTTCGGAGGATCCACTCGTTGAGTCGCGCTAATCCTACTCCTCGAGGATCGATCGGCGTCGCCGAGACCAGTCGGGCTATGCGGATCCATGTATCGTGGTGATCCAGCACGGGTACGCTCTTGATCACGCTGGCGATGTGCCGTCTTCGCGGCGATCTGATTGTCCTTTTAGTGATCGTCTTGGCGGATGTTCAACACGCCATGATGAGAATTGCCCGTGAGAATCACTTCAGTAAGTAACTTCTCGGCGTCGCAAGTTTCACCTGGACAATTTCATCTTCAAATTTTTTCTACTTTTTTCTCGACAATCTCGTTTTGTTCTTTCGATGTGCAAAATTTGAAAATATCGAACGCGCACGAGTAATGTGTTTTTCGCGACTTGAAAGTTTTTATTTTCGGAATTGCCGGCTATATATATTAGTTTTCGATTGTTAACACTTAAATGTGTCTCGGATTTTAAATAGATGCGATTTTCGTAATACGCGATCGGCGTAAGAAGACATTAAACAAAGCGGCTTTGGACTAACAGAGTGCGGATGTCCGGCAGCGTCGCAGAGACAGCCGCGATCGATCGTCGTCTCGCCGTCGAGCGTCCGGATGCTGAAGGACGGTGTCTCATCCTCGACCATTAGCACTACCGGTCGTATTTTCAACGGCAAGCCCAGCAGACGAGGATCCTGGCCCTGGCAGGTGTCTCTTCAGCTGCTGCATCCGAAACTCGGTTTTATCGGCCACTGGTGCGGGGGTGTGTTAATCGATCCGAGATGGGTGATCACCGCCGCTCACTGCATTCACAAGTGAGTCCGACTTTTTTACGCAAAAAATTTTTACGCGACGCGCGCGAACTTTGCAATCAAACTCTCGCAATTCTTCTTTTACATCAAGCGAACTGTTTAATCTGCCGATCGGTGTATTGTGGACGGCTGTGGTTGGCGAGTGGGAAATGGACTCTGGCGGACGCGGATCTGCCCGGTTGCCCGTTGAAAAAGTGATTCTTCACGAGAGATTCAATAATTACATTCACGATATCGGTGAGCTTCTGAAATATGTATACGTACATTTTTCGTCATCAGAGAGAAAATAATATTCTATAATATGTGGACATAATTCTGTCAATTTCGATATAAAAACCCCGTGTCTGCTAATTCACTTTTAATCTCAAGTGTCCAAAGGAATTTTTGTCGTTTCAGCTTTAATGAAGCTTGCCAGACCGGCGCCGTTGTCCAAAGTCGTTCGCACCATCTGTCTGCCCGATGCCAGGGAAGATCTCGGCGAAAGGAAATGTATGGCATCCGGCTGGGGACGATACGGCCCCTCGCCTTCTCTCTCGACCGCCCTTCTGGAGGCCAGCGTTCCTCTTCTAGATCTGGAGGACTGTTTACAAGCTTACGGCACTTCGGTGCCCATAAAGAACGGGCACCTCTGCGCCGGTCACACCGACGGTTCCTCCGGAAGTTGCGTGGTAATCGTCTCATTTTTCTCGCACTTCTTTCTCAAAAACAGTTTATTAGTTTTCAAACTCGGTATGTGAAACTCTTCGAGTGTGAAATTTTTTCGATTCGAAGTGCGAGCGTGTGTTGGTTGCGAATCGGTTATATATCGACTGCAAAACGCACAACGTCCGCGAACACGTTTTATCATCTGAAAGCGTCAATCATTTCGCTCTTAATTATACCGTTTGCGTACACTTTCTCGCAGTAAAATCGATCGCGTCATCACAGAAGTGATAATCGCTCGGAAATTTGCATATTTAAAGATTCACCTTCAAAATAAAACACTTTCAAATTATAATAAGCGTAAGCAGATTTTGAAGGTCATTTTCAAAAAAAAAGTAACGGTGTTAAAAAAGCTACTTTCGGAACAAAAATGTCGAAATTCGACTTTTACGATCCGCAGGGCGACTCCGGGGGTCCTTTGCAATGTCGTCGCGCCGACGGCGTCTGGCAGCTGGTCGGCGTCACATCCTTCGGCTCCGGTTGCGCCAGGCCGGGCTATCCGGACGTGTACACCAGGATACAGCACTATCTGAACTGGATCAATAAGACCATCGACGCCAATAACGACGACGAGAAGTGGTAAAATTCATTCGTGTAAAAATATCGATACTGTAATATATTATTGTACAGCGCTAACGTATAGCTTTTGTATATAATGTATTTTATATGCGTTTATTGTACAGTGTGCTTGCGTTTATAAAGAAGAGAATAAAAATTATTTATGTTTTATCACATATACGTACATCACACACCTTACATCAATGTTTAAAAATTTTTCTATCATATTCCCGCGTGATTAAAAAAAAGCTGTAAATTATTTAACTTTGGTTATCTTACTTCATTTATTTTAACGAAATCATAATGTGCGTTTGTTTATATCCACAAGTAGGGATCTAATAGAAAATACTCTTGTGTGCGCGCATTTGTTAAAATAATACTCTTACATCGCGTTTCTTATAAACATTTTCTGTACATTTGTCTTATTTATATAATATATAGGTCACGCACGTTGAAACTCCGACATTATAGATAATAAACGGACGATAGAAAGCAGAGGAAATTGGAAGTGGCGTGTAAACTCTTCTTGCAACAGAATTCGCTCGCGATGATAATCGCTGTGCGTACATATGTGTGTGTGTCTATTTGCATACTATAATTATACAGCTATTCGCGTAAATGAATCTCGAATCGAATAGAAACATCTTGATCGAATTACAAACCGGATGATGTGAGTTTTCTGTGTGTGTTGTGTGAAGATGATTTTCTTGCGAAAATATTCTCCTTTCCGGAATATTAGCCGTCGCGCGGACAGCTAAAACTTTCACAGATTGCTCATTCAGCCGGAAAAGACGAGAGATGCGATCTTGTTTTAAAATCACGTAAATTACGTCGGGGAGAGAAAGAACATGAATTTCTCTATTTATCGCTCGAAATTCACATCGGGCTTAAAAACTTAACAAAGTAAATCGACTCGATGATCGCGCGAAAATTGATGAGCGTCGAGACGATATTTCGAGAATTGAAATCCGAAACGCAATCCGAATTTGCGTTTGATTGATATTTTCTGAATTGATTGAAATAAAAATTTATTATTGAGAGAATTATATTATCTCTTCCCGAAATAATATCGAAGTTCAGAACTGCTGCGACGCGACGTGGTTTAATAATACAAAGCGTGTGTGGAAGCGGACGATGAGAAGTTGGAGAATATTGATTCGCGGAAGACACACGCGACATACCGTGAGAACACATTCGATTACGGAAGGGGAAACCGTAATTAACCTTAATTATTAATTGCAGATGTACGGAGAGCACTACTGCGTAGGTCGGTGCGAGTCTCATTTGTCTGCTGTTAAACGGAAGACGAAACGCACAATCCGAAACTCATTATTAGAGAGAAGATTGTGTACATTTTACATGATACAAAGTGTAATCCTGCGAAGATACGTACAATTTTCAATATCGCGCAATATATATTTTCGATTAATATTAAAAAAAAAAAAACATGCAATTTCAACAAGCAATTTCCGTACGTTCTGCGCGTAATTTTCATCAAAGTTCCAACCGAGGCGCACGCCGAACAAAATCTTAAGATGGAAAGTAAAATTCTTGTTTCTTTTTTTTTAAACTATACGAACCTTTATTCCTCGACGGATCTCGTTTCTTCGGGACTCGAGTGCTTTCGATTTGGAATACAATACGAAGGTTTGTTTGATAGGACGCGCGTTTTGCATCCGACGTTACGCAACACTGGCTCTCGCAAGAATCCATGATCATCCTTATTTAAATGCAGATATCCTCGGCATCGGTTTCTCTCGCGCAAAGTGTTTTTCTTTCTAACTTTCAGAATACATCTTTCTCTGTTCTCATGCATTTCTATTTGCTCCGGCAAACACAATGACGACAAACCTCCACACCTCCTCCGCGTGTCGTCCGGTGAGAAATGTCAACCGGTTGCGCACGGTCTTTTTCTGTTTCGCTAAAATCAAACAGAATTGAATCAATAAAATATCATGTGTATAAATAAAAAGAAACAATTCAACGGTATATAAAATTAATAACTTTGCAACACAAAAACTTCAATGATTATAAATTGAATCACATTAATTTTCAAATGCGTTTGATTAGGAAAAAAAAAAAGAATTCAACCATCTCTCTTATTAAACGTATGAAACGTATATTGCGACGCGTGTCTCATTTCATATCGTATCTAATTGCAACGATTGCTAATTATAATTAATATCCGACATGCGTGACAATTGAGACGGAGCATATCTTCGCGTCCTACGCGCGTCACATTTACACATTAATTTTGTTATACATATGTAATTGCTGTGATATCGCTAATACATACCTGACCCGCGCGCGTTCTCGATCGTCGTCGTCGTCGTCGTCGTCGTCGTCGCGCGCGCGCATTTCCCACCGCATTTTTTTCCCGTCAAAAACAGCTTCTCCGTCATATTTTAGGCTCGGATCGATCTTCGCGCGTAATCAGTAACACACTTTCATCGCGAGGAAGAAAGTGAACGAGAAATCTGTTCGGAGGGGACGACGGAGGAATAGAAAAAAAAAAAAAAAAAAAAAAAAAGAAGAAGATGCAATGAGCGCGTTGTTTCCGACCGGGCGCAGATGGCGCCATTTTCGCCGACCGCGACTTTTGCCGTTCGTTTCTTTCGCCGATCATCGAGCGGCGATCGATACATTAATCGCGACATTACCGAACGCGATACTCGGTTACGATCTTCGTTAATGCGTTCGCATTGGAAAAAACGATCGTCACTTTGTTCGTGTGCATTTTGAAATCGGAGTTCTGAATTTATTTTTTACTCCGCGTGTTTTCTCTTTCTTGTTTTTTTTTTTTTTTTTTTTTTTTTTAAATTGAAATAGATTTATTACGCGAACGAGAGAAATGCGGAAACCTCGGTGCGGAAAAATACAAAAAAACTTACCGCGAAAGAGAGAATCTCATGTCGATCTTGTTTTTTCAGTTGAACGCGGGACCGCACACACACACACACACACACACACGCACGCTCATGCGCGACAACGTATCGCGTTTCTGTCGGCGGCGACGCGGCGACGCGTCGTCGGGAGAAGGGTAGGGATTAGGGAAGCGAAACACGGAATCTCTCTCACTTTAAAATGGCCGCTTCTGGCGTGGCGCGTGCATCATGAAGAAGCGTTGCGTTCCGCCCGCGTTGTCGTTCGGCGTAATCGTGCGAGTTCCGCTTACGTGAGAAAGTTCTCTCGACGAGAGAACGCGCGCGCGTCGGGAAGTTTCTCGTTCAACGCGATCTTTTCCGCGCGTTTGTCCGAAAATCGGGTGCGAGCTAAAAACCGAAACAATTTGGCGGAAACAAAAAAAAAAAAAAAGAATGTTTGTAATCCGAGCCCTTGGCGTCCGCGAGAGAGCCATCGAGTGACGCTTCCATGACGATCCGGTGCAACGATATAAATCATCTTGCTTTCGTTTTCTTTTCGAAGATCTCGTTCTTGATGAATTCGAGTCGATTTAATTAGAGTCGTACGGAGTCGATTCCGCACGTGTTTTCCTTGCGGTTGTGTGACTCGTTGACGAGACACGAGAGAGAGAGAGAGAAAGAGACATCGAGAGCCAAGTGACTTCTTCTTCTTCGTCTCACCGACACTCCTATACAAAAGTGAGATTTCGGTAATGTCGCCCTCGTGTGTGTACCCTCGCGTATGCATTTTCGCGTTTTATTTCTCGCTTAGATCAAACGCGTGATTTTGTTTCGCAAGAGAGAGATCGGGTCGATTTCGCGAATCATCCGCTCGGTGACATCCTCCGTTTCTATGACGCTTCCTCTGTTGTTGTCTCCACAACAAAAGATCGAAAGTGGGTTTTTTTTTTTTTGGAGGGGAAAGTTCAACTTTTTTGACTTGTACGGACGCGGGAGAGAGAGACAGCAAACAGACGCATTCCATTGTCTTGTACACACGTACAGAAATAATTCTCGCTTTACCGAAATCGAAATCTCTCTGGATATTGCAACCGGTTTGGAATTCTTGGCTATGCTATTTCGGTTTTCCCCTTTTTTTTTGTTTTCAACTCGGAAATGATGCGTCAGTGATACGCGTGAATAGACGACCTTCCATCGATCGCGGTTTATGCGAAACCCTCCCGAAAGTTACGATACGTATAGGGTGTCACGTACGAAACGCGTTCACCTGATACATAATTTTTTTTTTCTTTTTTGTTGAAAATTACAAAATCATAATTGTGCTGTATTTGTAACTTTAATAACATCCATACAAATTTATTTGGACTGTTCAAATTACATAAATCATTGTTTACACATGTCACATTTATTATTTTACTAATTTTTTAAATTAAAAGTTTTTGTTTTTTATTTTATATTCTAAATTTAAATAAACAACGTAAATTTAGAATATAAAATATAAAAAATGTAGTTACACAAAAATATTAACATTGTAAATAATGTAAATAATTTGTATCAAGAGATATTTAAAAAAAAAATCTAATTTAAAAATTAGAGTTCTCTATGTGTGTTAATGATATAAATATGTGTGTACAGATATTGCGCTAATAAATATAATCTTCCTGAAAACTCCACTATCTGCAACTTCAAGATGAGCAGAAGTAACGAAAGCAGTGTATCGCTGGCAACTCCGCCAGCAATCCATGTTGGGCCCATTGTCACACCCGGGTCTCACGAGACCATCTCCATCGTGATACCATTGGCGGCACAGGTGACTACAATGGCAACCCAGAAAGTAGAAACGAAAAACTGTAACGACTGTCCCAAAAATGTCAAGCCATCGGTTGCTACCAATCGTACTCGAAGGTATGAAACAATGTTTCTAGTTTTTTTTTTCTAGGTTCTCAAGTGCAACATTAAATTACAACAACGTTCTAATGACTTTAAAAAAAACTCTATTTTTTTTAGTCCAAGAAACGACAGAACAAAAGGTTGCCCATTTCCTACGTGCGCGCGATACGGACGAGCGTTCTCCAGAGCGCACGATCTGAAGCGACACATAGCTCGGCACGAGATGCGCAAGAAATTGCAACAGGCCAATCAACAAAAGATCGACGTGGAAAACAGTGCAAGCGACGCGACATTGCAAGGCAATCTTCTGCGCGGAGCGGAGGTAAAGAGCGAATTTTCCTGCCCGCAATGTAAGAAGAGATATGACGACGAGGAAAAGCTCAAGACTCATTTAGAGTCACATAACAAGGTATGATATGTTTGCTTTAAATATTTCTCTTAAGAATTTTTTAAAATATTTGCATCGTTTTTTATTATATTGTTTTTTTTTTTTTTTTCAGAAATCACCAAAGAAAAACAACGAGGAACATACCAAAAACCTGCAGCAGCACAATCAAGTGGACAAGTCAAAGGAAACTGCGGACGATGACTTTTTACTCGAGGAGATGCTACTGCTAAAGAAGGATCCTCGAAAAACAAACAAAAGCGATTCAAAAATCAGATGCGACTACTGCTCGAAGATCTTCAAATCCAAGTGGACTCTGAGCTCGCACGTGGCGGCTCACGAAGGCCGTTTTCAATTCGATTGCGGTCAGTGCGGCAAGAAGTTCGTCAGGAAGAGCCACTATGAGGGTCACGTGCGCTCCCACGAAGCCGCCCGACCGTACGTCTGCGAGCAGTGCGGTAAAACGTTCAAAGAGCTGAAGCATCGTCGCGAGCACACCAAGAGAAAGCATCCGAACAATCAGAACGCGATACAGAGTTTGTTAGATAGCATCGGGCCGTGTGCAACCGAAGAGACTAACATCGATCAGGCTAAGTTTACTTTGCTGATGCCAGTGAATTTCAGCGCGTAAAACAATTTGAAGAGATCTCCGTGGTTTCTTCGACTTCGAATTGCTAAGGGTTTGGGGTTTTGCTCGGACGAGTGATTTCGCGAAACTTCTTCCACTTGGGAATTCTCAAGAGTTCGGAAACTTTTGAAAGCTTGAAACTTTAATCGCTTGAAATTTAGGATCCCCGAGATTTCGAGTTCATGTGAAATTTGGGATCGCGATGAAAAAAATTCTTATATACATAGAACTATATGCTCCTGCAAATTGTGAAGTTTTGAAGTTTTAAGATTCTGCATCTTTTGAAGGTTTAGTATATATACATATATATATATATATATATTATATATATAAAAAAAAAAAATCACATGCCATATGTTTGAAACTTTGCAAAATTGGAGTTCTAAGTAATCGCGGCGATTTTCAACGACCAAGAAGATATGTCCAAAGAATTATGGCGTGTGAGGAGAACGGAAGACAGGAGGGCGAACACAGGCGCAGAATTTTTCAAAATTTAACCAAACTCGAATACATTGAATACTAGTATAAGTCAAATTAAACGGGCATTGTGAGAATTATCACCTCGGGCGCAAGAATTCGAACGCAATTTCGGATCGAAACGGTTTTAACAACCGGTTTGTTTGTCACCTTGCATTTGTGAAATTTGTAAAAGTGTGCGGCAATATGCCGATGTGAAATGTGCGCAGAGAGAAGTTCTTACAAAAATTGAATGACGAATTGACCGTGACAAATCAAAACAATGCTGATTGTATTCTACCTGCTATTCTATACCTCATGAGAAATGTCAAGAAAAATAAATCTTAAACCAGTTAATTTTGTCTTGTTTTGTTTCCTCGTCTCCAAAAACGCGCGTTGCAACTTTATTAACTCATTATGGAATCCTTTGTAAAATTGCGATGAGACCGTTGGCGATAATCATGTTTCAATTTGAAAATATAATTTGCACATTTAACTCTTGGAGGACCGACATTTTTTCCTTGAAATTTTGTAGATTTAATATAACAAAATTTATAAACATATAATATTTTTTTAAATTGACGGAAATTTAGAGCCACATAGTGCCTGCCAATTTCCTAAGGGTCAGTCAAAAATTTAATCAAAAATTAATTTTTATTATAAATTTATATATAATCAAACAATTATTTTTGTATATTTTGTACACACACACTTATAAGAATTATCGTAACAACAAATCGAAAAGCTCGCGTTTGTCTTCAATCTTCTGAAACTATCATCGTAACGTATAGATCGCGATGGGGAGAGACAGCTCCTTTGTTTCATACGTAAATTTGAGAGTTCTCGTTTGTACAAAGACTCTCGCAAAATTTCAGGAATTTCTTTCTCCGTTCCCCTGGCAAGCGGAAATCCCGTCGATATTGTGATCGCTATGCGAGAACGCACGTGATCCTCGCAACTGATCGCGATCGGTTACAAATTGGTCGCGATCGATATTTGCACAAAAAAGGGAACGATACAAAATTTTTCGAAAAAGAAAACCCAAATGGGCGCGAAACGGCGGAGATTGGCCTCGCAATGCGAACAAAACGCACGAAGACGCGAACAACGGTCGCGATGCACGTTAGACGCTCTGCCACTGGAGATTCTGAGTATCATTCTGAAGATGTTAACTTTGCACGAGGTTGCCTGCATCGTTCGTTTGGTCTCCAGGTATACAAATATTGCGTAAACAACAAGACTGCTTTTTTATTCAGAACTTCGATTCAGATTTGAAAATTCGTTAGATATCATGATGTTAAAAATAACACAACACACGGTTCCACACACGCGACTCTCTTCTTTAATCCGTCCTGAAACAGACGCTGCTCCGACATTGCGGCCACGGTGTTGAACAGCGAGTTTCTAGTGGCGGGAATCAGGCTGGAGACAGCGATAAAGCGCACGGAGAGTCTTATGAATAGTGCGGAGACCGATGCAGAGTTGCTGGAGCGCAGCGAAATCTTCAACGCGCTAGAACTCGTTCGATCCCAGTACCGCATGCTGAAGGCAGTCACGTGGCGATACACGCACTCGAGGTTTTCGTTAATACTTACGTTACGCCAGAATTTAAAAAAAAAAAAAAAAAACAGTACATTGTAACGTAAATAAAAACTGCTTTTTCTTTCGCGCACATCAAGGTCGCGTGGTTCGTCCAGCACTTCGTGCTTCTACGGCGGCAGAGTTCTCGACAATCTCAACTGCCTGTTGCGGAACATTCTGAATCCTTGTTCCGAGAATTTCTCAAATCTCCTCAGCTACGATCTGCAAATCTTCACGCTCAACTGCGAGAACTTCATGGACCACTTCGAGAAAGTCACCGAGCGCAAGATGAACAAGTATCGCTCGCGTTCTCTGCTCTCGATTAAACACCAAATAACGCGACTCTTTTGCTTTTTAATCTCTCTCGACAATAAATAAAAACATATTTATTATCAGGTCTGCGTTGATTTCGGGATGTAAAATCGTCGACGTCCTCGACTGTCTGGGTGAGGGTCGACAGGTGCTGTCTTCCAGGATCTTGTCGAGGACAGGCAATCCCGTGGTAAAAGGACGCTCCATCGCTTGATCGATGAATGAGTGAAATCACAAGCGACTCTTATTCGACTCGCTTGAATTTCAGATCAGCATGCAACTCAGATACGTTCTGAGACGAGCGTGGTTCACGTGCCTGAAGATACCCAATGCGAACAACGAGCATTGCTGGCGGGACAAGCAGCGTTACATGTATCTACGACTGCGTCGACTGGTCAATAGCTTCAACAAGCATCTGTTCCACAAGCTGCATCACGAGCGCAACCTCGTCCACAGAAAGAGAGTTCGTAATATCTCTGGTTGTCGTCGTCGCATAAATCGTGACTTAAAATAGAAATAGCTTTTGCACATTAATCAAGCATCATCATGTATTTTCAGGAATTGTCGTCACTTCGAAAACCGCCACCTGCCTCCACGTATTCAGGATACGGCGACTATGGCGGTCAGTTCTTCTATTACGGTAACATGAACAAATATGCGTACGAGAATAGATTCAAGTATCCGCGACTTGTCAACACGGAGATTCAGACGGGCACAGAACTCGAGGAAGAGAGTAATAACAGATCGCCTCGCTTCGATTTAATCATCGGAGTGCAATTAAGGTCAACGAGAATGAGACAAAACGTAAAATTCATATATATCGGAAACAACTTCCTTTCGTCAATAATGAGTGATTTTATTTCGATCGTTTAGGTGTTCGCCGGGATTGGCGCCGTTGGCAGTGAGACCGAATCTGAAGACTGATAATGTTGAGCGCGCCAACTTGCGTCAGGAATTATACCTTAAACTGAGTACGAAGTGCGCGGCGTCCAAAGCCAACAGATTGCCAGATAACTTCGTCTGGCAAGTGCGCAGTTCGTAATCAAATCACTCGCAATTTCATTGAATCATCGTGTACATAATATACAATATCTATAGTGAACGAACTACTCTTTTTGTTATAAATATATACATATACATATGTCTCTAAATATATATAAAATAAAATAATCTGCGCGTATTTTGTTTAAACAAAATTTCGCGTTGTCTCGACAGCGCTAATTTTTACTGTAGCATTTCTCATCGATGAAATGCTAACCATGCAAAGTCAGAGAATAGCTGCTTTAAAATCAGAATGAAAAACGCATTTATTTACACGAAGATGTCTCTTAAATTGTAAAGTATATATGTTGTTAGTTTACAGATGCATTTACATTGACTGTTTCTTCTACTTGAACTGGCTGCCACGTGGCGGTGTTCAATTTCTTAGCTCGCTTTTCTAAGATACTATAAGCGAAGTAATTAAGTATAATACCCTTGGGCAAGGCAACTCCCTGAAAACGATACAGACCGTCCACGGGTCTGTCTATAAGTTTATGTACCGCCGATACGGTAACGCGTCCCACGAGATAGCTGTTGCCTATCATAGGACCCTTGCTAATGTCCACATGATCTCCCAGACGATACAACGTCACTCTGTCCTTTTCGTTGTTCTTCGCGATATCGGGTATCTGCTCGTACTTGAACGGATTGTCCTGGAAAGAGAGACAGGATCACATCAATTCGCACTTTTGAAACATACATAAGAGACCGTGTATATCTCTCAATCTAATTTCATTTCTACCTGGAACATCTCTAGCGCAATGGTACGCGGCACTTCTAATCTTTCCAGCGGCAAATCGCGATTTGAAAACTTGACAAAGAGCGCGGACATGGCTCGCAGTTCCGAATCGGTTGGCTGCCATTCCGGCAGATCCACGAACACGTCATAAATAAAACTGCCCGACTCTACTACGGGACTGGGAAAGCTGTGGAGATGTACCTCCACGTTATCCTTGAACGCGCTGTCCGCCACAGCGCCTAGGATCAGCGAACACGTTCGCCAAAAGGCCGAGTTGACGGCGCGTGTCCACGGAGTCTGCATGGTGACGAGTTGCAACTCACAGTTGCCGGTGAACGGTTTGTGCATATCCCAAATTTGACCATCTACCTCAGCGATAGCGGCTGTCTTGGTAACACCCTCGGAAATGTGTCTGGCGCAATCGTACGGCGTGGATATGTTGCGATTCATCACCATCACCACTTCATTCTCTACAGACTTGTATGTCACTTCGATTTTCTCAATTCTGCCCAATTCTGATCGTTGTCGGTTTTTCTCCTTCTCGAACAGCTCGTTCCTTCGCTTTCTCGCCTCCGCTTTGGACAGTGTACCGGCACATCGCGACGGCAGAACACGCGCCGATAACCTCAGCCCCGTGCAGAGCCTCGTGCATCTACAAATCAAATGTCTCTTGTCAATTATTGCAAACTCAAAAATAAACAAGGGTAGGTTTGAAACAAATAAAATTTTGCGGCAAATATAATTCTAATAAAACATACATACCCGTAAAACATGTTTACAACCTTCCTCAAATCAAAATTGGTTACAAGTTTGAATTTGACTCAACGTGACGTGCGCATTTAATCTTCTAGTGCATATCCCAAATTCGATCGCGAGTACTTAATTAACGTTTAGAACGCACAAAAAATTATCTTGTTTTGTTACATTGGTGAACGGTGGCTAGAATAAGCGGTTAGGAAATTGCTCCATACCGCGACCATTTGTGCGCCTTACATACACTTACACACTCGGTGCGTGAGTGAGTGATTATTATGTAGCGCCCATATCTTTGCGAGCGCCGCAATGAGCGCGTTTCAATGGACACACAAATCACGTGATATCTACGAACCAATAAATGAAATGCTGTTCACAATTGTGTTTGGTCGTCCGGCTATAACCGGTCAATGCAATTGATCAATCCCGCAAGTTACGCGATCGGCTAGAAAGATCGCGCGATATTTTAAATCCGTCAAAGTTACATACGCTGCGATTTGCGCATACGCGTATAAATTGTATATTAAAAAATTTATTTCTTAATAATTTTCTTTATACAAGCTCATCATTTAATTTAACTTAAAATAAGAAACAATTTTAAATTAAAGGCCACTTCAGTCTCTGTCTTCATCAAGTTGAACAAGATTGAATTATTTCTTCGTTTTCTTCTTTGCAAGCTGGTGCACGGGCGAACGTCATTGGAGTTCGAGAAACGTTAAAAAAACCAAAGCCACAACCTTCTCTTTCTTCTATAGATACCAAGTTGTTCTTGCAACATTTTAACAAAAACGAAGACAACTGTTGTGAATTCTTGATTTTCTGTAGCCTAAGCAACACCCGCTCTCTTATGACAAGTGGCACGTCACACAGGAGGTTCTGAAGTCTCTTTATTTCTACTTTAATATTGTTGTTTACTCTTTCACTTTTTTCATCCGAGATACAAACTTGTACGCTCTGAAACATGTCAATTGTCATCAATCATTCATATACGTCACATAACAATATTTTTCTTAAATGTGTTATAATGAGAAAGAGAGAGAGAGAGAAAGAGAGAAACATATTGTAAACAAAACTTACATCAGGTTGAACGCGTACAACTTTAGTTTTACCAATACGTATACTGTGATTATGAACACCTTTTATTACTACTTTGGCATTTAGTGGAGGAGTCATCCGCAGGTACTCGTCATTTTTTCTTGTGTTTCTGTTATTCTTCTTGATTAGTATGTCAATTCGAGCCTCGCAGTTAGTATTCTTCGGAGTCGGCTCGCTCTTTTTTTTGTTTCTCTCACTGTGCTCGCAGGCCCAATATTTGTGAAATACGATTCTGCAATATTATACACACAAATTTGCATCCCACCAAATTAATTTACAAAAAATTCAGATATTTCAAACGTTACGTACTTCCTAGGCTCCGAAGGTCCTCCGACAACAATCCACTTGGTCGACGTGAAATCCTGATAAAATTTTATAAACAAATGTGCGTCACTGTCGGTGTTTAAATTGCAACGAAACACAATGTCTTGATCAGTGTACTGTTGTATTATACAAGTGAGGTTTTTCTCGGTCATGTAATTTCGAAGTACCTCAAACCACTCCATAATATTTAATATACACACAAAAAATTCTCCAAAATATACAAAGTAAAATTTCACTCAATCCGATCTGCGGAACACCCGCAGAATAACGAAGTGTGATTTTTGTTTACCTTTCGAAGTTGTGAATTGTACGTATGCGTGTGTGCATACGCACAGTGTGCGCATGCGCCGAACCAAAATGTAGTTACTCCAACAAGTATCTCGATAGGGTGTCATCTCACAAGTTGTATTTGAAGCGTGTAATTGAGCGCGTCCTAGCCGGGAAACAGCTGTGGAAACAGATGTAGATGTAGACGTAGACCCACGCACGCTCGCGAGATTACGATGTAACAATTAATTTTTCTTTTAGAGATTTACGTAACCAAAGGTTACAGATTCTCAATGGTGCAAAGAACAGATTCTAAAGTTTCTCAAGAAATAATTCGAAAGATGCGCCACGATGAGCGAGCAGTGTCCAAATTGCAGACAGCTCGCGAACTCGTCCTTTTCAAGGCTCGTGAAAGATAGCTGTGGCCACACCAAATGTCGCATGTGCTTGGTATACGAGGAACACGGATGTAAAATCTGTCAGGACGAATGCTCGACACAGAGCGTTCGGGATTATTCGAGTGAGTAAAAATTCGCCGAGTGTTTTTTTTTGTCGTGTCAGATTTTTCGAATCAAATCATCATTTTGTGGGCGAATTATTAAATTTCAATATTTACAGAATTTTTACTTTAGAAGTTTAATGTTTTACAGAAGAATCACACATCCAGGATGGGAATCCGAATCGTGTAAACGCAGTAACCGGTGAGGAAATCGCGTTGCCATTGGAACTGGTCATTCACAAGGATCCCAAATTCACGGAGATTTCTTCCAAATCAACCTCTTTCGAAAACAGATCTTCAGATCATTACCAAAAGAGTGATATTTCTGATGAGAATCAAAAGATTCATGAGACTCCCAATGAAACAGTTACTACCAATGAAAACGATAGAATCTACATTCCAAAGATAGAAACTCGCGATGTGGTGTTAAACATAGAGGCTCACTTGAGAGACGAAAGTAATCACAATTTATTGAGTTTAAAAAATTCAAATGTAAGAAAATATAAATGTTAATATTACTTCTTTTGGTATATTTTTATATATATATTTTTTTATTTAGCACTGCGTTAAAATTTATATATTTTTTTACATTGTAATCAACAAGATACTCCGTTTGTTGAAACGAGGAAATTGGTTATTTATGAAATATATTTTTTTTTATTTCAGGATAGTCAAACAAAAGAGAAAACTTCCAGAGAGACAGTGGAAAAGAGCAAGAGTGCCAAAAATCGTGATCGCAGTCACATAATAGTAATACCAGGAACTCCAGAACGTTACAAGTGCAATGTGTGCGGTAAGATCTTTCGAAACAAGAAGGGCAAGTGCTATCACGACGCTTGTGTAACGGGTGTCAAGCCTTATCAGTGCACTTTCTGCGACAAGACTTTTGTCAAACGCTCTCACTTCGAGTATCACGAGAGAGTTCATAACGGATACAAGCCGTACAAATGCAGTCTTTGCGAAAAGGCGTTTCCTCAAAAAAACAAGCTCAACAGGCACATGTTTTCGCATAGTAGTAAGTGTATATTGAACGTAGCGATTATATATTGTAAATTTTAACAATAACTTTGTAAGAGAACGAGATGGTGTGTAATTTTGTCGCACATTTTAGAGGAAAAGCAATTTGCGTGTACCGTGTGCGACAAACGGTACAGCAAACCGGACGATTTGAAGAATCACTCCACCATACACAATGCGACCACAACGTATAATTGCCAATCGTGCAACAAATCGTTTCGCGTGCTAACCAATTTGAATCGCCACATGCGAACGCACACGGGTGAGTAACAGCGGAAGCTTCGTCTCAAATGCGTTAGTTAATCAAGCGAAAAAGTATCAATCGACGATTATTTTTGAGACAGACGAGCGGCCGTACAAGTGTGATCAATGTAATAAAAGTTTCAAGGACAGATTTTTGTTGGTGCGGCACAAACGAATTCACGGAAAAGAGAGGCCGTTCTCCTGTGCTTGCTGCAACAGAGTCTTCCTGTCGAAGAGCGAGTTGAGACGACACACAACCGTACATTCAGGTACGTCAGATGTCATCACGCCGCATTATCGCAATCTCATATTTAAGTCCGCTTGCATCTCTTCTTAGATGAGAAACCGTTCTCTTGCGAGCACTGTCAGACGTTATTCCGGCGCAAGGATAATCTGACTCGACATATCAGACATCACCACACCGAGGGCTCCGTCGGTTGCGAGGTACCCAAGGCGCCAGTTATCGAAACAGCAACAGATCGAAGCAATTCCGCGAAGAGCAATCAGCAACGGCAAAGACAGAAACCGAGGAAGACGCGGCCGAAAAGTCCCGGCGCGGTGTCGGCTACCTCTCGCGACCAGATCAACTCGCGGCTAGACCCTATGGGTAACATCACGTCCGTTATAAGAGCCACGAGCGAGGTGAGCAACGCGGTACCGGTGATTAACGGGCCCATCAACATCCGACGTCTGGAGGATGTGACCGACAAGAAGACTCTGTACACGGAGCCGATCCCGCTCGCCGACACGGTGGTGCTCAATCGTCGAATCGAGGAGAAATTGTACGCAGATCGCAAAGCGCCACCGGTCACCATTAACATTTACTTCGCGCGCAATCGGGAATAGGATAGAATTATTTTCGTCCCGATGACGGTTTTACGCCGCCAAAGAGAACACTTCAGGAGAGCAAAAATCAGAAGTGGATTAAATTCAACAGCGAGAAGACTGATGTAAAAAAAAGTTATCTCAAAGTGCCCATTACAAAAAAAAAAAAAAAAAAAAAAAAAAATGAACTTGTAATAATGTACATAAAAATCTTCAAGTAAAGTATCTTATTTTCTTACAAAAAAAAAAAAAAAAATGAACTCAAAACTCGGGGACGCGATTAAAAACGCAGTAACATTTTTATTGGCCATTCTCTCTCTTTTAATTCTTACAATGTCAGTGACGCAGTTACAGTGTAAGTACGAACAAAAAAAAACTTAGCGTATCATTTAATTATCACCGATCGCTTATTTACAATAATTATTAAATTATTTTCACAACAGATGCGCCGGATATTACATTTATATATCGTTGCATTAGCCTTACACAAAACTTAATTAAAACAATCATATTGATTATCGGCGCCTCGTTAAACAAGACTTTTACGAATTTCCGTCGTTTCAACGTCAATTATTATTATTAACGATTGTACTGAACTGAAAAAATAGCGCGAACAGTTTTTCAGAATAAAAATCTTTTGATAAAGACGAATTAAGTCGCAACTTATACATGCAAAACAAACAAATTTTATACATATATATTATCTTTGTATAATATCTTTAATATATATATATATATTAATATAACTTTTATATATATAAATAAATGCACATATAAAGACAGCAATTCTACAACTTAAATTTTTATGCTATTTTTTTCTCAATCTAACCAATTTCTTTGAGAATGCACAAGCCGTCAGTACAACGTGAAAGAAAAAAAAATTCTCGGATATCTCAAGATTATTATGACATTTTGCGCGTAAGGAAGCAATGACTTGTAGAAGAATTATGAGAAATGAAGATCTCTGATGAGTGAATTGAAGAGAATTCGTTGAATTTGAAAGAAAATTCGAGGATCTATTATTCATAGTCCTCCTCATCGAGTTGTACTTGAGGATATCGTCTGATGGCTTGATGCTGCTGTGGCTGCGGCCGCCTGTGCTGAAGCGGGATGTTCACCTCTTCGGGACTGTGGAATACTTGATTCACCGGGAGACGAAATTGCGGAATTCCTGCGGACTGCGGACGAGCCGATGTTGGAATGCTGTTCAAACTTGAGGACTGTGAGCTTACAAGGACCTGTACAAGACCTGAATCGTTAACGTGTCAATGTACGGTCGATTGAGAGAGAAGCGTCTGTTTAACATTCGACAATTAAAAGCAAGATGTTCAAAAATAAATAAAAAAACAGCTATATAATACTGTATAAAATATTACACATAAAATATTTGTTACATATAAATTCAGAGCTCACGGACGATGATAATACCTGCGGTGCAGGGCGACGAGGCTGCGGGGCAGGCGTCGGAGTGATCTGATAATCGCCGACCTCTCTTTCATCTGTGTAGATATCCGAAGGATAATATCTCTCGCTGTACCTCAAGGTAACGTTGGGCTTGGTTTCAGCTTCCTGAAGATTCAGCGGCTTGTACAAGTATTCGTTGACGAAGTGATACTGCGAACTCTTCTTGCAACTGATGTCGCCGCTAGGTGGCATGCAAATAAGGTGCACCTGAATCACATTTGTAAATAGAGCGTATAATAATTAGAGAGTGAAATTTAATCATGTATCAACAATTTGTAATTTGTTTCTCAACAACATCGTAATATGTAACTACATGATATTGACCTGGTGGAAAGTGAAACCCTCGGGGCAGATCCAAGAGTGCTTGGCGTTATCCTGGCAATAATGGAAGACCTCGCAATTGAGATCTTCGTCAGCGTAGTATCCGGTCTGTTTGTTGACGCAGTCGAATCTGCTCTGGGGCAGGAGAAGGCTGAGACGATCGGGTTCCTCCTTCTCTTCCTCAAGTTCCTCCTGGGTTGGTCCGTTGGGTCCGTATCCGGGCTGACCCCGAACGGGAGCGCGTGAAGAACCGACGCGAATGGGCGTCGGTTGAGGATAATCGCGATCTATCTGCGCCGTCGGCTTGCGATACACCTGCGATTTGTATTAAATTACTGTTTGTGACAATTTGTATAAACAAATGCATATTTATATCGTGCGTCATTATTATTATTTTAGACTGACTGGTTGTTGATTGGGATTCCTGAAAATCGGTGTCGGTGAGGGCGTGGGTGTCACCGCATTGTCCTCGTAACTGTTATCGCGGAATCCTTGAGCGCTCAGTCCAGCCGAATAAAGCGGTCCCAGGTTCGGTTTTCCGGGAAAAGACACCGCTCTGGTCTCCAAATCGTAAGAGCTCTGCGCCGCGATGGCGGACCCCATCAACCCCAGAAACACCCAGTACATCCTGCAAATTCGAGAGGTCTTTAAAAAAAAAAAAAAAAAAAAAAAAAAACTAGTTTTATAAAACCGTAATTTGTCAAATAATTTAAATAACAACATTCGCATTGCGCGCTCTCGATTTTATTCACAACTTTCCATTCTAATGCACAATGACCGTGTTTAGAGGGTGTCGATGGCCAAGGGCACTTTCCCTTGCGTGCGCATACACGTGCATGCGTGCACGCACACATATGCGCGTGTATTAATTTAATAGACGCCAATTCGCGAGAAAGTACGGCATGCGATTTCTCAAAGAAATGTTTTTTTTTATTTTACTACTGTGTAACCGGTACGCGCAATTGCAGTTCAATTCATTTTTTTCCTTTTCAGTCCCACCAAAGACCATTGCCCGGACTGTGTGTGGATGATTGGAAAGAGAAAGTTCGACAAACAACCTTAAACTTGGAAAATTTTCAAAAAAAAATATCGCGAATTTTTTCCGCGCTCCTGAAAAGCGGTCAACTCAAGTGACAAATGGAAAGTTTGTGTTGGACAAGAAACAACAGTCGTCCCGCGAAAGAAGTACGGGCAGAAGTTCTAAACGTGATTTATTACATTCGTCGTCTTTTTGTCACTCGAACTCGCCAAAGCAATTAGAAACCAGCTTTCCAGATGTGCCACATGCGTGCGGGAATTATTATATGGAAAGCAATCGGGGAGTCCGTCGAGAGCACGTCATGACCGAAATGGCTTTAACCGATCGTGAAACCGCTGTCCGAGTTTTGCACACTTAGAAAGTAACACGCTTTCCTCGCACCTGCTCTCCGCGCGAGCAAGATTCGATTCTCTCTCGATGCTTCTATTCAAACTTCGCCGTCTATCACGTGACCGTCGTGAGCGAATTTCCTTTCGCTTCTTGATCATCGCTTTCGGATGATGTATCCGTTTTTACAGATACATGTGTGTACAAATATTTATAAAACATTTATGAGAGTTCTCGGTTTCTCTGAGTTTTCTCGTTTCGAAAACTGAGTTTGATTGCTCACACGAAACACGTGTCAACGAATGTGCGCGCATTTTCGAAATGAACGAAATGAAAGTGACTTTTCACGAGTCACGAGATGAAATTCTGTTGTCGCGCGTGTGCAATCATCAGAGTAAAACAATATAAGTAGTTTGTGAAAGGAAGAAAGCCGTCGAAAGGGCAACAAAAGTTACGTAAGTAACACTGGTCAAAGGTAATCCTGTTATTTTCTATGTAACAAACGTGCTTTGCGTAATAATATTTTTCCGCAAACTTGCCGACTCGCGTGACTCCTCCGTCTGAAATTACCCTCCCGTAAATACGTAGAAAATTGTCAATTAAATATAATTATTTTTGTTTCAGTCATAATTGAGAGAGTGTGGACTTAAAAAAAGACGAAAACTAGAGCGCATCTCCCTGGAAACGCTCTCGTATCGAGCGGAGATGATGCCGCGTCGGAAGTTCTCGCATTGCGCAAAAATTGGCGAGTGTACATATTGATCAATCGATAATAACGTCGGTGCGACGGAGCGGAAAAGTGTCGTGTTTAATAAGCATCCTGTCTTTCGCAGCCAGAGTGGTGCTGAGAAGTCAACCGGGGCGGGGTTCCCCGATTATAAAATACGATATCGCGGTGAAAGTGAGAGGGGTTCGCCCAGAAAAATGGCGCGATAATAACGCGAACATTTTTTGTGTCAGAAGATTCGTCTCAAGTCTCCTCCCTCATGTGAATAATGTGTGCAAACGATCGACGCGATGATCGACGCGAAGCAAAATTTTTACATAATCTGTCAAAGTCACGGTCTTCGCGTTTGGCAAATAATCAAAGCAATAATTGCAGAAATCTCTTAGACATCTGTTTACACTGGCCATTTTAGGGTCTTGAATTTGATCGCGTTGTGACAGATCGTGCGACCGATTTCACGCATAAAAGATGATCGTTTTTGCATAATTTATCGGTAGAGGTTTCTCCGATTTCGCCATCAGAAAAATCGCGAGAACTTTCTCCGATCTTCAACAAAAAAAAAAAAAAAAAAAAAAAAAAAAATCGCTCGCGCAGTGCGCGCGCGCGCTAGTTAATTATTGATATTTATAATTCGATTACGAATACATATGTGCGTGAGATTTTGCGCGTCTCGTTCGAGAAGGGCGTTCTCCTCGCGGCAACTCCGACTTCCCGTCTGCCGCTCAAAGAAAGCAATATATATTGCATAATCGAAAAAGAGATAGTTGTTGGGCGACTTTAGGGAGGCGGCTGGTGTAGTATATAATATATACGTAACTCGCACACACGAGTCAAACCGGTTGGTTTGAGGAAATATGGAGCAATTGCGCCGCCGGGCAACGCGCGTTCTTAGAATTCGGTACGGAGCGCGACAGATCACGTCGATCACTCTTATGTGTGCATATTACACAATTAATCACTCTCGGTATTTCTCACGGAAAAAGAAAACATTAACGTCGAATTAAATACGTGTTTAAGCTACGCGCCGATAAATAAAAATAAAAGAATGGCAATAAAAGCAATTAAAAGTCCAAGGAAGCAAAAAGGAACGAACGACACGGATATTGCATATCAAGGTCGTTGACTATGTGCGGTGAACGCAATGAAAGATTATCTGATCTGTGAGTCAATCTTACTCTCGCGCGTGTGCTATTATAAAAAGTTTAAAGGAAATTTTTTTGCAGCGCTTTAATTTCGTTCCAATTTCCGTTAATATGCGAAATATGAAAAAAACATAAAAATGGAGAATTCAAACACGTATATAATTGCGAGTTGTAGAAGTACTTTCTCCTCGACGGTAATATTGTTTCGCGCCAGAAACCGAAGTCCATAAATTCGAGAGGGGGTTTCCGGGAGCGCCGCGCGTTATAACCCCGAGAACTTTATATGAAATTAACTTGGCATGTTCTACGCATGGCGGAACACAGGAATTATAACACGTGCCTAAGCGAGCAAACAGCGAAAACTGGTTTCGGTTCACCGCGAAATTATTTCGTTGCGAGATAAGAAAACATTCACGTCGCGCGTTTGTCGTTTAGCGCAGTCGTTGACCCAAAAAATACCCCGATCGCATTCTTATCTACATTTTTCACGCCCAATAAAAGGCATTGAGCTCTGAAGAAAATTTGATGAAAAAACTAACAATTATTTTTTATCTCATTAGTTTACATAATATTTTAGAGCTTTGGCAAATACAAATAAAACATAATATCTTAATTTTTATCTAAAACAAGATTTTTAATATTAAAAAAAATTCATTTATAAAAATTAGAAAAGTATTCAAATTCTTTGATACTATACGATTAACAATTATAATTTGCACAATAATTTATAATTATAATTATATTATTAGTATTATTATTATTATTATAGTTACGATTTGCACGATAATTTATTTTACTAGAGTGATCCAAACATATTACCTGGAATATTATAACAATTAAGTGGCAATTATACGTGACGATAAACAAAAACGATGTAACAAATCGTATACTGAATATTTAACAACGAACACACACAAAATATAGTGCAACAACACACTAAATGCTGTTAAAAATATCGATAACTCGAAAAAATCCAAGTTCCTTCAAATTGCTTTTCTTTTTTTTTTGTTGCTCAAACGGTGGCCAACAAAGCACAGTGCCAATAATAAAAACGCAAAAGCTTTTCAGATCTCTCAGGATGCACTTCACTTGAATGTTGAAGTTTCACTGATTCAGAAGCCCACTTACCTGTCGGCGACGAAGGTAGCGGGGACAGGACAGTAAGTTTCGTCAGGACGAGTAAAACACCGTAGGAGATCAACACACGCGCTTTATCTTTGCCGGCCGACATGTCACTCTCTTATATAGCGTATCCCGCTGAAAGTTGCCTCCACCAGATGAAGTGGATTCGGTACTTCTTAAAGTAGTGGGAGACTCCTTGCAATTGCACTCGCCGCCGTGTGGTTCCTTCTGCGGGATGCACCTGTTCGAGAGTCCTTGGCAAAGAGTGTTTTGAACACAGATGATTTAAATGCGCACGCCCAACGTATGCAACTATCTTATTCAATTAAATAACTAAATTCTTTTTTTGAAAAAGTTTCAGTTTATCGATATCGGGCGTTTTCAACAGGTATCGCGTGCGCCTATCGTATGTTATATTCAAAACAGGTTTTCCATCCTCGCGTTCAGGTTTCACAGCGAAATTCCGGAAAGCGTGTAATTGCAGATCCGAGTGATTTCCGAGGAAGTGGGATGTATCCTCTCCGATATGTATCTCTTGTAGAGCATGTGGAACGAGAAGATCGTTCGCTGATTAGACGCAAAATCTTAGGATAGGTGGAATGCATAATTTAGCGTGGAAAACAATGCAATTAAATCCGATGTCGATCATTCCGGAAGATCAAACAACGAACTCGCCGGAAGAAAGGAAGGAAGGAAGGAAATAGATAATCACGCCCTCTTTTCACGCCGTTTCTCCTCACTTTCCACTATTCAACCTTCATTCTCATACAGAATTACAAACAAATACAGAAGGTAATGATAAAATTAGAAATAAAAAGATATTATATAAAAACAGTTCTTGAAGATAAAATATACGTAAACCACAAAAAGTTTAAAAGTTCTCACCAAACGTTTCTTTTTTTTGCGAAAGTTTCGATTCGCTCGTTATTTTACATTTTAATTTTATAATAAGAATATCTGTCGATTGTGCGAGGAATGAAAAAGAAGCATCGGTAAAAAAAAAGTTATCCTTATTTAAAAAAACAAAAAAAAAACGGTGAAACCTCGAGCTAAGATTCATAATTCCTCTTTTCTTTCGGCGAATTCATCTTCATGCGATGTTCACTTTCCTCATTTTGAAAGTGTCGCGATTTTCGCACTCGGAGCTTGTTGCAAAAATAGAAACGTGCGAAAGAACAATTGGGCGACGACAACTGGATCGACGTCTGGAATTCGAAATGACATGTCCGAAAGTTGTGAAGATCGTCAAATTGTCGCTCGTGAATTTGAGAATCCCCGCATTCGAGCGCGCGAGGTAAATTCCAATCAACAGCTCAATCAACAGCCGGGAACGAACAAATGAGACAATTACTTTCCGATATATCGGCATACGGGCAATGACATAATCGGATAGGTACTTAGCGGCTTAAGTATGTCCTCGCCCCTCTCGCGTGTCGAGGAAAATAAGGAATGTTCAGCAAGAGAAGGGACAATTATATCGGCGCCACAATCGATGTGACCCAGACTGCCGCGAAATAACTCAATTCATTATAGTTAGGACACACGGCATGAACACTCGGCAAACGTTTATATCAATGTAAGAATAATAAATATAAAAGTAATAAATTTTTTGATTTACCAAAAGTAATTCTAATTTACTTTTTTTAATTCATCAAAAGATTGTAAATTTTAATTTACAATCTTTCTTCAAAAAATTTACTATTTTTTATTCTTATTTTTTTTTCGAAATCGGTTGAGATATAAATGTGTTTCGAGATGTGATTTTGCACTACTTCAGTTGTCAAAATCATTTTACTCTCGACGGTTTATGAAATAAATAATTTTTTACGTATTGCCGACATTTTCAATAAAAGATCGATTTTGAATTTATGTAAAATTTGCTCGATATGCTCGAAATAATCTAAATCTATCTTGCTGACATTTTCGGTAAAAGGTCGATTTCGAATTTATGTGTAAAAATAAATTCGCTGGAATATTAAAAATCTTTTCTTCGAAGAAATAAATTCCATTTTTACGCGGATAAAAGCAACTAGATTTTCGCGTTTGTTATGTAAGATATTCGATTTTCTCCCTCTTTATTGCCGCGTGGCACTTGTCACTTGGGAATATCAGCATAGCATCGTTCAAGCGTTACGTCTCGATTAAAATTTTATTCGCCGGTTGGGTGACGTGACTTTCTCACCGCCGCCCAACTATAGTTTTACTTCCTCGTTTGTGCAAAATGTTGTAACATAACAGTCTTTTGTTTTCTGCGTTGTGCGGATTTATCTCGCGAAATCGCCAGGTTTTTTTTCTTATTATCGAAAGTTTCTTCACTCGCACTCTCGAAGTTCGTTGGGCGGAAAATAAAAAAAAAAATTCCATCCATCATTTATGTCGAAGCGGACATGTTGTTACACATTCGACGATTCCGTCATACGCGCTGGCGTACTTCGTCACGTTCGTCCGGTGAAAAGAGTGACCTTCGTCTGAAAACGAAAGAAAGTACGATCCGCTTCCATAAAATTTCAATAAATTGGTCGCCAAGCAGTGCGTTGAATTCAACGGGAGAACGAGATTGAAAGTCGCGGTTCTCCACCCACTGGAGAAACTCACCACTGACACGCTTTGTACAATTTGTTCCGATCGTATCAAAAACGCGAACGCACATATAATTATCCTTCTCTGGAAAGTAATTCACTCTGATTTCCCTCCTTTTCTAAGAGTCGCACGCAGTTGCGATCGAGAGTGCGGCAAACATGTCCGCGAGAGATTTCATTTATGTATTTTACTTTTTTAATTACACAAAGTTTGTTTGCTTCCAAAGCGCCTGAGAAAAAGCTCTCGAGTTTGCCATTATCTTTTTCTCCGTCACAGAGCATTTTAGACACAAAAGAAAAAAAAACACACGAAAAACAATAAAACTAATATGCGGCATGATGGTCAATAATAGACGAATAATATTTCCTCGAAGTGTTCGATGATTATTCCTTTCGGGAAACAATTCCCCGACGCGGAGAAGCGGACATTCATCGGCGCTGTACACGCATGGACGCGTGTATAAGAAACACTTTCACCGAGCGCGTTTGGGTCTGACGGAGAAAGTTCTCTTCGACCTCCGTTACGCCCTTGTTAACCGGAAATTCGGTTGGAAAAACAAAAGACGGAGAAAAGAAGGGTTTTCCCACGTTATTTGAATTCTGAAGATTCGCGTCTCTCGTGATAATTGCTGCGCGCAGTTGCTCCGCCTGTTCAAAATGCCACAATGACATTATTTTCAACAATGCGTATATAAAAAAATGCGTATATAAAAATTTTGGTGAAAAATGTTGAGATTTGAGAGAAAGCGCAAGCTTACGAGAACAAACGACGATTCACTCGACTGTCCGCAGAAAGACGTGAATTCGTTATGCATCGGTATGTTACGATGCAAGCCAGAATGAAGTAATCGACTTCGCGGTCTCGGTCAACAGCTCGTCCTTGATCTTCCTTTCCTCGTCGGTGATGGCTTATCTCTCGTGCGGTTACATAATTTTATTCACAGTCAAATATTAAAATTAGTTGGATGAAAGAAAGACAGAAAAATAAATAAATCAATAAAAATGATAACACAACACAGAAAAGAAAACACGAAACAGAAAATGCAACACAGTTACGTTATATTCCGTATTATCGAAGTAAAAGATCCAAAATATAATAACTACGTAACGATCGGCAGCCAGTAATGTTACAACGGCTGTTTATGCAATAGAATTTGATCTCGATTTATAGAATAGAAAATGCGGAACTCTAGCGTGGCACGAGCGCAAATTTTTTCATTGAACCGATTAAACTCATTTGCATGCACACAGGTTGCGTAAATGAGGCATGTCATTGACATGAAGAAATAGTATCGAAACAAGCCGAGTGTCGGAAAACCTGTATGATAAGATAAACGTATAGGTAACTCTAAAACATTTTTATTTCGTTATTCGCACAAAAACATTGGAATTCATGAGTCAATAATTCAATAGAATTTTTTTTACAGAAAAAAATATCTTTGATGCGTAAAAAGTTTTGTGTTTAAAAAAACCAATTAAAACAAAAACAAATCACTTCTATATGTAACAAATAACATTTCTAAAGAGAATATCAATAAAAGAGAATAACAGCGCAAGATGTCAATTCGGTTTTCGTTGCGGACAAAAATTTTTCTATCTAAAATCTCGTCATTAATTACCGTCCATTAAAAATATCGATCAGACGTGAAATCGAGCACTTTCGCTTGCGGCAAGGGTTTCGCTTCACTTCGCTCGACCGAGTGTGAAGACTACTTCGCAAATAATTTGGGGAAAGAAAATAGCGCGACGATGCATATTGATTTCTGACGAATTATATATTTTAGACGTCAACTGCTTGTTCTCACGGGTGGGAGGGAAAGAGGAAGCGCGAAATAACGGAGATATAAAACGGGGATCAATAAAAAAAAACAAAAAAAAAACACGTAGTTTGTAGATTTTGTTTATTATATGATAATAATCAATCATTTACATACAAGAAAACAAGGAAACACAGAGTTACGATCAAAATTCATTAAACTATGTTTGTACAATTGTTCGTACAGTTCTATTTAAATCATTAGAATATTATTAACAATTAGTGGTACGTAAAAAATTATCAGTCGTTTGAGAAGCGTCAACCGTGCTGCGAACGATGTGAGCAAAGTAGTGACGTATTTCTCATCGAGTGAGAAATATATCACGACGTATGCGTTAATATATATATATACACATATAATGTTACATACAAAGAGTACAAATACACAATCGACTCTTAAATCAGACAAAAAACACAACTTTAATCATTTTTTAACTTAGAATAAATAAAAACCATTAAAAATCAAACGTGGATGTCTTTCTTTCTCTCTCTCTCTTATTCTTAGATATATAACATTATATGTATTTATATACGCAGCAAACCAATACACATCATCATTACTGATGAAACACGGATATTAAGCTTCGAGTACACACCTTTCGATCAATTGTTGGGCGTGGTCTACGGTAGTAGATATCGCGGAGAAATCCTGCGACTCGTCGGTGTTGTGACGACTAGCGGTGAACGAGGAAAGCTCTTTTAAAAAATCAACTATTTCAACGTGTTGAGTTTTGGTCACGTGGCGGTCTCGGATACTTTTCTGGAACGACTGCTTTTTTTGTGTTTAACCGGTTCGGTCGCGCCGTCATCCGACAGAGACGAATCTCTGAGCGATTTTCGACCGCGGCCGACGTTTCTCTCCTCGTTCTCCGAGCCCACCGATTCCCGATTCGACTTTCGGCGTTGACGCTGCGGCGGCTGGTTCTGCGCCTCCATCATCTCGCGCAAGTACTTCCTCTTCGCATCCCAGAACAATTCCTGTCGCTGAGCAATCTCGGGATACCTGAGCGAGAGAAACAAGCGTCAAATCGTGGGTTAAGAGAGTTTTTCAAAGAATCGTTGAAATCATCTGACGGTTATACCTGTCGCAGAAGTTCCAATTGGGCGGCTCTTTCAGTTGCCAGCCCTTTTCCTGATTAAACGTTCCGAGATCCATGAAAATCTCGTTTATCTCCTCTGGCAACAATTTTATAACGGAGGAAATTGTATGACGGTGAAGGAATTGTTGTTCCGTGAACGACAATAACTGAAACAAAATTGCATGAAAGAATTGTCAGCTTTCGAAAAAAAAAATTGAATACTCACAATGTAATCGCGAGCCTTGCACATGAGGTCGGAAATACTCCCTTGCGAGGAGTGATCTTTGGGATAAAGCAGTTCGCTGTTCACGACCCAGTTGCCTTGCACGAGCACAGCTACTTGCTGCAAATACTTTAGCACCGTCGCAATGTCGTGTTCCGGCGATAAAATGGCGCGCAGCTTGCTGAAAACTACAACCTTCACTGCAAGCAAAGAAATTACTTTTCAATTAATTACTTACCTTATACGTGTAGAGAACTTAACTTTTTTTTTATCGAAAATTACCAAATATGCTGAAGAATAAAAACATATTAAAAAATAAAATATATAAATATATAAATACATAAATTATAAAAATACATAAGTTCAAATACAAATACATAGGTGTAAATGAAGATATAAGTAATAATAAGCAATTTATGTTCCTTCTTATCAAATTCTTTTTTCAAAATCTTTATAATATTCGACTCACCGTGTTTCATTATTATTCTGATTTGGTCCAGCAAAGGCAAAGTCGCGAAGGAATGAAAATCTATATCGTTCTCTGGAATGGGTCGCGAATCAGAATTTTTCATAAAGGAAGGAGGCGTCATCAAATCAAAATAATTCTTTTCCCTCAAGTTCAGAGCGCTCACCGGCTCCTCGGCTGACTGGCAGAACAACTCCATTCGTGTTAACTGTAAAATCAAACATAAAGCAACGTTACACGCCGCACGACTATCAATTATATTATTTTCTTTTTAAGAATTCATCAGGTTCATACATGGGCCAGATCGTCGTCAGCTGGTATATACTTTGTGTGTATCCAGCGCTCTTTCTGACTTTTTTCAGAATTGTGATGAAAAGATTGTTCCTGCGACTTCTTCAAACTCTCTGGTAAGTGCCTGGAGAATTTTATCTTCACCGGCGAGACACTCTCTTCATCCTCGTCATCATCTGCGTTTGTTAACAAAAAAATTTGAGTCTTTTTTTTAAATTTTACTTATTAATAAATAGCGCAGTGTAAATGAAAAAATTTTCCTTTATTCACAGAAAGATCAAATCTTCATTACCTTCCGTATTCTTTGTTGTGTCCTTGGCACGTTTGTCTTTCTCATCCAAATAATCACACTCCAATTTCATATTCAGCATTCCTTTTAGCGGCGTGATGTGCAATTCTCCATCCTGAAATATTCCTACTGCAAAATGTGAGCAATCTTGTACTGCCGGATACGAAGTCAGCTTAATTTTGTCCATCGTACCACTAAATAAACAAAAAGCAGCGGATTTTACTGATTTTTTCTCATTATATACAGACAGGACATATTTATGCCTTTACATGAAATTAAATAATAAAAGCATCCTCCTCCTATCCTCCTCCTATATAAAAAATCCATGTGTACCGCGAAGTGCGCGTTTTGATATCGAATGTATCGCATCTATTGTTGTCTCTTTTCCACGTTGCCGATTAGTTGGTTGATCGAGTCGAGTCGAGTCGAATCGAATCGGTAAAGATCGAGAGAGTAAATAATGACAGAAAAGCGATTTTGACAGTCGTATACGCGGAGAAAATTAAAAACGTGACTAAAGTAAAGTCACTTGACAGAAAAGAGTAGAAAAACAACACGTGACTATTTAAAGTAACGTGATTGTAATTTATATTATATATAACATTAAATAATATATATTATACATATAATTTATTATATATAGTATACAATATATAAAGTATAATATTATACTTTATATTGTATATTATATATATTATGTACATACTACCGTAAAGGTCACTGACCCGGCCGCGCGGCCTTGGCGGGGTCACTGACCTGGCCGCGTGATTATGGTATATATATAGATATGTGTGTGTGTATTATATATATAGATATAGAATATTATATATAATATATATAATATTCTCTGTTTTACTCTTGTCCCTGACACGTGACTTTAGTCACGTGTTGTTTTTCCATTCTCCCTTTTTTCTTTTATTTTTTGAGTTTGATTTTCATGCGTTATTTCTGACATCTCTCGTATGTACATCATGTGTATTATATTGTTTGTAGGACGTATATATTAGTTGTCATTGTGGTGACAGGTTAAGTTCACTCACACTACACGTTAAAATAAAAGCAATAATAGCGTGCGCGTAGCGCGCACCTGTGTTGTGCTACTCAATAATAAAAAGTACAACTTTATTTGCAAAGACATTAATGTCTATATGTTGACACATGTATGTCTGTTTACCTATCAAATAGTTTTTCATTATTATCATCGTTTCCTTTGGATTTGTCAGCATAGTGAGCAAAGTCTTTTCCTATATATTTGTCATAGTTTTGGTTTGCTGTGTCAATCCCAAGTTCCATTTGAATCATTTGACTTTCTGGTTTGATAGAAGTTTTCAAAAAAGTGGTATTCTCACAGCCGACTTTGGAATATGCAGGGTATTGAAGAATAAATAATTTATCTGCTAACATCTTGGATAGAAACACTGGTATCTGAAAAAAAAAACAAAAAAAGTAATTGTCGAATCAATCTTGCCAATCTTATTGTTTTTATTGTCACTTATTCTAATTCCACTCAAACGCAAGTAAATAAAACAAGTAAACAAACAAACATACAATAATTGTAAATAAACAGTAAAACCAATAATAAATAAATAATAAGTATAAAATTTAACAAATAGCATTACGCAATTGTGAAATTTATTCGAATACGTAATATATCTGAAAAAAACGTTTAACTTGTTTCACGAAAAAAAGGAATTTCATGAACACAAGGCGTCAGTTATCCCAACCACGTGTCTAGAGAAGACACCGGATTCTAACCTAATTTCAAATAAGTAACGAGGTTATGTCGGAATCAAATAGAATCGTAATATTGGCAAGTTGTCGAGAGACTCAACACAAACCTGTTTAACAACGGGATCGTCCTCCTCTTTTGTGTTATTCATCTTGGCGAATTTTCTCTGTCCCAAAAATTTTTAATAATTTTATCTATAGACGTCTTTAATCTGCTACGAGTGCGTGCAGCATAGTAACATTTTTCGAACAACCATATCGAAGGACATCTGTTTGGGGATGGGTTGAGAGTTGATTCTTGGAGCGATCTCTTGACAGAATCGAAGTACAATATCGAACAATAGCCGAAGAGTATGTGAAGCGATATACGCAGCAGTGACGAGCAAATCGCCGAACATTCAAGATCCTACTTTAAGGCCGGTATTCATAATAGGATCTTTATATTTAAGATCGTCTCAAGTTTATCTTCAGGTGTAGTTTTATTGGCTGCGGAGCATCTGAGAAGATAAACTTAAGACGATCATTAAATATAAAATTCGACTGTGAATATTCGGCCCTAAGTTTCAACGCTGATATTTGCGTCTCGTGAGCCGTTTGACTCCGTCGATTGGCTAAGATTCGGTTTCACTCAGGGAATTGACCGTTCGCGTTGGTTCCAATCGGTTAACTGATCGACAATTGGTCAATTCCCGCGATTTTTTTTTTCACACGATTCTAGGAACTTTCGTTCGGATCACCGACTCGAGTGGTGGTTGAAATTTGACTTTTTGATCAGCGTAGTGCGCGGTTCGGACTTGACGGGGTTCACAAAAGTGTTTACAGGGAATCGGGGAATTGGCTGGGAATCGATTGTCAGTCCTTCGCATTGTGGTTCGTCAAAAGCAACGTTCTCATAGCAAAAGTTTTTTTTAGCATTTTCTCAGAGCGTCCCTCCTCTCCAAAATTTTGTTCCCGTTTTATCATTAGGATCTGCGACTCTCTCCAGGTCTTTCAAAATGGTGAAAATGGAGCACGATGTGAGTAATCGCGTTGCGTCGAATTGATGTTATTAAATAATATATAGTTACGAGACCGCCTCCCTCTTCTCTTATCTACGCCACTTGCATAAGTAGTTAATTTTCGAATCGTGCGCGATATCGACATTCGAAAACAAAACGTGTTTCCGCGTGTAGCAGCAATTGTTTGATAACTGAAGTAGCGTCAACACGCGGTGGTGGTGATCGCGGTGTTTCTTCCGATATAAGTAATTCGATAATTAAAATTTAATTGCCGTACGACGACGGGATTGTACAATAATTAAATATGGTAAATCAACATAACATTAACGCCGATAATTAAGCAAGTTTATTGCTTTGGTGGATGTCAATTGTCTGTGTTCAGGTTATGAGTGATAAGTTTCTACACAACAGACGCCATTTTGAAGAAACTTTTGTTTTCTGAACATTTACATCTAGTATTGTTGGACACTCCGAAAATCATCCACAAAATATAATATATATTATCAAATACAGTTTTTTTTTTTTCTAGTTTAAGATTAGTTTTGGTATATAATTTAAGAGAAAACTCTTGTTTGGTAATACATAATTTAATATAAATACATATTTCAGGATGGCAAAAATGAACCTGAACATGTTAGAAAGCTGTTCATAGGCGGCTTGGATTATAGGACCACAGATGATTCTCTTAAAAAGCATTTCGAACAATGGGGAGAAATTGTAGACGTTGTTGTTATGAAAGATCCCAAGACAAAGCGATCTCGAGGATTTGGCTTTATCACATATTCACGAGCTCACATGGTAGATGACGCTCAGAATGCAAGGTAAACACATTTTTTTTTTTTTTATGAGAAGTGATGACAAAATTTTTAATACACATTGTGAACTCATTTTCGAATATTTTTTTCTTACAGACCTCACAGAGTAGATGGCAGAGTAGTTGAACCAAAGAGAGCTGTACCCAGACAAGAAATCGGTCGTCCAGAAGCTGGCGCCACAGTGAAAAAACTTTTCGTAGGTGGCTTGAAGGACGATCATGAGGAAGAAGATCTTAGACAATATTTTCAGAGTTATGGCAGCATTAATTCAATTAGCATAGTAACCGACAAAGAGACCGGGAAGAAGCGTGGGTTTGGGTTTGTCGAATTCGATGACTACGATCCTGTTGATAAAATCTGTCTCCAGCGTAATCACCAGATTCGCGGCAAGCATGTTGATGTGAAGAAAGTAAGTGAACAATTTCTTAAAAATGTGTTGCTGTCGGAAAAACATATCTTTATCGATGGAATAACTTATATGATTACAGGCTTTGAGTCGAGCAGAGATGGCGTCAGCATCCGGAGGTGGCGGTGGCGGCGGCGGCGGCAACCGCGGTGGACAAGGAGTAGGCAGGGGACCACGCGGCGGCAATCAAGGCGGCGGTAACTGGGGTGGACGTGGTAGTGGCGGCGGCGGCGGTGATTGGAATAATAGCGGCAATCAAGGTGGCTATGGCGGGGGTAATCAAGGAGGTTGGGGAGGTAACGGACCGTGGGAGAACCAGAATCAAGGTAAAGACTCGCATATATGTATAAGAGTTTGCAATAGGGTTTACAATAGTTGAAAAAAAAGGACCTTCTTCTCACAAAGGAGGAGGTTGGAATCAAGGTGGACAGGGTGGTTACAACAGCGGCGGTAACTGGAGCAACGACAACTTCGGTGGTGGTTATCAGCAAGGTTACGGAGGTGGTCCAGTGCGCAACAACTTTAACTCTGGTGGCAGACCAGCACCCTACGGTATTAATTCAGGTCCTAGTGGCCGACAGTCCGGAGACTCGAGATGGCTACCTCCATTCGGTGGACAAGGTCGCTCTTTTTTTTAATCACGCTGTTTAAACACAGGTCATTTTTACTGACCGTTTTTTTTGTCTGTTAAAATGTCACAGGTCCCATGGGTGGTGGCAATTCAGGTGGCGGCGGCGGATACGGAAACCAAGGCGGTTACGGCGGCAATTCTCTAGGAGGTGGAAACATGGGTGGCGGCGGTGGTGGCGGAGGCAGCGGTAGAAGATATTAGGCTGTGCAAACACAGTTAATTTCGCTCTCACTGGTAAGCACAAATTATATAATAATTTCATTATTATTTATTCATTCTCTGTTTCGTATACGTTTAAATATAATATTATATACGCATAAACTCATATACCGTAAAATTAAAAAAAAATTTGAATATAGTTTCTTGTGGAATCTTATCTCGCGAGTTTATTCGACCGCAGATGATTTAGTTTTTAAAGAATTTGAAAATTTTCATCATCATGGTACATTGATATAACTTGTGAACATAATTCAACACTCAAATTTTAAAGAACATAACAATTGTCTTCTTATTGTGATGCTTTATGGCTTGTTTGCAACAAGCTGTAAAACATGCAATTACAAGTTACACATCTAGCGATTGTTGAATTTTCGTACTTGTTATATAATTATTTTAACATAGTTAGAGTTAGCCCACAAATAATTTAGCAGATATCGAGTAAATGGCGTTTTTCTTCTTTTTCTTCAATCAACATATTTCCGAGCAAAGTCAGACACGTAGAATAAATAAGAAACTGTAGTTTAGGTATAAATAGCATCAATAGATAGTTGCCTATTTCTATTTCTCATAGTTTATATTTTGTATAAAATAATGTGAAGTGTATATATAGTATTTTTTTTTTTTTTTTTTAATCTTATTCTATATATACGTATATAAACAAGATGATGATAGATTCTGTGGTAAGGAGGACTTTTTTTCAAAAAAGTTTTACTTAGTACAAGTGTTCGCAATGATAATATTTGTATATTAGGACCTCTAAGGGTCTACAGGGTCAAGGATACAAGAATCTCAGGATATGAGGCACCGAGGATTTGAGTAAAGGTTATAAAGATTAGAAAGGGATAAGGAAATTGGTTCTTCTATATACTTTTATATATATACATACATCGGATTAGATCACGTGTGATATTTTAACCTTCAGCAGAACATTTTAAATGTTAGCAATAGATTAATTGAGCCTGGAAACTCTCAGCTCTTTATTAGGCAAAATATCAGTTCCATGTAAGATTTAAAAATTTCAAGGATTAATTAGGAACTCTTTGAACAGAAAGAAAAGAATTTTTTACGTTATGAATTATTTAATTGATATGATATGAAATGACAAAGAGTGTTTAGAATACGTAGGAACTCAGGAAATGTCAATAAATTTACAAATCCAAAGCCTTCAAAAGATCCAAAGATTCGGGAATTCCTTGGTCGCGACCCGACTGGTCTTTTAACACAGATCAGAAAACCTGACTAACAGATTTCTTGACTTTTGAACCTCAGGTGAAGCTACTACTCCTACTTGTCTTCTAATCGCCATAGTACTTCTGTACTATTTAGTATTGGAGCAGGCAGGCAGGCTATCAGACTAGGGAGACAAGACAACGAACAGGCAGAAACTCAGAATCAGTCAGGCAGGACAATCAGGAAACAGGACAGAGAAACAGAAAAAAGTCATCTTTTAGCTCACAGTGAGAGGGAGAGCAAGAGAGAGAGAAAAAGAGAGAGAATCTTACATTTTTTGTTAACCCTTTTTTAATTTTTATTCAACGTCTACCTTCTCCACTTCTTCAATCATTGTAACAACTTTCGTTTATTCCTCAAATATATTTGCACATGTTTCATTAGGAGTTGCGTATAATTTGACCAGATAGGAAAAAAAAAAAGTTTGTTTGTAAGGACAAAATTATATTCTGGCAGGAATGCGTACACTTACAAGAGAGAGTATTTGTGTGTGTGTTTTTGCGTGTGTATAAACGACAGCAGAAAATAATTTTACTCATCAGAGATTTTTAGGAATTAAATAGGAGTAGTTTGTAATAGGAACTAAGAGTAACTGCTTTATAAAATAAGTGTTCAATAACAAGTCACGTCTCAGTGATAAGTCACTTTTATTTTAAATTTAAATAATATTTTATAATACAGAAAATTTATAAAATATTACAAATAAATTTATAAAATATTACAGGAAGTAAAACTTACAAAAATTATATATGTATATGTATATATATATATATGCACATGTATACATATACGTATGTAAAATATTGCTTAATTTTGATAATTATAATTATTATATAGAAAATAAAAATTTATAAAAATAATTACATAGAAAATAAAAAATTTTTTTTTAAGATTATATTTAAAACAAAATTGATTTATTATTAGGACACATGACTTCACTGCTGGGACAATTATCTTGGTTAAGAGTTAGTCAGCGAAATAAACATAAATTCATTTTTTCATTATATCTTAATTTTATGACGTGGGGTTGGTAGGCTGTAAGATCAATTTAAAAAAACAATTGCGAGAGGACAAAAAACACCAAATAAAACATCTAAGATTATCTGCCAGAATATTTTTTTCGTGCATCTTCGAATAGAATTTGCTTTCTATATGCTTTCAATTAAAAAAAAAAAAAATATTTTATTGCCACACATGTGTATTTATAGTATTGTATAAGTTTTCTAATCGACGCAAAACTTTCTTTTCAAATTGCATGATAAAAATATTCGTGGTGATCATTAGCAAAGCAGATATTTGTACACGTTGGAAAGAAGACAAACTTATAGATGTACGTTAGATAAAATGATAAAAAGGAATAGATGTATCTTCGACTTTGTAGTCCGTGAAAAAAGTGCCACCGATAATTCGGGGCACGTCAATGTTTAATTGTGTACCCGCAGTATTAAATTATTTGTACACAACGAAATCCCAATCCCAGTTTTCTGTAGTTCTTTTCATAGCGATGAGTCTTGTGACTGAGAGACTCACGAGATTTTTTTCCAAAAAAAAAATCCTTCACTTCCTTGCGACGTATTTAAAGGATTTTGAGATCGTCGTAAGTACGGAACAGTTTCAAAATGTTTCGTAAATTAAAGGAACGTTGAGATCATTAAATTTCTCAAAAACCAAAATAGTCTTAGAAATTTTTGAGTTAACATGTATTATTTTAAATACAACTTGATTGAATTTGTTTTGAGAAAATTTAAGAATTATAAGTTAAATTTCTTATAGATAAAATTTCTTTCGTAAAAATAGATAAAGTTTGACACTAGATATTTTATTACACCAGATATCTTGTTTACAATCTAGAATTAACTAATTAATTTATAGTCAACTATGTCTTAAGATTTGGTTCACACGTATTCACGAGGTATGATCCTCAAATCCAATTGATCCTTTCATTCCTTAGTCAGCTCTTCATCTTTAGATAGACTTTAGAGCGACATTGAAAGTGCTAGAATAACATCTAGTTAGACTAGTGCAGTTCGGGCCTTAGTGATGAAGATTAGCAGCTTAAGAGCCAGGAAGAAGCTAGGAGGCAGGCAGGTAGCAGAGAAAAAGAATAAATGAGAAAGAGAAAAAAGAAATGAAACAGAAAAACAGAGAAGGATTCTCAGGAGACAGGACTAGTGTTTGCTAGGCTTTTTGCTCTAGCCTCTGTTATGCAATCACAGGTAGGAAAATTTCGACTCATTTGCTTTAGACATATTATATGTAATACATATAAGTATATATCTATAGGATACTAAATGGCAAAAAGTGTGTGCATGATGTTACAGTGTTGTTTTACAGTGTCTCTCGGCGACTAAGTTGCATCTAGTGTACCATATATACCAGAGTTGTTTACAAAAGATTTGCGAAAGTTTGATGAATCGATAGAAGTTGAATTTGCTACAAGTAGAGAACAAGTATCTTAGTTGTTAAATTTATATATTAAGTTTTTTCGTTATTTATAATACGCGCGCAAATTATTTAGATTCATCTTTCTATCGCAGAAGAGCTTTAAACTTAAACGGGAAGCACATTTTGTTTGTATATCGTTGTTGCATCGTTGTTGTTTTTACATATATTTCTCTTTTTATTATATTATCTTCACCAAGTGTTTACGCGCACACAAGAAGTCTTGTGCTTTTCTTTTTATGTATTATACAAATTCTTCGGTGCCCAAGGTCCTTCGTAAAAATTTGGAGATTTTGCAAAAGGAATTTGACAATCGCAGTCGTACAAGAATGTCCTCACGGCGACAATCCTAAGACTTCAACGATTTGATTGAGAATCTTAAATATATCGAGTAAATAACTTATATACTAGCTTTTTAATAAACACGATAGCGAGAAGGACGATGATAAAGATAATGATAGGCTTTGTCATACTTTGTTCATTTAAGTTCTCTTGCTCGGAGCAGGCAGGGCGTTTGTTAATAAGATTTTTAATTTCACTGTATTAATTGTTGTCTTTCGTTTGCATTAATTTCTGGTTTACCGTTTGGGCTGGTACTCGAAGAGCGCGAGGTCACTGCCGTCATCCTTCCGACTAAGGTCGCCGACTGAGGTAAGTTCAAGTAATAAGTTATTATTCACATACGCTAACGCATATTTCCTGGGTCGCACTTCGTTTCGAGGTCGAATATTTTTTAAAGATTTATACATAGATTTTAGAAATTTTAAGAAAATTACAAATATTTTTCTAAGAGAAATATTTCAGATATCGAAAAAAGTAAAAATTGAAGAAAGTTTTTAGAATATAAAATAGGTAAAACAGAGACATTAGATTGTTTGAAGTTTGAAATGCAGTTAAAAACATTTTGAAAAAGTAGTCTACAAATTTCCTAATAAATCAAATAAGAAACTTTGGTTAAAAAACCAGGAATGTGTTAGTTTACTCAAAAACAATTTTGAAAAAGATCAAGCTGTAAAAATTAGAAATTTGTTCAAGATCTTGAAATCTATCGAGCTGTGTATCTTTGGCTGTGCGTGTAAACTGATCTTATAATAAACTTTTTTCTAGTCTTCTTTCTACAAGAAGTTTTTCTCATTTTATCTCCCTCCCATTAAAAAAAATAAAAAATAAAAAAAAAATAAAAAAAATACAGAACTGCAAACTACACCTTTATCCGTCATCTATAAAGTATTTAAGTCAAAAACAATAAATATGTATATAATGTGACAATTATAAAAAATCTAATTGTATAAATTAAGAGGATATATAAAAAATTATAAAGTTTGTGTTTTGCAGTTTTGTATATTCTCTTCTTATTTTAACACAAAGTATTAATTACAAATGAGCCATACGCAATTAAATATATTGCCCTTTATTATAATTATCATATAAATAATAACGCAACTACATGTACTGTGTTAACTACATTACTATTGTGATTTATCGTAATTGGATTGAGTTTTCCGATGGCATCTCGTTTTGACATTTCATATCATATTCGATTCAATCAATTGGATTTTATATCAAGCTTGCTAGTAAGAAGCAAGAAATCACAAAAGTAGGTAAGTGTTTGTACAAATTAAACTACTTTTATCATAGATAATTTATTTTAAATTCACATTTGTTTCGAGAAAACTCGTTAATTCTCAAGAGATGGAAGTTTTTTTTTTTTTTTTTCGAAGAGATCTATCGCTTTTTATCCTTACGGATGTCAAACATTTTAATGTAAAAGATCATAACAAAAACGGTGTTGCGTGTCGTTAACGCACTAAATAAACATAGAGACATCGCGTTAGGATTCATATAATTTAAATCGTAGACACGAGATTCGATGGATTGTCGGACGTCTCGCTTCCGCTGCTGCTGTAACGCGGCTGTTCCTTCGAGGACGGGTCGGCAATGATGGAATTGCCGGATACGCAAGTGTGGTTAGTCATCGACCCGTAGTTATCCTTGTACAAACAGAGGCCGCAGAATCCTGCCGCGTTGTAAAGCGGCAGATTCACCAAACCGTTCGACACGGCAAAGTTTCTAAAAAAAAAAAAAAATACAAGAGATTACGTAATAATTAAACTTGAAACAAATTTGCGAACGAAATTTAAATTGTTATTTTTGAACACAGTTAAAATTATATTTTGTAGGAGTAGGGAGAGAAGTTACTTATGCTGACGAAAAAGCGCTTCTGAAAAGACTGGCAGCAAGAGCGTGATCAACGTGATCTGTATTTGGCTCTGGAAGTAAAGGCTTTTATTCCGAGAGAAACACATTAGGAGAGAAAATAACAGAATCGTTACTTAAACTGCGGATTGCGTGCATTATCTTTTTCTCTGTTTGCTCATTTCTCCCTAAATAAATACTGTTATTGCGAGATTGTTTCTCGTTAAGATATAAAGCACATTTGGAACTTCGCAATCGTGTCGATGTGCAAGAATTTTCGATGGTACGAACGACTCGCTAATTTTTTAGTTTTATTTTTTTTCATTACTGAGTATTTTGACAAAACTTGAAAGTTGACCGAAACACATTTATATTCAGCTTGAAATTAATCAAAAAATAAAGTTTTTATCTCCTTACGTTCCAGAATTTCCTCGGATATCCTATAAACTATGTGTGTACGGTGGAGAAAACAGAGATCGCAAAGATCACAAACTGGTGTATCTCGCTGATATGTAGGGAGTTGCGACAAGTGGATGAGAAAATCTCGCGGTTAGCACGGCGAGTGCATTTATCCATCGTTTATCCGTGGGTTTATCGAGCGTCAGGTGCATATCGACTGAATAACATCGAGGCCACTCTTAGAGCAAATATGACAGTAAAGAAAGAGAGAGAGAGAGAGAGAAAGAAAGAAAAAAAGGGGGAAGAGCGACGGGATTCAGCGGACCTCGAGAGCGACGCTCGACTGCGGTTCGACTGAGAGGGTGATTCTCGATGCGATACGCCGCTAAATAGCCTTAAGTAGGATTACGTCTGCTATTGTGATCGAGGCAATGCGGAAGGTGGAGCTCGTATAAATTTCGGGCTTTGTGCGACGCCGGGGACGTCCCGACGTCTCTCTCGCGTCGCCGGTACACGGAGAGGGTACACGAAATCGTCGGCACCCTCCGCTAAAGGTGCGTTCCCGAGGTAATTGTTTGTAATGGGATGGAGAAACTTGATTTCGGGACGAAAACGTCGTTTGACACGTCGATTTTCGACGCTTATACAGAAAGATGGAAGTTTTGTCTCGTTAAAGAAATCGTTTTCTCATTCACGAAGAACGGCAACAGAGAACTCGGAAAAGTAAAGTGACGCGAAATAAAATCTGGAAAAAAAAAAAAAAATCAGCTGAGAAGAAAAATTCAGCCTTTTCACTCCCGTTCCGAGAAAAAAAAATTACAAGAACAACTGACGAAACAAATGACTGTTCGTTAATAACCATCGCATCGAAATCGCAATATATCACGAGCTGACAAGATAACGATTCAGTCGTATACATCACGCGTGGGATGCAACGGGACGGGAGATGCGTGCGAGAACTGCCATATGCTCCCATATACGGCCTATTATAGTCGGTACTCTTGCTTTTCCCGTGCCGGCTTCACTAAGGAGGAATTAGGATCGCGTGTCCAAATAGCTTTGAGAAAAATAACATGCACAGCCACGAAGAGAGATTGGTCCTCCCCGTCACTTAACGAGTCATTATCCATTGTATATCCATTAGTTGGCATATGTTTTTCACAAGTAAGAAACAAAACGAGAGAGAGAGAGAGAGAGAAAATTCTGAGCGATTAACTACCGGTACTGCTGGTCCAGTTGCGCCTTCTCGATTCTTTTGTCCTTGGCACGCCTGTTTTGAAACCAGATCTTAATTTGCGTCTCGGTGAGCCTCAACGAGGCTGCGAGCTCGAACCTACGTCCCCTCGAGATGTATTCGCCTCGCCGATACTCGACCTCCAACCTCAGAGTCTGCTCACCGCTGAACGTTGTTCTCTGTCGTCGTGGCCGGCCCTCTTTTCTTCTTCTGCGCGCTACTGTCAAGAAGATGAACATATATTTGTACACGATATTTGTATTTTCAATTCTTTTTACAAATTGTAAATATTTTTTCATCAAAATATTTTTACCGCCACAACGAATGTTAATGCACTCGTTACAGATAAAAAAAAAAAAAAAAGAAAAAAAAATTAGGGCGTATGAGTGCACACCTGGTGGGTAAAGTCGGTGAAAATAAATCCAGACATGCTGTAATTTCATCTTCGCCACGTGAAAGAATAATTAGAGGACGCGTCGACGGGAGTAAGCGACACCGGAAGACGAGACTTCCCGAGGCTTCGCTCAATCTGACGCGAAGCGGATATAACCGGGGGATTCCTATTAATTGATCAATGAACTTTGTGCAAATAAATCTTTCGGATAAAAGGATGATGACGAGAAAAAAACAACGAAATCGGAAATCAAGATATGTGCTCTACGCGGCTGAAATATCTACAAAATATATAGTATATATACGCGCGGGGTATACAATTCACGATGAGCGACTTACGCGGCGAGTATATTTTCCGGCGAGTCGAGTCGCGCTTTCCGATGTGGCTCGGGGAGCTTAAGGGCCGTTTATAGAGAAGGAAAGAGCTGATTTGAGGGAATACCGCGACGTGTATCTCCCGTATTGAGGGGCGGCCAACTGCATCCCGTAATCTCATCACAATATCGCGACGAGGTGTCGAAGCGCGATAAACTCGCGCGAGCGTGTGCGCCCGCGCGTTTGTCCTCTCCCGCGATGTTTTTGTTGCGACAAACTTTCCAGACGAAGAGTGAAATTCGCTAATTCGTCCCCTTTCGCTAAAAATTGTATCCAGAATATTTCGGACTGTCTGTGATATAAAACTGCTCGGAGAGTAGCGTGCGATCGAAGCAAATCAAAAAAACTATCGTTTTTTTGCCGAACGCATTTGTGTAAGCAGTTTATTGAGGAAGATTTTCGCGCGTCTTGTACCTTTAATTGTTATATATCTTGTAATAATTAAAAATTAATTATTTAGAGCAATCTCAATGCCGTATATAATTTTGATCGAATCTTGTGAGTGTCGTTTCTTCAAAATTCTTAATTTTTTTTCATGAGAGGAAAAACCAGTTTACAAGAATCGTCAAAAAGTTATGCGAGTTTGTTTCGAAATTAGTCATTTTTTTCCAAATAATTATTGCGTGTTGTATTGTTAACGGCGATGCGAACTCACTCGCGATATATTCTCTCGCTCTGGACGATGGTCGCGTCCGACACCGCTCAGCGTCGCATAATGCGACATCACATGAAATCTACTTAGCGATTCACGAATATTCGAACGCAAAGACGTCTTACGATCCTCAGCTTACAGAAAGAGAGAGAGAGAGAGAGAGAGAGGAGAGAGAGAGCGCGCGCGAGAGAAGGACGCGTGGTCCGAGTACCGGGCTTTTGGAAATGCGCGGAGATGCAGTCGCTTGCATTTCCGTGTGCATATCTCCGTATTGCAGCGACGGATACACAAACGGTAACAAAATGTGTTTCTTGGCCGAAAACATGGTCGCGGCCATGGGATCGCACACGAGAATTACATAAAATCTATGCTGCGCGGTTTGCGTGTATATGTACGTAATTTTAGGCGAGTAATGCTTCAGTGTTTTATCGACAAAAATGTTTTTCAAATACACACTTATAAAACAAAGACCATTTGTATTCAATCAGTTTCATACGACGAGAGAGCGTTTTGGCGTAGCACCACATTGTTTTCAGATCATTCGAAAATTCAATTGCGATTAAAAAATCCAGAATGCAATTAAAAATTGCATTTATGTATTTTGCAGATGTTTGTTTTTGTTTTATACACAATATGGCGATATGTGCTTAATTTCAAGAAAGGGAGCAGGCGACAACTTACGGAAGGCGGAGAATCCTTGGAAGTGATGCTCGGTCATAGGGTGATGGCTCGACAAACCATGAAGATGCGCCGGCAACGTAGACGGATGTGTGAGCTGTGTCAGGTGCAAAGGGTGACTGGGCGCTCTCGGAAAAAATCCGTGCAAGAAAGGCAATCTTACACCCGCGAGCACCGAATTCTTTTCCACTTCCTTGTCGTCGAACGTTTTACGTTTCGCGGCGTCGTCCGATGCCTTCTCAATAAGATCTTTGGAATGTGACGCCTGGGAAGATCAGAACATAAATGCATTCGTGAGATTCAAATTTTGAAATTAATCGGTCTCTCTTTATTTGCGGTCAGAACTTTTTGTAATTAAAAAAAATCAGGTTTTAAGATTGTAAAAAGGGATATTGGGAAAAGATAAAATTAAGATCATTCTCAATTTTAATATAAAAAAAAAAAAAGGAATAAAGAGAGCGCGTTTAATTATGCTTACATGCAGAGTTTTGTGCGATTCGGGCGAATCGGGAAGTTCGCGCGGGGTTTCTGTGATTTCCGGCGACGAATCCAGACTCTCTCTAGCGCAATCCTCGTCCTCGTCATCCTGCGTTTTCTTGGTCGCCTCTAAATGGCCGTAAAGTCGCGCAAAGAAACGTCTCGGCGAAGATGGTCGTCTCGTCTTCTTTGCAGACATTTGACGGAACAACAAAATCTAGATTTGACAGTCCATAGGTCTGGAAAGACTCTCTGTGTACGTAAGATTATTTTTCTTTTTAAGACGAAAAAGAAACAAGGATTTCAACGATTGTCGCACAATAATCCTATCGAACGAAACGATTCGGGATTTTTCACATCCAATGCCATCGAAAATGGCAAAAAAAAAAAACAAAGAAACTCAAAGAAATTCCAGATATTCGGTACTCAAAACAATTCGACTCTAATATTCGAATTATTCGATGTAGCAAGTGTCATCGAGTTGGTCTAACATTTAAATTAGTCGAGTAATGCGGGCCGGATAATTTGAAAATCTTAATATTCGAAAAAATTCAAAATTTGGTTGTTTTTTTTTTTTTTTAAGTAGTTAATTCTTGCCTCTTCGACAATAAAACTTTTTTCCCGATGAACTTTTGAATTTATCAATCATGTCTTGTCATGTGTCACGAAATTTTATTGTTCACTTTTATGTGTTGCAATTTTATAAATCAAACTTTCGTTAACAACTTCACACTGGAACACTGATAAATAAGTAATTCCCGTTGGAACTTCCCAAGATGGGGTACGCACTATGTGGTACTTTGAAGGCGGATTGTGAAGTGTGACGGATTCGCGAGCTCGGGAACGTCGGTCTCTGCGGGGTGGCATGCGCGTCTGAATCACCTGGCTGTCCTCCATTCTCGCACCTCGTGCTGGCTAGGGTAAAAAGACCAAAGTAGGGAGATACTCCCCTCCCACGCACATCTCTCCACCCTCGGCCACCCTCTCTTTCTCATACAGCGCTGCGCCGCCCCCATGCGAAGCCGCACGTGCGACCACATTCGCACGGCCAAAAGTTTCACTTCTTCTTGAACGGATAAACACGAGAGGAACTCGCGGAGTGTCCCCGATTTAAATCTTTTCGGATGTCAGTTTGCTTCGAACGCCACGGATTGACGATTATTACAGAAATATGCGATTGAACTTGGCTTGCTCTAGAAACTGTAATTCGGAATTTATTCCGTCAGAAAATACCGACTTGGAATTCTAAATTGCAAGATTATTCAAAATCGATTACTCGAATTCATTCAGATTTTACTGTTCGAACACTCATCGAGTTTATTCGCGAAAAACAGCGAAGGGGAAAAGGCTAGGGATTATTATTTCAATAACTGCGATACCAATCACGCGTCATCTCTCGAGAAAATGAAAAGGGGGCTTCCACCGAACACGGAAACCGAAGAATCACGCGCGGTTTAGCGTGAACAGCGAGATTATTATTACGAGGATTCATTCTGTTCTCGATTTTTTCGCGATGAAACGATGCATCCTGATACGTCCTGATCGTTACTTATTATAAGCATTCAAATGCTTCCCCTCCGACTTCTATATCTTTGATTGAAACCGAGATACTCCTTCTTTCCATACAGTCTATTGTTGATACGGATCTTGTTTTATTTTCTTTTTTTTTTTTTTAATCAGCAAGAAACCCAAGAGTATTCAATTCCAAACACTCAACTTCATGAGAATCTGTAGATCTTTGAAATCCAGACTCACATCTCGTAGTTTTTTGACATATTTGACACGCTTAAGATTTAACTTATCTCTTTTAATGATTTTTTTTTTTTTTTTATCACCGAATGAGAGGTGTGTAATAGCAGAATATGCTTTCTTCTGCAATTTTATTGAATAAGTTTCAATTTGTGAAATTGGGTTGAATTGTTGGGCGAAAAGACTAGAAATTATAATAGAAAATTTCCCATAAAATCCAACCATTGTCAATTTAATATTATTTCATATGAAATGTTCCGTAATAACATTATTTTAATATTCGCACATTAAATTCGACATTTATATCATTCCGAATCTCAAAAATCTCGTACTAAATTAAGCACCGGTTAACAATATAGCAACAACAATAATAATAATAACGTAACAAGCAAGCCCGGCCGCTATTAAACGCGCGGCGGCTAAAAACTTCGGCAGCACTCTCCGCGACACCCGCTGTCATTATAAACCAGTCCCTCTAACCCCCTACCCTCTGTGGTTGCCTGGATGATCTGATTGTTTCACGTTCGCGTGAGATTTATCTAACGGGGTGGCGGAGCGAGGCGGAGGCGGATGCTGGATGCTGGACCAATAGGGTGACGGGCGGAAATCGATGTAATTAGAGAGGAGCCAACCCGGCAACAGGCCGGGGATGTGAGAGACATGCGCGGCGGCATCGCGCCGGGCAACGCGAGCGCTTCCGCGTGTATATGGGTGTCTAATTCCCTTTGTGCGCCGTCTATTGTCGGCATTACGATTATTACGCTCACGCTGATTTCGCTCGTCGTCGTGTAGTCGTCGTCGGGCGACGCAACAATACAATTATCGTTATCCCCGCGGTCAATACGCGACGCCGACGAAGAGCGGGATATACCGCAGGTGCAACGCGTCGCTTATCGACGTATTTTTTTTTTCACAGAAAGAAAAAAACTGAATTGCTATTAATATACCTTTTTTTTATTTTGAGCGGCAGCGAAATAGCGAAGCTTTCCGCGGTATTTTTTGGCCGGATCGATGCTCAACAAATAGGACAGGAACGGCGATACGGAAAGTTGAAACAGCTGACAATTGCTATATTTTGCACAATTGATTCTGATTTAATAAATAATTTAAAAACTGAGTTTTTTCTAAATTTGCGAGATTTTTGTCACTCGAAGAGAGAAGAGAGAGAACGTCTTTTAACGCGAACTTCAAGCGAATCACTTGTTTGTGTTCGATAAAGAAAGAAGGCTTTTGACGTAACTGATTTCTTTACAACCTTTATGATCGACATGACGCGATTGCATCAATGTCGTAGCGCACCTAGTAAGTTCTTGAGCATTAGCAAAAGAACATCCAGAAGTAGGACGTGTTCCCGAAGGCTCGCGCAGAGCACAGGAAGCTTGCAAATACGTCAAAATTGTACCTGTCATTGTAAATTTCGTTGCGACTCGGTCTCGGAAAAGCAGAACGAGACGTTCACGTTGACGGAATCGCGACTCACATCCCAAAAAGAAGGTCGAGTAGCTCTGGGCTTGTTCTGCGCGCTGTTGTGCTCGCAATGCTGCGTGTGGAACACTTGGGCCCCGATCGCGGGTCTCGCTCTGCGAGCCTTCCCAAACTGGAACGAGTCTCTGGTGGCCCTTCTTTCCGATTGGGGCTGCATCAGCTACCTCACATGCTGCGTACCTTCCTGCTGGCTCCTTTACAGAAAAGGTGATTCACGCACCTAAATCGCACATTTAATGCGATTAAAAGTATTGAAAGAAAAATTAATTTAATGTTTAATATTTTATTTTTATTAATTTTCATATTTTCCACCATGAAACAAAATATCACGCGCGTCTTGTATATTATATCGTAAATAAGTGATAAAAAAGAGCACACACCCTCAAGATCTAGTAATGTCCTTACAAATGGCGGCGATTCTGTCGACCCTGGCAACTCTCATACGTTGTGTGTCCACCACGGAAGACGTTTTCACGATGTACGTTAATTGAAAATGGATAATCGTTGATTGGAAGTAAAGAGAGTGTTTTTATCACTCAGAACGGTGCACACAGCAGCCATTCTCAACGGATTATCGGGAACGATTCTCGGTCCTGCAACACCGCTCGTTTCTGCGATATGGTTCCCTCCTGGAAAACGCACCACTGCCACCGGTATATCAATCTCTCTCTGTACATACAATTATTATTATATTTAAAAAACGAAATGTAATATAGTTCTTGAGAATATTTTATTGTCATTTTAATTGCGAAAACACAAATTCGATCGATACAGGTATATCATCCGCTTGCAACCAACTGGGAATGGCAATTTCTTATTTGCTCGGACCGGCTGTTGTAGGCGGCACAACTGTGTATTTGGCAAAAAATGCGAATTTTAGTACGAATGCGAGTTACGATCACACGCACTCCATACCGCTGAGAGCGCAGATTATGTCTCTTATGAGAATCGGTATGTGTGTTATATTTGAAGAAAGAAAGAGAGAAATATTAATAAAAAAAAATTGTGTGTGAGAATTATTAATTTTAATTATACATTATTAATTTTTTTTTTTTCAGAATTTGTTGTCCAATTCCTGATTTTGATAGCCGTTCTGTGTTTTCTCCCGCAAGAACCTTATCGATCCATCGTTCTCTCTGAGATTCCTGAACGTCTCGGTCTTGTGAAATCTATTCTTTGTCTCTTAAAGTAATTTTTGTCGTGTTCTTTTTAAAATTTAAAACATACAAGTTTTAAAAAATATGTAACAATTTATCGTTTTATCTCGTGATAAACCAACTATCCTACATAACTCACTCTTACGCGAGGAGGTAACAAGTCCCTTTGGCGCAGAGGATAGCGCGTTGGACTTCTAATCCAAAGGTCGTGGGTTCGATCCCCACAAGGGATGCATTTTTTTTCCATCTTTTTATTTCCACGAATAACGAAATTATATAAATTGCTTCGTATGAATAAACTAAAAAGTCTCAATCTCATTTTTCTGCTATTATTTGACTACGTTACTTTGAGAAAATAATTTTTCATAATTTTTTTTATAAAAAAATATTAAAACGATTAAAAAATTTTTTTAAGTTATAGCTTTGATCAATCCATTACATTAATTTTTATAAAAATGTTAATTTATAAAAATGTCAATTTTTGATAAAAAGAAATTGTTAAAACGTGTTGACTTTTGTCAGAAACAACAATATGTGGCGTCTCTGTTTGGCTGCTGCACTCAGTCAAGGAGTGACTGGACCGTGGCTTGCGATGATGACAATGACGTTCGATGCCAATATCACACAAGTAAACAAAAACAAAACGGAGTAAACGTATTTAAACAAATTTCAAACCGTGTATTACGAATATAGTAAACACATTTCAATTATAAACTTACATATAAAAAAAGATTAAGCTCTTAGAAGTTCAAATGCAGGAAGAAGCGGACAAGTTGGCCTTCTGGACAATCATCCTCAGCGGTGCTTTGAGCCTGATGGCGTCACGACTGACGGACACGTTCGAAGGTCACTTGAAGATCGCTCTTTACATCTTGTTGACAACTTCGTCGGCGATGTCTCTCTGGATGATCTTGCTGGATGATCATGTCTTAATTTTTCACAAGGGCGAGTTGTACGCCGCGGTGATTCTGGGAATATCCGCCAGCTGGTCCACTCCGGCTCTGTTCCTTGAGCTCGCTTCCGAGATAGCGTTTCCGGTCTCCGAAGCCATCGTCGGCGGTTACATGATCTTCCTGTCAAACCTGGTCGGCGCGATTTTCTATCTGTCGTACTTCCTACCGTCGATGAGTAAGCTGTATTTTCGCGTATTAGTCGCAAATGTTTAGTTTAGTGTTTATATATATATATATTTTATATTTGTCTTCTTCATATCTTCAAATGCAAGACAAACGTTGGTCGACGTATTGGTTGTTCGCGAGTCTCACGACGGCAACGATCCTTGTGATATACGTTAAGGAGGATTACAAACGCACCACGATAAGATAAATATCTAATGTATAAAACAACAATTTAATGTATACCTTACCTGTACTATTTTCATCTCCCCCAATCGTCATCATTGATCCACTTATACCGACAATTGGTAACAATTAAATTACTCTACTATCGCAAAGTTAAACATTCTTTTCACCATCTAATGGAAACAATTCAAAATGTAACATAATGAATCTGATTCTTTTTTTTTAAATTAAATTAATTCAAACCTTTGCATAATTTTATAACTTTATTTTTTATACTTAAAAAAATAAAAATATACAAACTCTTTGTGATGTAACAAATTGATTACATGTGCGCTCAGCCATCAGCATTTTTTTTTCAACTTTTGAATTTTAAAACTGGCAAAGCATTTTCAGACAATCGAATTGTTGTGATACCAGTTGTAATACGTGCGAAACAATAGTTCTACAATTTCTGATAAGTTTTAGAACTATTCTCGGCTGTTAACTCAGTTGTTTAACGACTTTAAACTTTTGAAGCTGGCACAATTTTTACAAAACAAACCAGTAGTTGAGAGCGTCGTAAGAAACGACAATGAGATGGCCGCTCTCAGATTTCTCTCTGGTAAGACGATTAAGCAAATCAGCCAATCAACACAGCCGTTTCTGTTGAACCATATCGCACATTTGAGAGAATTCTGGCCTGTGATTGGTTGATTTGCTTACTGCTTAAGTTTTTTCATGTGTTCCCGACTTTAGTCTGTCAAAAGTTACGATAGTAAACGTGACGCGAACTGTAGTTTTCAGCGAGACGGTTAATATCGGAATGCACCCTAGATAGAGTCGATTGTCAATAACATTGTTTGGAGGGGGCCAGCTGGAGTGAATCGGACGAAAACAAAACTCTGGTCAAAATTGGGTAAACGTTATATTGTCTGCTTGTCCTACCAGCAAGCGATTGAAATGAGGACTATACTGGAAATGAAAGCATTTAAACCTATTTTCGACGCTCGAAATATCGTTATTGTTCTCGGTTGTCATTGTCGATTCTCAACACTGCAATCAGAGTTTCTTTAGAGCTCACAAAAGAATCTTTTGTCAGAAGCTATCAAGTGATCTACGTCGATCAGTACCAATTAATAAATTCACTTCAATAGTTGATACATCATGGAGAAGCAAAGACAGGTAGAACAAGTAGTGTACACACTTTGACCTTGTGCATTACCTTTGTATTGTTCAATGATATTGAAACATAACAAGACTACACTAGTCAATTATGATGTAAATATAAAGATTTGTTTTTGTACATTTTAGAAGAAGAAACGAGATAAATCACATCAGTCAATTCTGGATCATCAGATACCTGATGCACCTACTTTAGAAGAATTTGAATGTCTGCTTGGAGAATCGCCCACAAATTATCCTAAAGGTGAAGCTGTGGAAAACATAGAGAGTGAATTACATTCAGCTGCTATTGATACAGAAATTTATGAAAAAGAAGCAGCTGAAAAGGCAGCTCAAGAGAAAGAGTATAGTCTTCGAGTGGAAACAACAAATAAGGTTATCATTTGATATTTTTTTTCCAACAAAATAAAATAATATTTATTGATATATATTCAAGAGATTGTAGTGTATAAAATTTTTACAAACACGCATAAACTATAGAAGATATTACATATTATTGTGTCATATTTTAGGTGTTGCTATTAACTGAAAATTCCTGTGATGAAGTAGATACTGTTCGACCTTGCTCAGAGTCTAATGATCATGCCTTAAACAATGAAATAGATCAAGTTCAAGTAAATGTCTCTACCATTCAACTGGTAGATATACCAGCAGAATCATTGACTGTCTTCAAAGAAGCTAATCAAGTAGCACAAGATGACTCCAAGAATTCAGTAAATGTAAAGACATCATGTCAGAAGAAGATTTCATCGAAACAAGCAGAAGTTTCACAGAGCAAAAAGGACGTGAACACATTTATGGACGTCAAACCATTTACAGAACAACAATTGGCATCCTTATATCACAATCAGGAACTAACGCTAGTGGAAGCTTTTGTGAGCGAGTTTACAGACACGCAATTAAGATGCGCACCGCTGAGGCAGCAGCACAGACTGCACGAGTTGCTGATGAGCTACTTGCGAGTGCGGAATCACCTGATCGCAAACTCATACGAGTTGGAACGTTTGAAGAAGAGCTGTCGAGAAACCCAGAAACAGCTCTGGTGTCTGGAAAAAACGTCGGTGACGGAAAGCGGCGAATGTCAAGACGGCAATCCTGTTACCGCCACCCACGAATATTCAATTGCCCATTTTAATCAGCAGACTCTTGTGGCGCTGTCCAGGACTTTGTCCTCCATTAAAGATACTCTTCACAATAGCCAAGCGCTGTACTGCTACGAAGCGGAGTCGTTACGCTTGCAAATCGAACATTACGTGCAGAGAGTGGCCAGAAGTTTTAACGAATTTGCCACTCTTTCCGAGACCGCTGCTGCAAATTTATTGCCGGAACAGTCGCCGTCTCAAACACCTCCGCAGCTAGTCGAGCTCAGAATGTGCGTCACAGTTCTATTCAACTTTCAGCGTCGAATTCTTAAGGACGGTAAGTTCGTTACCGATACCAGAGAATGGCTGTCAAGACTGGTGGCGGTGCTTCTGAGAGTCGCTACTTGGCAGGATCACTTGTTTTTGCTGAGTCACATACTGCGATGCCCTGGAGGGATGATGAATTGGGCCAGACCGTTCGTACAAGTGCCAGTGCCGCAAAAAGTTGCGGGATTGAGCTCCTCGCCTTTCAACGATCCGTATCTCGATCACATGATCGCCACTCTCGCGGTAATACTATTGCCCGTCAAAGATCGAGATAAATTCTTGGAGCAGGTACAAGTGTCCCTGCAAGATACCACGTGTAGTCCGGGAGATACGGTATGGGTAATGTTGGACGAAGAAGGCGAAGAGGACGAGGATATTGCTAATGCCGGCGCCAATCTCTTTGAAAGTGATTTGATCTCTCTTCTTCATCAGATCCCTCTGAACCGACTGTTCGAACAAGTGCTGTTCATTCAACGTCAGAACGACAGATACGAGCAGGAGGAGAAAGCTATCACGGATCATCATATGCTGCGTCTCTTCGCGTTCTACACCGTGGTGATCAGACTTGTGAAGCAAGGTCTAAAGACTTACGACTCGCCAAGATACAGGCAATTGGCGAAGAGACTCAGCGCGTTGATCAGAGACGTCGTTCAGTACGCAAGCGATCAGTGGGAAATCTTCGACAGGAGCCGATTGTCTGATGAATCAATACTACAGAAATTGCAGATCGAATACGATTGCTTCTTCCTGAGAGCGATTCTTTGTATATTTTCATCACGCCGCTTAGGTGCATGGCAATACCTTGCCGCGATACCATATCACATAATATCATCCACTACGCTGTGGCAAATTTTCTATATTTTGCATACCGATTCCGTACCTAACGATGTAACAATGTCAAATATGTCGGTATCGGAATGGGAGGCGGAACTAAATTGTTCGGAACTTCATAAACAATTCGAGGAGAAGCTGGGCAACATGCCCGGGGACGAATCTTACTTTTTGCTCACGACTTTCGCTAACATGGCTTTGGCTAGAGGCTATAAAGACTACAATTTTGTGAGGACGACTACGATTGACCTGTTTCAAATAGGATTTCTCAGCGAAAAAACTCAGGAATCTTGCTCGAAGGATGCGAGATCGCTTTTATCAAATTTAACAAACAAATATCCAACTCTTCTGTCTGACATTTTGCAGAAGTTGAAAGAAAATTTTGTATCGGTCGGGAAACTGAGTTTATATTTATTCACCGAACTGAAGATCGGATTATGGGTGCCGCAGCAGCAGGACGTTACAATTCTGTTTAACTGGTTGCATCAGTATCCTTTGACTTCGTCCGAGAGCCACTTGGCACGATTGATTCTCACACATTTGAATTGGGGCCTTGACGCGAACGACAATTTGTACCTTCCAATTGATCTACATCGACAAGTAGCATTGTTAATAGTCGAGCTGGCGATGAAACACGTGCCCGATACTCCGACTCAGACGGCTTCGCTGTTAGCTGAAGGTGTGAAACAAGTTTCGTCAATAATGAGACCTCAAAATAGCGAGCAGGCGTTCAGTCTGTGGACTTGGGAAATGATAAACAGATTGAGACTGCACCAGTTGGATCGATCGGAATCGATATGCCAGAACACAATTCTGAATCCGGCTAACGGTCTCTCTTGCGTGCCTAACATGGAATCGGATTCCTTTCTGGAAGTTCTCGTGAAGGGTGTGCTCGAGAAGCAACCAATTGCATGTTACGTTTCTGTATTGATGACACTGTGGGGTCATTCCGTGCCGCTGATCTGCGTCGAGGGTTTCAGCCAACTGCAGACATTACAGTGCTATTACAAGTACGAGCAGGTGCTTGTGTGTCTGCATCACATAATACCGTTGTTTCTCGAGTGCCCGGAGTCGTTGCTGAAGAACGACAAATTCGTTAGTCTGATTGTGCCGCTCGTCACTGCCGATAGAACTTACATGAAGATAGCGAAGAATCTGATCGCCCCGGAGTTTCCCGGTCCGATTCTCAAGCAATTCTCAAACATGATCGAGTCTCACTTGTATCATTACAAACGGTACGCGATCAGATCATAAAAAAATAGTTTTGGTAACAGTATGTTTTGTTAATAATTATATATATACATCTTTTGTGTCCCCATAGATATTGTCTGAATAGTCCGGAACGTTTCGTACGTCTATGGCTGAACGTACTGATCCTCGTACAAGATTGGAACAAGGATCATAGCGTCATGTATTTGATGGATACTATAATTCGTGCCGCATTCTTTCATTTAGAAACCAGAGTAACCATGGAAAATATGTTTCAGAATCTGTTCTGCGTGAGTACCTCGAAATATTTGTTTTTTTTTTTTGTTTTGCATTAGTCTTCTGCATTTAATATTATTTAATTACAACAGAGTTAAATATATTTTCTTTACTACAATAATCGTGTTTTTACAACAAAGTAACATAGTTCTATGTTTTTAACGGGAGATATTTATTTTGCTAGCTTACAGACGGAAGCAACGAGGTATGATACCTAAGAATTACTTTATTTAATTAGTTTTATGATATTTGCATCACTTTTTAATGAAAATGATTTACATATCGTGTATGTCATATAAAAAAATAGTTCAATAATGGTAGTCTCGTAAATTCTTTTGATCGCCACTAACACGTGCGTTTATATTATATGTTTTTAAATGTGTACGTATAATCCTCAGAACATATCGACTACTCGAACACCAGGATCGTTCGGATCTTTTCTGAACTGGGCGACAGGATCTTCAAACTCTGCGAGCTTGCTCGGTGGAACCGTTCAATCGATATGGCTTGCCTATCAGATTCTCTCAATGGAGCAGTGCGACAGAGAACTGAAGACTGGTCTGTGGCGCGAAATTCTGCGAGAACTGTCCATATACTCAAAAGTATCGTTGGATACTGCGCTTAAGGTTTGACAAATCAAGCATAGAAAAATTTAAAATTGTGCGTTTCGAGTGTATTTACGAAACTATTTATTTTATAAAAATTATTTCAGAGAGCCTGCGCAACAGTGAAAATAACTCCGTTCGGAATAAACAATCTTGCTATATATCGCTGGTCCCAACAAGCTCTTGACACACCTATAGATCATCCGATTCTTCCTCTCTTGTGGCAAAATTTCTTTAGTTTGTTCCTCGCACGAGTTCCCGTTACTCCGGGGTAATTGTCTTCAAACTCGCAGTAATATTGTACGATGAACATACAATTCATTGAAGAACATACAATTTATTTGTTTACTTCAAATTGTTCTAGGTCCACAGACAAAGGTGGAGTTGGAGAAAAGTTCTTCGAGGGCATGATAAATCTAAGCTACTTGAAAAAGTTGAAGAAGCGATTGCATGAAACAACAGAGTACTTCCAAGCAAAAGGGGAAAAGGACACGGATAACGGGAAACCGATTACCGATGAACGACGTGTATTTTATTTTAGTATTGCGAAGTAAGAGAGCAAACATATGTCAACAGAAAAAAATATTTTCGTCAAAATGTATGTCTTATAAAATAAATGTTTACCACAGATTTTATAAAACACTGAGCCTTTGGCTGGAGGAACCTCGTCTTCAGGAACCTGGACTTTATCTGCCAGCTTTGCCGCCGCAATATATGTCGCAGCGATTGATTTTATTAGTTCAAGGAGATCGAGTAAGTTAATTCAATAAGCATCTAAAATCATATATTTTTATTCTTTTATTTTTTTAACTTTTTTTTTATAATTGTTAGACTCCTTGGTTGGAATACGTTGACTACTGGACGGTGCAGCAGAGCCAACTGAAAGCTGTTAGCGAGTGGGAGCACGCAACTTTTCGTGATCCTGAGAATCAGTACCAAAAATCCTCCCAGCCGTCGACGAGTACCGTGGAATCGGTCGATCCTCTTCACAGAATCTTTCGTAGGCTGGGCTCTTATGAACTGCCGGTTTCGCCGCCACCCTTGAGTCGTAATCAACCAGTACTGGGTTGCGTGGCCAGAGATAGTCTTTACAACTTCGAAGCTGTTATTGATTTAATCAAACCGCATCTCAAAGTCATCCTCGATTACGCACAGACCTACAACTTTATGGTATCCGAACACACCGCGGTAGATTGCAGTTTTCTGGAATTAGTCCCAACTCTCTACCGAGTCTACGAGAATCATGTGACCTTGCACGCTCTGTGCGATCCTGCACCACCTGGTCAGCGACGCTCGCGATCGGGCACACCTCCTACGGTGCACTGTGCGGGAGCGGCGGTTATCAGGATCAAAGTATGTAATCGATGATAAACGCAACACGTGAAGAAAAAAGAAACTAAATTAAATTGTACAGGTTGCAGAAGCACACGTTAGTGAAGGCGTGGATCACATGATAACGCAGAACCGAGCTGAGTATGAGAATCTTTTAGTAAAAGCCAGTCAAGCACCTCCCAGTAAGGTTACGCTAGGCTGCGTTTTCACTGATCATGTAATCGCGTAAGTATTCTTCTGATATAGATTTATTTTATTTTATTTTATTTTATTTTAAAATATGTAGGTATTTATATTTATACTAACGTATGTGTCTGATTTTCATATGTTGTTTACTAAAATTCGTCCTTCAGTATGTTGGAACATGAGGTTACTGTCAGTCGCACCAACGAAAATACCGCAGTACTACGCAAGGTGCAAGAGAGCGGAGTCAAATTATTTTATCATCTAGTAGAATTCTATACGGAGGAAGCAACGTTGTGTCCTCCCACAAAGCAGCTTTTTACCACCTGTTTGGAAAAGTTAGGCCAGGTATATTATGTCTCAACATATTCATTTATTATAACTTCAAAAGATACCGTAAGATGCTACATATTTCCGTTACGCTTTCAGTTGTTCATCAGCGGCGAGGAAGCCCAAGGTCCTCAATTATTGACCACAATTATCCAAAGGCCTAATCTCGGAGGTTTGTTAGGACCACATTTCACGCCTGTCGCCGGAGGAGCTTCAACGTTTTTGCAGATGTATCAAACCATCGTGGACTTGTCCACGGGATCAAATGTTGATTTGTGCTTCGTGCTGCTCTCAAAAGTAAAGTCAAATTATGATTTTTTTTAACAATAAGAGAATCTTAGGCTCTGAAGTTTAAAACTAGAAATGATTTTTTTTTAGTTAATATTTAATAAATCATTATTTTCTGTTACAGTTTGATGTCGGTAGTTGGTTGAATTATCGTCGTCCGCGACTGAGCGAGAGATCTACCTTCATAGATCTAGTTTCCAGAGCATTATGCAACATAGGCTTGAATCCCGAAGAAGAGAAGCTGATGTTGCACGAAGTGAGCATTTTTGTTCGTTTTAAAGAAATATTTGATCTTATAATTTAAAACACATCATGTTTAAAACAACATCATTTATAACGTTTGATTTACTTGAAATGAAAACGAGAAGAATCGTAACATTGCGATAATAACTTTTGGCGCAGCTTTTTCGAAATCACCTACGACTCATTCTTCTGCATGAATTTCCTGAACACTATGGTGAAGTGTTAAGTGCCGTGCTGAAAGGATCCGAAAGTCAGAATCTATCCTTGGACGTGTGGCGCGATTTGTTAGGAGCTCTTAGCGGCAAGCCGAAGAGCAACGCACCCGTACATCCTTCCAAAATCAGAGATGAGATTAGACATTATGCTACAGAACAGAGACTGTTATCTCGCCAAGAGGTCTGTTTCACAAATTGCAGAAACAACATTAATATCACAAAAATAATAATATTAAATTTATATAAAACCATTCAGTTTTATTTTTATCTTAAGAGCAATTAACGAGATATTTTTTTTTATTTTCCAGATGCACGACACTGCTGTGCTTCTCAGTCGACATTTCATGAAAGAGAGATTGCAGTACGGTTTATACGGACTTTATCCAAAGTACAGAATCTACAACGAACCATTAACCATATTTCTAGGTATGGTCGGCCACGCTCTGGTCGTATTGACGCTTCAAGCTGACCGAGGATCGCTTGCTGATCAATGTAAGTCTATATTCCGAGTCAATATTTTCTAATTGTAGCGTGTTGTAAGTGTAAAAAAAATTAGAAAACTATGTAGAAGAAAAATTGTTGCAATACTATTTCAGTATGTGAAAAGATCTGGCCGGTGTTAAGCGAGATGTACGCTCCGTGGATCACTCCGTATTGGACGAGAAATTTGCGAGAACCGACGGCCGCCTGGATCCAACAACTCACGGACGACAGATCGGTGCTGTTGCCGTGGATCATCACTGACGGTCCTTACGCGAATCGAACGATGTCGATGTTTGCCGAATGTATTCGTTTCATCGTTGACACTATGCCAGCGTCCAGCAAAATACTTAGCTTTGTATGGCAGTTTTACGTGTCCAACTACGCTCACGCATCTGTTAAGGACCATGTGTTAAACGTGGTACATGGTAATTTTCTGTCTCTTCCCTGGGAACGCTTTAGTCCCACCATCAACGACGTCGAGTTAATGATCAAGGTCGTCGATCAGTATTTGCCGGATTGTCATTTATTCCTTGGAAGTATCTTCACCTGGATTAATTGGTCCACTTGGATCAATGAGTTAATGTCCACACAAGCGTTGTCAGTTGCCACCAGGATTCATGTTTGCTTGCTGAACTTGCTAGTGAAGCTGTCTAATGAACCTAATGTTCGGCAGGTGAGAGCAAAAAATCAATTTTTTATTTTTAACGTGAAACATTTTTAAGAAATATAAAAGTTCAAAAATTGAAAAGTCCAAATTTTTCAAGGCTGCAAAAATGTGTGTGAAAAAAATTTTAATGTTGTTAAAACTGAAGAAAATACTAAAATTTCAATGAATTAAAATCAATGCACAGAACGAGAAGGCAGTACAGTTGATCACAGAAGCCGAGAGTTTTTCTTGGCATTTAATCGATGCTGCGGCGTACGATCTGGTAATCAACTGGCATGTGATGAGTTGCGATCCCCGAGTAATTCTGTGTTTGGGCAAAGATCAAGTTCATCCTATTGACATTGCCGTTAACAAGTTAGTATTCACAGTCTCTTTAGAAATAAGAAATATTAATTTGAAGTTTATTTTATATGTATATATAATTTTCTGTTTAGCTTGTTGAAGATAGCAGCAGCTTACGATCCCACAGTGAAACACTTTCATCCAACTACTTTAAAAAAGAGACAGATGTACGTGCGTTCTTCAGTAAAGTTATTGATCAATTGCACCACGAGACACAAATATCTTCTTTCTACAAACAGCAAAGCATTCACCAGCACGTTGTCGCGAATGCTCGACGAGATGGAAACTGTCATCACCAGCAGTCAGTATTCAGATTTTAATAATCAATCTCTAAGGTTTTCAAAATTTAAGCTAAAAATATTTTTTTTTTTCATTATTTTAGCTGTTTCCGAATCGCAACAAATTGCTGAAGCCGGATTGTTGATCACTGAATTCTTACATTCGATTAATCAGAGCGGGGCGTTAGTTGATCACGTTCGAAGCAGTTGGACAGCATGGCTTTTGGAACGAACAGCTAGTAGTCCGGTGCTAATGGGTGTCTTGAGAGTAATCGGAATGGCAGTTGCTTCTTCATCCACCTTAGGTCATCTTATGGAAGCTGCCTTGGAAGCTTATTTCAAGTACAACGGTAAATAATCAATTATTTTCATGTTATATTTTACATAATTAGATGTTTGGTTCTAAATATTTATTAAGCAACATGTTCCATTTATATTCTTTCTCAGTAACGGAAGAAGTTCGGCCTACATGGGCGGCAGTGTTGACAGTTTTGCAGCCCGTAGTACCTCGTCAGCCGCCGTTGGAATCTGTACTGGTATCGGAGGGTAGATTGCTAGCCCTCTACTCTGTGCTGCTAAAGAGACTTCCATCATGCAGAGATATCCGCGAGGAAGGCATGCTTCTGATTAACTTGATTGACTGGATTAGTGCCATTAAAACCACGTAAGAGATTTTGAAGACCAGATCTATGTACAGAATATAAGTAAAATATATTATTGTTAAAAATTTCTTTTATACAGAGATATCGTGGAAGAAAAACTACCTCTGCTGTGGGCAAAAGCGTGTGAATTGGCCTATAGGCAGTGTCAATACAGTGAGAACACGGTAATTGCTGCCAGAGCCTTAAAGGGATTGTCACGTGCGTTGCTAACAGTAGCGGACGATGCGGGACAAGGATGGGGTATTCTGGGGGCTATCGGATTAAGAAAAGGCTCTCAGCTCACTATACGGTATAATTTGTCAAAAATAAAAAAACTTATTGTTATTCTGCGTTTCTTGTAACTTCGACTATAATTTGTTTTGCTTTTCTGCAAAAGGTGCAAATTTTTGAGTCGTGCTTTGGCTGTTTACTGTTTGGCACAATTGCCAGAATCCAAATCCGATCAGCAGCTAGTGAGGTATACTCCGCATTCACCCGGCGTGGCGCCTTCAAGATCGACCGATCCGGATACGATGGAAATCCGACCTAGCATGGAGGCTGTGAAAACGATGCAAAGTCTGGAAGGGCTTCTAGTGAATAAGCAGTACGCGGAACTGCGGGGAGACGTGGAGAGAGCAATCAGACTCGTCAGAGATTCCGCCAACTCTCTTCACAACGCCGTCGAGGTTGTTGGCGCTCTCACCACGGAGCTCTACAATCAAAGATACCTGCACGTGTTAACAGAGTGATACTAGTTTTATTCAGATCTAGTGATGAGCTGACGAACACCACGAATCGCTTTGAAACACTAATTGTGTGTGACTCTAGAATTAAAAATTTTTTCGAATTGTTCCAAATTAGATATTTAAATATATATACATAAATATATATATTTTTGAACGCTCTAGGCTTCTCTTGCACTTGCTCTTAATGTTTTCGATCTTTTTAAGAATTTCAGACTCGCAAGATACGCGTTCGAATGCCCATCACGTGAATCTTACCAAATGTGGCGTTTAAATTGAATGGTCAATGCCTGTATCGGACTTGAGGATCGAGAGCGCATCTCGATCTTGACTTTGTATGTAAATATGGGTAAAAAATGTGGGCTTAAATTACTCGCATATATCTATCTTATTGTTGACTTAAATCTTAGATCTGCATCGATCTAGTCATGAAACTGTTCCTTTTATTTTTTTAATTCGAGACATTGTTGAGAATTTAAAGTTATATACATTCAATTTAAACGCATATATGTAGACTGTAACGCGATAATGTATAATTAATATTTAAGAGATATATAATTGTTGTTTGTGTAATATATGAAATTTATTGACGCACTCGATTCACATAGTATGTATGTTTTTGTTACTGGCGTAACGAGAAAAACTGAGAGTGAGAGAATGAATGAGATTCTGATGAATATGAGAGAACGAGATTTTATATGTAACATGTACTTTGTACACACGTAATGTGTTGAGTCAAATCATTGCTTTGTACAAGATGTTCGGTAAATAACTATCATCTCTTGAGAAGAGATGATAGTTATTTAGAGCCGATTGCGCTGAACTCGAAGAACCCATTTTGCGAGTTTTGCAATAATTAACGAGATATTAATTTATAAAAGATCTGCGAAAATGAGTGTGCGTGAAGAGAACAGCTTAGTGATTAGACGCGCGACCTAACTCATTGGGAGAAATGCTTTATAAGTAACAATAGCTAATGTTGGCTAAACGTAAGAGCGTTAACGATAGCCTCCGCGTTTTTCTAAATCTAAATTATTATTTTTTATTTAGAACCAAACTATAAAAAAATTTTAAAAATATTGAATAATTGATTGTAAATTTATTTTAATTAAAACTTCTCCGGCTTTTTGTAAATATTTCCACTGATTATTGCAAAACTTGCAAAATAGTAATTTTTCGATTCGATACAATCCGTTCTACCCTCGAGAGATGATGTAGTTATTACCGAACATTATGTATATTTACACACATTTAAAATCAATTAAAATTTTGACACAGTTACAATTGCTTACGAGAACACAATTTAAAAGTTTGCGGTATATTAAAAAAAAATTACACAAAACAATCAACTTTCGAATTGTCATAGAAAAACAATATTAATCACGAAATAAAGAGCCGTTATAACTGAATCAATTTGTCGTGACACATGCCAAGTCAAAATATCAAATCAAGAAAAAAACTCCAAATTTTTGAAAAAAACACAAGTCTATTTATTTTTAAAAATTACATTGTTATAATTATCACGTTTTTAAAACGTTACGACGAGTGTCTCGCAGCAACTGCGAGGCCTCGCCAGGTGAGTAATCGATCAGTTGGCACTCGAACTGGTCGCTGAACGCATTCTTGAAAATCGGCAGCACATCAGCGACCGGAACGTCCACGTTCAGCTCTTTAGAAATACTGGTCACACTCTTGCCCTCGATGCCACAAGGTACAATGTGGTCAAACCACTTGAGATCGGTGTTGCAATTGAGCGCGAGACCGTGTGTGGTGACGTATCGGCTGCCGTGTACGCCTATAGCGCAGATCTTACGATCGTCGACCCACACACCCGTATCAGGCGAAGTCTTGGCCCTGATACCGAACTCGGCGCACAGGCGAATCACCATACGTTCTATCTGATTCACATACCACCTGACACTCGGTCGAAACTGTTTCAAGTCGAGTATTGGATAAGCCACCAGCTGACCGGGTCCGTGAAAAGTGATCAATCCGCCGCGATTTGTTCTCCAGAATTCCGCACCAAGATTCCTTAGCTTTTTCTCATCTTCCTCTGTATATCCCTTGTCCCGAATTCCGACCGTATAAACTGGCTCGTGCTCCAAGAGGATCAACGTATTTGCCGATTCACTCAAACGCTTATGATGAAGATCCGATAAGGTCTTTTGAAGTTGTAGACCGACCCCGTATGGCTGGCGGCCGGCCAGAAGAACCCTTACTATTCGCGGACACATTCTTTAGATTTGTGTGATGTCAAATATTTTCGAAAGTACAAGCCAACTGACTTCGTTAAGATGGAAAGTTCATCGGATTTTCATGATTTTGACTCTGTTCTGCTAGGGCGATAGCCTTCGCCTGAATTGTCGTGTAAAGCAGAAGAGATACATAAGCGTCCGTAGCCGCGTAAATTTTCTGAGCGTCACTCAAGGGTTGTATGTGCCACTTGCTTCTTCGCACGTTAGGATCCTTGCTAATTTTCTTTTCTAACTACATGCGCAAAAATGTCTCTAGATAGTAATTTTGCTTATCAAAGATTGTAACAAGACGACAAAAATGACAAAAACAATTATACCAAGTAAGCGGTCAATCTTTCCAAGCTCCAACGGCAAGATCGCTTCAAAACTTGATTGGCATACGGTCCACAATCGTGACAATTGTTCTCTACTACTTTTTGTGCAGGGAATTCCTTGAAGTCTCTCCCAAGTTTCCACACATCGCTGCAAATCATATTTTCACATTTTTAAACAGAAAATACAACGCAAAATTACCATCTGATAATTACTTTTTAATGTTGACGCCAACAAGTTTAACTTTGGGATGACGCAAAAGTTCGGTGAAGGATGCGGGAAGCTTCTTCAGCGAATAGAGGTGCAAAAGGTAACACACGTCATTGTTTAGACAAATTTGCGCCAGAGCTGTTTTCCCGCTGCCAGTTTGAAAGCTGAAAGGCCACTCCAGGTCAAATCCTATTGGTACTATTTCCTTCTCACTGGCCTTTACTTCCTGTCTGATGGAAGAAACAAGAATATAAAAATTTTTTTGTTCCTTAAAAGTTTTATTTCAAATTCATATTATTTATCCTCTATTTTTGAGAAATATATTCTCAAAAATATACTCACAGAAGATTGTCACAAATCTGAGCACAATCGAAGAAATCGTTAGCATATTGAATACGACCTTCGAAGACAATTGAAGGTAATGTTTCTACGTAAGGTTCTCTTTTAGGTTTCGATGGCTCCAATTTTTCCTAAAAAACGAAAGTAATAATTTCTAAAAATACACACACACATACATGTATAAAAAATTATTTTATGAAGTTTTATCATCAACAGTCAACATATGAATGTATGTACCTTTAAATGTTGCGGCAAGTTCCTTGGCGAGCGGCGTAATCCCGCAAACGCCTGTACGAACAAAAGTTGTTGTCAAAATTCTGATCAGCATAGAGAACGAGAACGTGAAGAACAAAGGCAATGTACGTAACTAACCTGCTCGTCAGAGTTGACGAGTCGCACAGCAGCTCGTGTCGTCATCGTGATGGTGGAGAAGAAGCAAGCGATTGCAACATAAACGAACCCACAACCAAATCAAATTGAAACTACGTTCGGATTATCGTTCGGTTCCACCATTAAAATCCTATTCGTACGATCTTACGATGTCCTGTCGGAGGTCCGCGCTTGTCAGTTTTCCCGCCAATTTTTCACCTGCCTGGCGAACAGCTGACGCTGAGATCCACGTGAAGGGAGAGTGGGAGAAACAAAGGAGAGGAAGATTCCGTAATAAAAAAAAAAATATATACAAAAGGAACATTTTTACATTAAAAAAAAAACAATACACAACATATTGTTTTCATCGAATATATTTAAATAAGATCTCGAACACTGTCGAAGGGCCAATCGCTATATTTTGTATAAGTTATATATATTACTTAAGCGTTCCTTTTATACACGTGTTCCGACACGAATATACATGTTTAATGATTCCTAATGTAATGAGACAATTTGCGTTTCGAGATGTCTTTAAAATCCCTACGTATTGACAACAGAACTTCTTTTTCTCTCTCCCACTCTCACACACATATGCAATCTTTCTCTCGTTCGTCCTATCAAATTCTAAAGACTATCATCTTTTATCAACGTTCTCAGCTAACTAGGTGTATTCAACCGCTATTTATAATGTATACATATCCCACGGCATCTCGAGAAAAAAATCCACGATCATTTTTTTTTTCGCTTTTCTCCTTCAATTTTCAAACTCGATAAAATAAGAGGAAGTTGATGTCTAATAAAAAAAAAAACAAAACTTGTATCTTCTGTATTATCAAATTCTTCAAATCAAGTTTTTTCATCATCCGTTAAACGAGCTCTGGTTACTCTTCAAAGAATGATAAAAACTATTTGAAATTTGAAATAAAGATTCAAAACGCTGTACAACAAAAAACAAAATTGATCTCTCTGTTTCGACGAAGATATCGCTGATTCGCGTGCCACTTTGCATACTCCGTTTATGTTACACCACGAGAAGACGCATATGTATAGCGTTATACAATAGCTCGTATACGCGATCCAAAAATTCTCGCGCGACAAACGTTGCGTACCTAGTACGCGCGCATCATAACNNCTTATCANACNCTAAATAATTAAAATGTNATGNANAATAAAAAAAAAAAAAAAAAAAAAAAAAAANNACATGTGGCAGAATCAAGTTATTGCAAAAAATGTGTGTAATATACTATTTACAGTCTACAAATTAAACAAATAAAATTCCAAGTCACGTTGTAAGCGTATAATTGTTATTTGAATCAAACGAGAGCAAATCGTAGTGCGATCAACTTGAACTGTGGGACGTAAAAATAATCGCAATATGCATAATTTATAGACTCAGAAAGTAATCCGATATCCGAGGGGAAAACTTTTAAGTGAATCGTTGGATCGTGTATAAACAGCCTAAACACGAGCCGAAGTATCTAAATCGCGCTTTACATTTAATTACATTTCTACTGTTGGGGTAGAGATGGGTGTACGATATATCAGTTCCCTCAAGTAAGTTCGATCGATTTCGTTCAGAACCAATTCAAGCGACCGTGAATATCCCACCCCTACGTGCTGACTTGTCACTACTGCTGCGTGATTCTGAAAACCGGACCGATCCTGAGGAAGAATCTGCGCAGTACCGATCTGAGCTCGGGCTTGAGGTCGAAACACATAACCTCGCACAGAGACGGATAGCAGGTGGACGCGTGAACCGCGAAACGGTGGTCACTCATCTTGAGAATCCGGGTGAGCACTAACAGCAATATCGGCGTCCAGGCGTCGCGATGGGCCTCATTGGCAATCGCAAGGAAGTACTCGAGCGCCTCGCACGCCACTTCAACCAGACGGGTTTCAACTTTGGGCCAGTCCGCCCGATGCGCCTCGTCGCTGTACATCTTGAAAAGAATACGTAGAGCACAGGCGAGCGATTGCGTTTCCTGTTTCAATAGATTTGGCTTTACGTTGCCGCGAAAGCCCGCCTTCCACAATACGTTGCGTTGTTCGTGATCTGAATTAAAGCTTTTAGCGAAGCGATGCGATCGCAACAGACACTCCACCAACTGCAGGAGATGATTAGTTGTCAGAGCGCAGTACATGCCTTGCTCTTCTTTTTGCTGATCGGCACCGGCCCTAAGCAAAATAAATTTGCGATTAAGTGAAACATATTACGTTAATACAAAAAAGAAACAGGAAGCACTCACTTAACGAGCTCGGACGTTTTGCCGTTCAACATGTCGGCTTGCGCGAGCGCCAGATTCTCTTGATCCTCCTTGCGCGAGGTTGCCGGATAGAAAACAATATTGTCGATGGTCTGTATCAGTTCCAGTTGAACCACGCATTTGATCTGCAACGCGGAAAAAAGTTTCGCTTTCGGCAGAGACTCGGTACTCAGACTTTGCACGCTGTTGCTCCTCTTCAGTATGCCAACGTGATGACCGTCGGATTCGCCGGTGATCACATCGAGATCGGACTCTTTGTTGGGAGACTGCGGTTTCCACGTGAGCAGCGCGGAGGGTAAAGTACTCTCGAAAATATCCAAAACGCATTGACAGGTCTTTTCCCAAGTTTGCTCGTCGAACTTGATGCCGTTGCTGATAACTAAATTTTCTAAACAATTGGTGCCCGATCGGGCCAGTTGTTCGTTATCCTGCTGAACACACCAAAGTAGCTGGGAATACAACTGTTCCAGCAACAACGGGCCTAAGATATCGTAAAACTGCGAGAAGACATCCACAATAGCGTACAATGCATGATTGCAAGTTGTTGTCATCCATTCGGCTTTCTGCAATATTTTATGAACTAGTTTTTATTTAACTGATTGATCATGCGTACACATTTTAGTTCCGCATTGTTAGAGAACAAAAACACAAACCTCTGTATGCTGCTCAGGCAGTTTCATATTATCGAAGATTCTGAAGAGAACCTGGAAGAGATCCTTCCACCAATGTGGTTTGAAAGACGCGCCATGTGTCTTAACAACATCGAAAAGTACTGTCAGCGCGCGCGTTCGTACGTCCAGTTTGCACCTGCTCACTACGCAGGACAGTTCAAACAGCAGCGGAAACCATCCTCTCACCTGAAAGAAAAAGATAATTTTTGAAAAAAGACAAAATAATATTAAAAAAGTAAAACGAGCAAAAGGTTACGATACCCAAGCTCGATCTTCCTCGGAAACCATGCCGCTCTCGTCCATCATACCCTCGGCAAATAGACTAGGATTCGCATCGATGTAAGACGCGCAGGACCGTATTAACCGAATTGCCTCCATGCTGGTGTCCGGAAAAGACGCGTTGCACGCAAACTCGCTCAGGCACTTGACGGCGTCCTGGAAGGAGTCCACCATGATGCTGAAGTTCTCCGCATACAGCTCGTCTATGAATATATGTTCAAATTAACGACAATAATGAAATTTAAAAACGAATCACAAATATGTGTTACAATATATTTTCCATTCAATGTTACAAAAAATATATATAACTCACTGATAATCTTTCCAGTCATACAAAATGCCAGCTCGACGACGGACTCGTCACGATCGCTGGCCGCATGATGGAACACGCTGAAGATATTCTTCCAACCGGATCTAATATTGGGCGCCTGCGAATGAACGATCTGCGCCACGCATCGAACGACCATATCTCTGATAACGGGTGACCTGTGAAGATCAATAAATCAAATTACACTTTATTTATATTCACATATAACACATGAGATGAAAAATGAGCTAAGTGACAAATTTACCTGTTTTTCTTCATAATATGCTCGAACGGCCTGAGAAAGTCTTTCTGGAACCTAAAATTGGCAAATTCTCCCTTTTCGATGAACTTCGTGGCCAACTGCCTCAAAGAATCCACCGCGAAGAACGCGATATCCTGCCGAGGACTGCAACCGACTCTGTCGAAATGATCGCCGAGAACTTGCCAAATTCTGGACCACTGCAGTCTTATACGACCCATATTATAATACGAAATCTCGACTATCTTCGTGAGAGAAAACATGCGGGGTTGTGTGGGATGCGCCAGTTCTTCGAGAGAGACCTGATATCAAAAATATATTAATTATTAGATTTCTCATGTAAAAATTGTCGATTCGATTTAAAGAAGAAAGACCTGGCAGAGAGCTTTGACGAATTCGACGATGGCGTCGCCGTCGAGCCTGGTGGAGCCGGTGAAGATGCGATCGACAGCAACAACGACGCTCTGCGAGCTAGTCTCGCCGATAGACTCCTTTACACTGGGATCCAGAGAGCTCAAGTTGAGATTGTTGGTTTGATGCAAGTTAATAGAGTGCGTGAGATTGCCAAAGTTTGCCAGCGGCAGTGGGAAATGCGGTTTCGACGGCGGACCCAGCAGCTGAGGACGTACTCCGGTGCCGATCAATTGTGCCAATTCCAGCTGTGAGATGCACTTGACGACGTCTAACCACGAACTGCCTAGATAATTACCGTCGGTATGAGCCACGGTAATGAGGGTTTTAATGGTATCGATGTTTTTCGCTTTCATCTCGGTTATAGGAGAATTGGCCGTTAGCAGAGTGAATCTTGCCAATGCCTGCACGTAGGCGTCGCGTTCGAGAGTCATGTGAAAGATACAAGCGATACGAATGGCACATCTGAAAAAATATCACACGATGCGATATAAAGAATTATGAAAGAAATAGCAATTTAAATATATATTCTTTTTATAAATAAAATCTCTCTTCTCTCACCTGATACCGTCTAAACAGAGCGACGCGATCTCCGGATCGTCGCAATCCTGAAGACCGACGCTGAAGGCCGCGAGAAACGACGTCCAAGCCATCTTGAACATCGGCCGCACGTGTTCCAAATGTTTCGCCGTGGTGAACGGCGCTTGAACGTGACTCACAGATTCCATCAAGTTCTTCGCCGCTGTAGAGATTACTTCCATTTCCATATTCCATAACAATCGTCGTTTCTTTTCGCTGGAAATCAGTTGCTTGCCAGCGAGTCGATTATTGTTCGGATTTGACTTCATCTTGATCTCGTTGCCAGCAATTTCGTCGTAAATTCTAGAAAGATATTCCTCGGGGAGATCTTCGTTGTCGCTGATACGCCGATTAAGCCTGGAAACAAAAACGAGGAGAAATTTTTTACGTTAATATATTATAAGTTAAAAAAAAAAAAAATTGATCTGTGATATAAAGACCGCTACCTAATATATTGTTCCTTGGTCATCTTGTTTTTAACCTGCGGCGAATGCAAATCAGTAGTCAGCATTATGATGGAGAAACCAAGGACATAGGCTGTGTCTGCACTGGTGAAAAGGCCATTGTTAGGATTGCATTCGCAATAGCGACTGGCGAACTTCTCCATTAGTCGGTCGATTTTCTGCGCTTCGCCGGGCAATCGAAAACCTTCCAGGAAGTATCTCAGCGCAGTTACCAGATCGCGATCGGCGAAATTCATCTGGTCAATGTAATGGTACATCACCTGGACACGAAATTTAAACAAAATTTACATTAATAACAAATCATTTATTAAAAACAAAAAAACATTGCGTTTGTACAGCGTTTTCATTACCTGATTGTGATTATGATCGCCTAGAAAGTCGCCGATGGCCGTCTTGTCGAGTCGCTCGTCCAGATGCAGCCATCTGGCCACATCCTCCGGCGAAGTGCCGAGCAATCCTTGTTCCTGCAAATATTGCACGCCCTTTCCGGGTTTACGGCTGAAGATCTCGATGCCGGTCTCCCATACTTCCTTCTGTTGCTTCTGCACCTCGTACTGTTCCGGCGAATCCGGCACCTCCTTGTTGCCGGTCAGACTGGAGTTGGCCGACGAGAGACTGCCAGCGCTGCCGTAACGCGGAAGCGGAGTCTCCGGCGCTGGATCAGGCGGGTCCGATATCGGTTGCTGATCTGCTGGCACGCTGGGGTTCACGTATAAGTCTCGGCTCCATTCTACCATACATTTCAAGATAGAGACGAGGCACTCGAGGCCGCGAATGCGCATCGATTTTTCCTGAATAAATAAGACATCGATATTAAAAAATAATTAAATCTATTTTTAGCTTTCGACAAAGTTAAAGAAACAATTTTTTTTAATTTTTAATCTATAAAATGTTTCTTTTATTACAACGCACCTGATTCGGTGATGCGCCAAGTTCCAAAGCCTGACGACCTTGAGCAATCTTGGAGAGATCGTTGACGAGCCTTTCGAAGAGATTAGCCGCGGATAGATCGCAATCGTAATTAACATAAATATCGACAACGCTCTGGGCGTCCGCGCAAATTCTTGTAAGCGCGTGTATGACCATCCACTTGTGCTCAAAAGAGCTGCTGGAAGTCTCGAGGATGTTCATAAAAATTTCTTTGAAGAACACTTCAATCTGCATCTTGAGATGCATTTTGAAACGCGCGAGCAACGCCAGGAACAACGCCAGCGACAGCTCGAATACCTCCGGCACCGAGGACACGCCGTTCTTCGACAGCGCGACACACAGATATTGTTTAATGGCGATGACGAACATTTCATTGGAACGCAGCACGGGGCCGGCGTTCTGCAAGATTCCTAAAAGTAGTTGCAACGACAGAATTTTAGAGCGAAGTTCATGCGATCTTGGATCGGGTGTGCCGTCAGGTAGTGGTTTCATGGAAAGCTTGCAGAGAGCGCGAAACACCAGAAACGCATCTTTTTGTAACACGTGCGTAAACTTGGCGGTAACCATGTTATCATTTTCCGCAGCTGCCTCATCGCCATTGTCCTCCGTGTTACCGTTCTCTAAGCTGACTTCCTCCTCCAGTGGGACCACGGAATTCATCACGTCGTCGAGAATGCCCTTGACAATCGTTTGAGAATCGACAGTGTCGTTGCTGATAGAAGTGTTTTCTGTGCTTAAGTCAGTTTCAGTCTCGCCGTTTGTCACAACTGCAGTCTCCTGCTGCTGCTCTCCCTCGATTCTCATGTTCTCTTCCTCAGCCTGAGTTTCCATCCGTGCAAATATTACGTTAATCATCTGCGTGAGGGTTGCGCGAGCCGTTGTCTGGTTAACTAAGTTACGTGATGCCAAATAAACATTGTAAACGGTACGAATTGTCAAAAGTACTGTGCCTTCGTGCACTTCCACATGCTGGCTTGTCATTACAGTCAACAAGGCTTTAATGATCTGCAGCTGCACACCCTCATCAGTCTGCGGACCAGTAAAACAGCCACAGATTGTTTCGACAATTCGCACAATTAGTAATTTGTTGGGTTCTGTTGAATCGGGCACATTGCCGGTCAGATGTCCGTAAGCAATCAATTTCTGCAAACAATCCAGCGCAGTCACCACGATCCGCGGCGATTTGCTCTGACATGCCAACTCAAACGGCAGAAAATACTTCTCTGCCGTAATGACATTTGAGTCGCTCTTTGGTTGCGGAAGAGCATTAGAGGTTACCTCTTCACCTTGCACAGCTGGTACGTCTTTGATCTCGTTACGAAGATCCTCTGTGAGACAAAAATAAATAAATAAAAATACAAATGAAAAACCACGCAAACCACGCGCCGTTCACCTTTAAAATACTGAATTCTTACCAAGTGCAGACTCGCAGGACTTTCTGAGCTGCGAGAGATGCGACCGCTTGACATCCCGATCGGCTAATATCTTTTCCAAAGCTCGGACGATAAACATTTCTCTGGTTTTGGAATTATTTTGCATCATCACCACTCCCCACACCGCGGTTGGAGATATATGTCGCTCGCTCACTGCTCGCTTCTCAGTGTGTCAACATCAGTGCGAACCGACGAATGATCGTATATATCAACTATGTTGGACTTGCACCTGGTCGCTTGCCAGCATTTTTCAACATTTTGCGCGAGGCAACTTTTCTGCGCGAAATCGAGAACTGATGAGAACTGAGCGAATGAGGAAAGTAAAAACCGAGTAAAAAAAAAAAAAAAAAAAACCTTGCGGGCGCGCAAAATTGCTCATCAAAGATAAAATAAAAAGATTACCTTTTTCCACAAATCCCTTCGGGACGGTGATACAATTAACCGCGAGAGCGCGGTTTTCTCGGGACAAAACGGTGCTTGCGAGCTACTGCATCGCCCGTAGGTAGATTTCGAGCAGACGTAAATTACAACGACACCAACTGACACTTTACGGCACACTCTTGAGGGACTCAAGACTCAATGACCAATTTGTTCCACGCAACACTCGCACCGACACACAAGCACCGGAATGTGACAGCAGTAGATGACAACCTCTATGGCTGCGCGCAATCGTCTCGAAACGTAAATGACGTCGCAAACCGCGTGCACAAACCGGCGACCGACAATCTCGCCAACGTCGATTGGCTCGATCGGAACGATTGTTTCGTTGAAATTGACCAATTGCATTGCGTTCGTTCAGCGAGTCGACCAATCGGTTGACGAAACAATCGATTGTTTGTGTAGGAGGATGAGGGAGAAGTTGGCCAACCTGATCCATAAATGAAAGTGACTTTGCGCGGTACAGTCTGTTGTTTTTTTTTTTTTTTTTTTTTTTTTTAATAAAAGCTCTATCTATTGGCGAATCTTGCAAGTTTCGCTTTGTAATTGTCACGTTCGCGTTTGATCTGTTGTGTCATAGAAGTGTTGGCTTTTGTGGAAGCCTGTGTTCTCATTGAACGCTTGATTTCTGTTTCTTCGTCATTCATAGTGTTCGACAAGCCTGGGTGTAAGTTTCGTGAGACTTTCCGTGTCGTTCTGAGAGTAAATTTCGCGGATAGACATAGTCGTAGTGAGTTACAGAGTAACAAGATGGCCGCTGCCGCGGCTGCCGCACTGCTCGATGAGCTCATGGGCAGGAATAGGAATATCCTTCCTAACGAACAGCCCAAGAAATTAAATTGGGAGGATCCCGAGGTAAAAGCGGGAACGAATTTTGATTGTCGACCTTTCGAAAACATTTTTTCATATTTTCATTGTTTACATTTTTGTTGACAATCGTGACTGTTAAAATTTAAATGTTCGAATAATTTAAAGCAAAAATAAAATAAAAAATGAAATGTCAGAAAAAAAATAAATAATAAACACCAATAGATGTGATATTTATATTCTTTATTCTATCTATGGTATTTATCTCAATGACACTACAGACTATATATATACTTCAATTGCTCCTCGCACTAAGTCTATAATTTGACACTGTTATATTTATTGACCTTTGTTCTTGTTTCAGTTTTGCAAACTCTATCTGGTTAAGTTCTGTCCCCACGACTTATTTGTTAATACAAGAGCTGATTTAGGTGCGTGTCCCAAAGTTCATGATGATGAAGCTAAAGATCTGTTTGAGAAAGCACCCTATTCATATCGCAAGCAACAATATGAGGATGAATTTATCAGGTATTGTCAAAGTATGTTGAATGAGGTAGAACGAAAAATTGTAAAGGGAAAACAGCGATTAGCCCTAATTGGAAGAACGGAAGCAGTAAGTTTTATTGGGAGATTAGATTTGTACAGACACAATTTTTATATTGGGAATACAAAATTTGAAACACCGCTTTTGACGCTTTTTGCATAGCCCACATTAACACCTGCGCAAACGCAACGAAATGAAGAGCAGATCGCTCTTTTGACTGAAAAAATTAATAAATTAGTGGAAGAAGCAGAACAAAGTGGCATACAAGGCAATGTGGAACAAGCACAAGGTTTAATGCGACTTTGTGATCAGTTGAAAGAAGAGAGAGAGACTTTAAGGAAATCCAATGACAACAGCCATTATAATCAGGTAAAATTACAAAGAATTTTAATTTAATTTATATATATGTTTATTTTTATTTTATATATATTTGCACGCTTCGTGTTTGCAGACTGCTGAATTAGCAGCGGCACAGGAAAAGCAAATGGAAGTATGTGACGTGTGCGGTGCATTCCTTATCGTTGGCGATGCACAGCAACGAATTGACGATCATCTTATGGGAAAACAACACGTAGGCTACGCGAGGTTGAAGAGTGCCCTTCAAGAAATGATGGTTAGGATTAGTTTTGTTTTTGTCATACATTTTTTATAGTTTTAAATGAATTATATTTTTCAAATCAAAGATCAATTTTTAAAATCGAAATCCGTGTTTCAGAGCAAACGTGAAAAAGCGCGTGACGAGAAAGAGCAAAGAAGAGAAGAAGAACGGAAGCAAAGGGCGCGAGCGAACGAAGAGCTCGATAGACGACGAAGAGACGGAGATCGTGATAAACGTCGCAGAAGAATGGATGACGATAAAAGTCGTTACGACTCAAACACGTACAGGTAGGTGAAAATTGTGGCAATATTTCTTGAATTTTTTTGAATTTGGACAAGTAAGATAAAGAGGATTTAATAACTGAAAATCAATTGTTGTGACAGAAATTTCGCACATAGAAGCAGAAGTCGATCGCGAGATAGACATTATCGTGACGATGATAACCATCGGCGTCATAGTCGAGATAAGGGTGAGTGATAATACTTTTCATCAAGTTGATTGTTTGAAGGTAGCGAAGTGAAAAAAATGAGATAACGATATTATTTCAGGTAATCGCGATCATCGGAGTTCTAGCCATCATAACCGTCGCCGGCACCGCTCACGAAGTCGAAGTCACAAATAACTTCTCTTGATTGGTTAGTGAGTGAGAAGTAAGCCAGGTATGCACTAAACAATATAACCATATTCGTCTCAATTACTGTACAGGTACTCTTTCGATTCAGGTGAGTTGCCATTCCGATGCACATAATACATATACATGATAATATAATCTGTGATGTTTGAAGCGCCGCGTAAGTCACACAGCAAGTTCCGTCTCACTCTCTCTCTGAAACACACTCTGTCTCTCTCCGCCTCTCTCTGTCTGATTTCCTGTTAGAATAGTCACGCACAGCGCTTCCTTGGGACATAGAGAGATAACAGGAATCGATCTCTTGTGTGCAATATTTTCAATAGAATATATTTTTTGTTTAATTAAATATTAAATTATTAATTATTTTTAATAAGTAAAAAAGAATCGAAATTATTGTTTGCACCAACCTAATAAACATTGTTTCTAAGATGAAACCTCGTGACTGGTAACCAGGCGCAACCAGATGTGCAGTGAGCAATAGTGAAATCGACAGTCTAATGTGTACATGTTTTTTTGTCAATGCAACAGCAGTCTAACTTGCTCGATGTGAAATTGGTCCTAAAAATATAATAAACTATACTTTGGGTTTCTTTTTTTTTCAGGCCGATTTTATTTAAACATTTGTTAGACCATTGTTGCAATGAATGAAAAAGAACACACAAAATATAGTTCTTAGAATTTTTAATAAATCCAAACTTGATTTTTCGAATTTTCCCAAGTTCTTGAAATAAAGTAGGGTAAAAGGTTTTTTGATAACTTTTCAAAGATATCACATTTTATATTTGTAAAAAAAAAATTTTTTTTGAGAACTTGAGAAAATAAAGTTGATATTTTCGCTACTTATTTATAGTTTACTTATGTCGTTATAATTCTTTAATACATCCCCAAAATGCCTTAAAAATTAATTTTAAAAAACTCGAAAATTTTTATTCGCGTCGTGCGTAAGATTGAATTTGGTTTCAAATATCATTCCAAACTAATTTCTAATTTGTTTGCTGCGAAGCAAGCTGGGAGAAGGTATACCTGTGCTTGCTTTCATCGGTTGTAATTCCGCAATCCGAGCAACAGAAGGTTGTAAGTCCAAGAACTGATTTTTTCCAGGAGAAGCCCCGCGAAGATCCGGAATTGCGGTGATGCGCGCTTTCAAGATTGAATTACGCAAAAATGTGAATAAATTCGCACACGTACACACACAGTTACACGCACATAAAAAATTTATATTAAGAGTTCAAACTTATTAAATATAACACACACATCTTTCCCATGTTCTCTGTTTTAAATAAAATAATTTGTTTCCATAACAATACGACGTTTCTTTTGATTGTAATGTAGTTTTACAATGTTTATTTTTTTTAATTAATGTGAAAATTTGGAATTTATTTCACGCGCGGGAATTTATTTTGTTTTAGTACACGTAAAAAAAAAACGAACTTGGAACTTACGACAAAGCTTGTGATTTTGGACTTACTTCTCTCTGTTTCTCGGACAAAAAGGACTGTCTTCGTAGGTCCGTTAAAAAGAGCGGATAATCTCGTTCGCGTGTACGATAAGAGAGAAAGAGAGAGAGAAAGAGATTTTAACGATATAGTGTGGAAGGGACACAACTCTCAGTGCCCGCTTCATAGAGCTTCGTCCACGACTGCAAATGCACGAGTGCGCAAACTACGAATGCGCCCTGCAAACGTGTGACTGTGACTATACGAACCTCTAGCTTCTGCCACGCAAATGACGAGGTATTTATACCGGAATGATAATATCAACACATGTCCTTTTGCCAGGAGAACTTTCCCTTTGCGCTTTCATTTTCTTTCCTGGATCCTTGGCTCAGCCACGAAGAATCTCGTGACATATACGAAGATTTTTATTAAAAAAAAACATGAGGATTCTGAAAAAAAAATCGCTAGTGTGATCGTGTTTTTTTGTGTACACTCATTCGAAGAAATCGAATAACAGAGAAAAAAAAACAAGGACGTTGCATTTTCAAGAGGGACAAGAGGGACTGATATTAGTATGCCTCTCATTGTTTTTATTATATTATATTTTATGCGAAAGTGCCATTGTGTCAGTAAGAAAAACAAATGTTAGAACAGTCATATGTAGGTAATTTGTGTGTGCTACTTATGATATGTAAAAGTCATAAATTTTTTATAAAGAGCCTTAACATTTGTAATAATTATTTAAATATTATTTTACAAATGTGACGCAAGTTGTTCTCCCAGTTGACGATAAAAAAATTAGCCCGATGATTTGTGCATCACTTGCTTTTTCGATAGTTTTGATGTGAGGATTTAATTTATATATATAACCTCTAATGAAAAAAAAAAAAAAAAGTGCGCTTATTAAACAAACACACACTTCACAGAGGAATAGGACTTTTTGTAAATAAAAACTACGATTGAACAATGTTTGATTAGTACATTAAGTTGCGACTGCCGATTAACAATTTTTACTAAACTTATGATTGTCTATTTTCAGAAAGAAGAGAAGATAGAAGAGAAGAGACGAAAATTGCGTGGGGAAAGTGTACAAGTCGACGTTTAACATATTACTAAGGTAAAGATTTTGTATAATCTTAACCGTGATAAGAAAGATAGAAAGAAAAAGAGAGAGACAGAGACGGAGAGAGAGAGAGACAATAGACAAGAAAAAATTTTCATTGCGGGAGATCGAGAACAGGAATAGACACCAAGAAACGTATAAATTATATTCGAACAATTGTTATTTTAGGCCATCCATAGATTTAACAAAGCAATTGAGCAAGGTAAATTGCCTATATCTCACAGCAAACTCTGTTATATTATACTGGAATGGTCACCCTAATGGTTTTTTTTAAAATCCGGTTGCAATTGAGAGAAAAAAAAATTGATGTCTCTCATGGTAGTGGAGTATCTTCTTCTCTCTCTCCAGTAAATTTATTTTAGCTTTTTTTTTTCTCACACTTGTCATTAGAGTAAGCATTCCAGTGTAATATAGAGTTCGCTGGGAATTAACAGCAATATCAGCAAGGTAAATTGTCTATTATATTATATCATACTTAAGATTGTTACTTGAAATTAATAAACAACGGTGACACGCAAATATCTTTTTCTATTTGTTCTTTTTCTAGTTTGATTGATGCGATGTGTGTTTACACGATAAATTTAATGTTTTTAATGCACAAAAAATTTGAAATCGATACGAAATCGAATAAATTGGCTTTTTTTAATTTTCAAATTCCAGAACGAAAATTTCATACAAGTCAATTTTATTTATATGACATATTATATGTTGTTAAGGTAAAACGCGCCGAAGAGAACGCGAGATTTTTAAATGTAAAAGAGGATGTGCAAACGGAAGAATTATTAAGGATATTAGATATCTCTTATACAGAGTAAACACATACACGTATATAGTGTGTCATATTTTTCAAAAAATATATAATTTAATATAAAATAAATATGTGCGAGGTTATAATACATACATATAAGGCACTTGTGCCATAATACTGTACACGGGAAATTTTCGCATAGAAAATAATTTTATACATAGTAGCATCTCTTCACTTCAGGCCAATTTGCCTTGTTACCTGAAAGGGATATATTACACTAATTATTATGGTCATATTGAATTTTGTTTTGTGTAAAATATATATATATATACATTTCGTGAAATAAATTATATATATTCTGCAAAATTCTAAGCTGGTACACAAGTAGTTTCTGCGAGAAATTTTATTTTTCTGTGTGTTTATCGTTTCTTCATTTAACTACTAATTCTCGATTATTTATGATCGTATCAACTTACCTGTTCATACACAGTCCAAGCCATGGTAGTCATCAGAGTCCTCCTCAGCATCCTCGGAACAATACCCTTGAAATATCCTAAAATGCCGTATTTTTTGTAAACAAAGAACGTCACGTTGTAAATATCCGTGAATTCGTTAGGATAGAGCTGCATTTTTGTCTTGATAACATCTGGTGGTTGAGTGACTATGGAAGCTAAAACGCCGGCGAGAATTCCGCAACCGAAGTTAATCGATACCGGCGAATCGTTCGTCGCTCCTGCCAACGAAATGTGTTCGATCAACGTGATGCATTTATTTATTTATAATTAATAATAGTCATTCAAAACACATATTTGTATGTTTGTATGTTTTAAGTAATACCTGTATTGGCAGCTATGTTCTTCAGTTGAGTGTAAAACATGAGATACAAGCCGCTGTACGGCGCGTCTCTCAAAAGAGTAGGTACCAGACCGCTAGATAAACCCCTCAACCCCTCTTGCTTGTAGATTAACACAAGAGCTTCGCTAATGCTGTTGTATCTGTAAACGCCACTCTGTAACAATACAAGATCGTGCTCATAATATCTCTTTTTCACCATCATCTTTTTTCAGTATTTATCTGTTATATATTTTTTGATTCCCGTCTCTTTCTCTCACATGTCATCTTCATATTCGTGTCATCATCTCTTACTGATCATACCTCGAATCGTGTCTTCACGACAGTAATGGGAATCAGCAGAGCACCGGACATCGATCGCGCGGTAATACCTAAGGAAATCGCTTGTAGAGCCGTCAAAGGTTCTTCCAAAGCGAAAGTATGTTTCAGCCAATGAAGCGATGAAAAGTATAAACCAACACCGGGAATCACTCTCGTTATCGACTGCAAATTAATATTTTTGTTATTATCGTCATTTGAATCGATGTTCGATAAATGTTTGCCATCTTCTAAAGCACAGTGGTCAGTCTTACCGGCGTCATGCCTCTCCAGAGTCCGAAAACATTCTCCTTCTGAACGATGTGCGCAAACGTGCTCAGCATTCCATTCTTCGATCTGCTCAGCCGGAAAATTAATCGGTAATTATGTTGAAGAATTAAAAATATTCAAAAGAATGAAAATTTAATGTCAAAGATGAAGTGAAAATTGGGAGAATAAAATTTTGACTTTTATAAAGTTACATTAATTTACAAAATTATTCACAAACTAAAAGTAAAAACTAATTTAGAAAAATACAATAAAAGCTACTAAATTTTAAATGTAATTGCAGATCTTATTGCAACAATGTCTGATAATCCTACCCGATCGGGGCGTTAACTCTGCTCTGAAGTCTGGTCTTCACTAGATCCAAAGGTTGAAAGAGAATCGTGGAGAATGTTCCAGAGAACGAACCGGCCAGAAAAGATTTCAGGATCGGGTACTGCGAATATAGGAAAACTGTGAGAAACACGTGCTCGTGCGAATTCGTCAAATTTGTCCTACAAGGTATCATTGATGATTCGTGTAATTTTAGAACATCCAAGATTTATCTAAATAACCGCGTATGCACGGTCCATTGTATTCTGGACCCTAAAATTATAACGTCTGCAAGCGATAATGATTATTGAGCGCGTGTATCTCATCGCGCGAGTTTGCTCACGTGCGACGAGCGATGTCGGCCGAGCGCATGATGTTACTCTCAATCGTTGTAACGAGTGACCCCGGGGTTATCGGCATCAAACAGATTTATGTTTTGCGTAGAACCAATACACATTGATCGCACGAATTTCCTTAACAACATGATTGTCGCGTTATTTTTACATTTGGTTTTTTTTCTTTTTTTTTTTTTACGCCACAGGGGAGCTATTTTCTTTTCTTTTGTAGATAAACGGAAACAAACAGGGGACTGACGCAAATTCTTCTAAGCTTACGTCGAAACTTCATTAATAGTCGTCGAATGGTTTATCAGTTGCCTCATTTCTTTTGTTTGTCAATTCTTTCTTCGCGGGAGGCTTGTGATGTCAAATATTACACGATACGAAGTATCATATAGGGTGATCTCATAAGACTCAAGTATAAAGAAATTCAAGATTTTTAATATTTTGTTTACTATTTTTTAAAATTCTTAAATATTTATGAAAATTTATTCTTTAAAGTGTGATATATTTTCTGACTGATAATAATAAGTTTTATCTTTTTCACGCTTCATACGTATGAAGATACATATAGAAATATTGCACTTATTAATATTTCAATGATTTCTTATTTAATAGATAATAAAAGAAACCAAACTCGGCGATGTTTTAGCCCATTTTTGGTCCCGCGATTTTGAAACTTAATTGTGTGCCAAATGATATCTCATGATAAGACATCAATCACAAAAAATTTTTTAATCGAGGTTATTACTAGTTTAAGAAATATGGACGATCAAAGTAATCAAAATTCATTACTTTGATCGTTCATAATCTCCTAAACTAGCAATAACCTCAATTTGCAAGTTTTTTGTGATTAATGTCTCACAAGATATCATTTGACACACAATTCAGTTCCAAAATCGCAAAATAAAAAATGGGCTATTTTTGGTCTTTCTCTTTATGCGATGTTCTAGTTTTTTTTTTTCGTATAAACAAGAGAAAAGTTGCTAATTTAAAATACTTACAGTTCCTAAAGCTTCCATGACGTTCCAAAGATTGAAATTTACTGCTAAATTTTGACTTTGATTTAAAATTTATATTCAAAAATTCTAAATTGTCCCAATATTGTTTATTTACTCTTTATTTACTCTTACTATTTCACTATCAATCATCGACACGGTTTTTATCAGGAGCGGAAAAATTCCACTTTGTGTAGATTTCTGCTTGTAATGCTGGCGCGATACTGAAATTGAAAACTCGCACCGGCTGTACTTACGTCTCCATTTATCTTCGTTTCTCCACTCTTGAGGTCAATGTAGTGACCCTGCATATCGGGGCATGCTCAAACAAGAAAAGTTTTTTCAAGTCTATCGGTCACAAAAACGTGATTTAAACGTGACTTCATGCGAAAACGTGATGTACTTTAGGCCAGTACGGGTCACTTGAGAGGTCAATTCGTTTGATAATATTATCGTGTTTACGAGTAGACAGTGATAGTGATAGTCTGAGTCACTCTACTTTCTTGAAATTCCATTAATTAGGGTAAAATAATAGGATATTGTTTATCACTTATGTCCCTTTATTGTTCACCTGTGTCTGTGAAATATAAAAGTAATTTTGTAAAATTCTGAGAGAACAAAGAATTTTTTCTGTGAAAAAAGAATATTGTTCTAAAATATCGAAGTAAAATGAACATGAGATAACTGTTGTCATCAAACTCAAAAAATGATTTTAACATTTTAAACTTTGAGCAAACATAACACTATCGTTAAAAGTATCACACTAATCTGTATACAAATATGTGTACTGGTCTATTTAATTAACATATAGCAAATTTAAATTTTTACGTAAGTTTTATTTCAAAAAGTTTCAACTTAAAAATTACAAGCATGTTTGATTTTCATTAATGACTTATCATTCTAATCTAGGTTAAGCGGAAATTGCTCTTATTTTAGTTGCTTATTTCTGTACTAAAAAAAAAAAAAAGTGAGTATGTATGAAACACATTCAAAAACTGAAATACTATAAGAATTGAAACTAATATATTTCATTATTTGTGAATTAAAATAAAGTTATTATCAAGTTCTATTTTTTGATAGAGTAGCTGCAACTAAGATATTAATTATACTACCAAGTTATGTTAAAAATAATTTTTTCACGCACCTAGACAGCGTGGAATACCTATTACATGCGTGTATCGAGTCTGTTGCGCTGTTTTACGTCACTTTGTTGAACAATTAAAATAAACGAAACACGCGCAAGTTGCACAATGACGATAAAGGTCATAAGATGTCGGAAATCACAACTGATACGGTTATCGGACAATGATCGTGATATTTTGCGAAATACGACTGACGACATATTTGTTTATTTGAATTATTTATCGGAATTAGACAGATCTTATGAATGTTAATCCAGCCTGAGACACTTTCGCAATCGTTCTTGTTAGTACATAATGTGCGTAAATGACAATCTGTCGTAATTACATTTTCTGCACACATCTTTTAAAATTTTTTCTAACTTTCTCTTATATATCAAAGCAGGAAATGTGACACCGATATTACTTGCAAAGCTTCTTTTTATAACAACTCAAAGGTAACATATAAAACTAAATCACACCACATTGTTGCGTCATATCTTTTATATCAGTGATTACAAGTGATTACAGCTTTATATGAGCAAGTGCAAAATGTAACGTGATGTATGCATGTATGCACTTTTATGAGGAGGTTAGGTTAGGTTATAATCTATATGTAAACACAATATCATCATTTTCATCGCTTCTCAACTTCCACGATCGTTGCTTTTTTTCCGTAGAATTTTCTATCTGACGGCCAATCAAATCTCGTCGTAAAAAAATCGCGGCAATGAAAATTGTAGCCTAATTTCAGTCTTCGTACGTCGTATTGTAAATCCACCTTTAGCTGCATTCGACGCACGCGCAACGAGCGACCGAGGTCTTCGGCCATTTTACTTGGGTTCGTCTCAGGGAAAGGACGTTAGTTTCCTTACTGCAGAGAGTAAGTACGAAAATCCGCACTAATAACCGTAATCCGCATCTAAAACAACTTAATCTAGCGTGCTCGTTATTCTGAAGTTTCTGAACAAATAGATATTGCGAACCGCAAGTTTATTTCGGCAAATTTTTATCACGCGTTTGCTCCTCGCGTATTACCAAATGGCGGACACGTGGTGCACACGGTGCCTTCGATATTTGCGAAAGCTCGATAAATCCGAGGATTTATTTGTATTTTTTATTTGAAATAATTTTATTCAGATAACGGATCTCGCAGCATGGTAAACGGAAGAATTCCGTCGGTCTTCTCCAAGACCTACGTCACTCCCAGAAGACCCTATGAGAAAGCTCGTCTTGATCAAGAACTTCGAATAATCGGTGAATACGGTCTTCGAAACAAGCGTGAGGTATGGCGAGTGAAGTACACTCTGGCCAAGATTCGCAAAGCCGCTCGTGAGTTGCTCACGTTGGAAGAGAAAGACCCAAAACGGCTTTTTGAAGGTTAGTTAGCTCACGTGTGCGCACGATCAAGAGTTGCATCACATACGTGTTTCAACACTAGTATTATGTAAGATGATAATATGCACATGATGATTTCTACTTCTGTTTCTGACACCTCTTCTGAATATTTTTGTGGATATATATATGTAATTTGTAAACTGAGACATATTTCTTTAAAATTCGCGAGATTTCAGATTTTTAAAACAATTTCTGTAATATATTTTTTTTTCAATCTTACAGGAAACGCTTTGTTGCGTCGTCTGGTAAGAATCGGTGTATTGAATGAGGCTCACATGAAGCTCGATTACGTATTAGGTCTGAAGATCGAAGACTTCTTGGAGCGACGTCTGCAGACTCAGGTGTTCAAATTAGGACTGGCCAAGTCCATTCATCATGCACGTGTGCTTATTCGTCAAAGACACATTCGGTAAAAGATTAAATTTGTAATATACTGTTTTTGTTGAAATAGTAAATTTAAAAGAAAGTCAGGCATTTTGTTTTGTTTACGTGCCTTAAAATTGGGCAAGAAATGACTGAATTATACTTTCAGTACGTTTCTAATCTTTAAGGCAAGATCAAAAGCAGGGTTTTATATGCCGAGTAAAAGTCAGTTACTTTTTTTTCGGTTCACTTCCAGGCTTACATATTCTTATGGACAATCTTAATTCTCTTTTACATCGTTATATTACTGTAAGTGATAAAGAAAAGTGATCTAGGAAGATTCGTATAATTTTAACAAGAAATTCAATATTTTTTACGTGAATATTTTATATTCAGAAACACGAAGAGCTGTGATAAAAAGTTTTTAATCAGAGTATTGATTAACATTTACATATTACAAGATAAAATGATACACGAATTTTACTGCTCAGGCACCAGGACAACGACACCTGATTGAGTAATCCTGGTTGACCGCATTCGTAAAATCCGAAATACTCAATTGCTAATGAAATTTTATTCGCGCAGGCCACTTAAGTGCCGTTAATCGGCCTTAACGCCTGAATTAACTCTTCAAAGAGAAAGAAAGGAACTTTGGTACTGAGTTTTTGTCTTTTCAATAAAAAAAAAAAAAAAAAAAAAAAAACGATGGCTTCAGTGCTCTTGCGAGGAAACTGAATGATCAATTGCGATTTTTCGTTGCAGAGTGCGCAAGCAAGTCGTGAACATTCCGTCGTTCATCGTGCGACTGGATTCGCAGAAACACATCGACTTCTCGCTCAAGTCGCCCTTCGGTGGCGGCAGGCCTGGCCGTGTCAAGAGGAAGAATTTGAGGAAGGGAAGTGGCGGCGCTGCGCCAGAAGAGGAAGAAGATTAATCAGTTGTTATGGTCGCGATTTTGTCATCTCAATAAATACGCGACGTGTATCATCATAAATTGTCTCTCTCTGTCGTATTCCAGAATATTGCTTTCTTCCACAAAACCGCTTCATCATCCTTTTCCCAACAAGAATTGCAGACACGCAGTATGTATATGATAAGGAATTGTTTAAAACTAATTTTTCATTCTTTCTTTAGAATTAGTATATGTAGCGTGTATGAAAAAATGTGAAATAATTTGGTTATTAAAAATACCACTTGCGTGAACTATCTAAATATCTTTTCGCGTATAACTTTTCTTTGGGGATGTCGAACCACATGAAGTACGCTCCAAGGACTCGTAAAAAAATAACGTAAAAAACTTATTGGCTCAAGATGCGTCGTAAAAATTCTGTAAAGTCAAAAAGGAGTCTCGATATTTTCGATGTGCCATCTTTCTGAACCGCTAAAAATAATTTTCAACGGATATGAGTTTAAAACAAATTCCAGTTTAAATAAAAAATATACAAAACGGATCATTAAATTTGTCAAAAAAATCACGGTTTTAAGTGAAAACGATTATTTTCGAACACATGTTATCGATCCTCGAAATATCCGCGTCTATTCCTTTCGAAAATTTCAATAAAAAGAGGATTATGTACGCGATCGCGTCGGATCCATTTTACTTCGGCAGCGAGGGGGGTTGTAATCGAACGTCGTCGCAGTGCCTTTCGACGTGTCGGGAGGGAGGCTAACGTCTTAGCGAGATACCCCGTCGACTTTATCCCCATGTGGAGCTGACAGTCCTCGTGATGGATAATAGAACCACCCTCGCCCTTCCGTTTCGCCACGAGCGTGCAATATTTCACGGCTTATTTACTTTTTGGAGATGCATCTACGGTCACGCGTCGCGACGCTTTGGCGTTGCGAAGGCAACGCGAGGGAGTTTTTCTAAAAAAGTTTCCTCGAGGAATTTTTCTATATGGAAACACGTCTACGCGCGTGATATACAATACTTGATAATATCAAAGTATCGCTTTTATATAACATTCGTGTATAGTAATCGTATAAATAAAAAAAAAATCATGAATTTTAACTTATAAGTACTTCATAATGACGACGGGTGTTGTTATATAAGAAAGAGTGTAGTTACGCAAAAAGATAAATTATTTATATATATATTAATAGTTCATATATATACATATATGCAATACATATATGTGTGTGTATGTATATGTACATGCGCAAGAGAGGAATTCAGACTGAAATTTGGGAAGGGTCAAAAGAGGATTCGGAACGTTTCACGACGTGTTTCTCGTCAAAGTTGGTGATCCGAATAGCGAGTAATTAAAATACTCTTTCTCTTTCTCTCTCCTCTCTCCCTCTCCCTCTCTCTCTCTCTCTCCCTCTTCGCGGGCATTCTCCGCTTGATAATTAATTCCGTGTAAATGCGATTTCCGCGGAAGCGGATTATTTTCCGCGCTCAACGGTACTTAGCACGTATCGCGCGCGGGTCATTCATAACGTGAGAGAGCGCGAGCGCGAGCAAACACACACACACACGGGCGACTCGCTATGTATTTGCATGCGGGCATAAATAATGCAAGGAGGGAATCCTGAATTACGACTCGACGGAGAACGTGTCTGTATTTCCGTAAACACAACGTGGAAATTTCCGCGTTTTGCACTTGCCATGGCAAGTGACTGGTCTAGAGGGAAATGGTTCTCAATTCTCGCTTGAGAAATGTATATATATATATACACTCACTTCATTCATATTTAACAGAGTACAGTTTGATTCACTGGAGGTATAATGGATTGTTTGACATGACGAAGAACAAAGAACGTTGGCGATTTCTTCAAAGTAAAAAAAAAAAAAGTATCTGGTAGAAGCACACAGCGCAAAAGAGAAATCAAGATATTTCGAGTTCCGTAGACAGCAACTCGTTAAACAATTGCGCCTTTGAGGCGTCCAAACGTGTTTCGATATAATTCAAGTTGCATGCCACCTCGATAGCTATTTTTCATCGGTGCTTAAAAAAAAAAAAAAAAAATTCGAAAACCGCCAACGGCAAGGGAACAAAACCCCGGAAATTGAACGATGATTGCTATGACGAGGCGGATAAATGCCAACGCGTTTTTTTTTTTTTTTTTCCTTCTCCCTTCGTATATTCGTGCGATTCGCGATTAAATTCAGTTTTTCGTTAGATTAAATTTTGAAAAGAATTCTCACCGATCGCGCGAGCGTCGAAAAATTCTCGAAATTCGCTGGAAATAACACCGCGGAGAGAGGGAAAAATATTATGTAAATGTTATATTAATTTTTGTCGATTAATTAATCCGCACACATTGTTTTATTAATTAATATAGCTGAAGTGTGATCGCAAAAATAATGAAATACTACGCGCGCGCACGTAGCCCACGCTATATCGTATATATATATATATATACGGATATACATTTGACCGGATTGTTTATGGGAGAATTTGGCGAACGGCTTCGATTAGTCGCAACGCGCGGCCTGTAAAATTAATTAGCGTCGTTAAGCGAACACTGGGAAATTGGCGCAGGGAATTCTCGATCTGCGTATTTTCGGGTCCATTATCGGAAACACGACCAAACGAGAGACCGATCGACCGATCGGGCAAAGTCTCCTCTCTGGTTAGAGCAGACCGACCTTCATTCCGGCCTTTACCACATTCCATGGTAAGTCCTCCTTTCGTCGTTGACCCCATAAACTCGGACTACATTGAAGATGCGCTCTCCCGGCGGGTTTTCTCGCCGGAGACACTCTCAAGTCGTCAGCGGCAGATGTGATTGAAGTGGCGAAATCTGCCGCGCTTTTGATATATCGAGTATTTTCATCCTCATATATTCTGTCTGGCACATCGTGTTATACCGATGATTTCTATATATATATATGTATATAATTAAAATAGAAAATATTCTTTATATATAATTCTTTATATAAAAAATTTATAAAAAGTATATGTACATAAGTTAAACTTTTCTATATAATAAAAAGTAAAGTGAAGCCACATTTATCGCAAAATGTGCGATAAAACCACAAAGGCATTAACTTTACATTAGCATAGGCACACCGTACTTTTTAATTGAATTCTTTCTCTTCCCCCTTCCTCATTTTTTTTTCTCTCGGACGCTGCAGAGGAAAAGTTCAATTAAACGGTTCTCCGTTTTCGATTAAAACTTTATGAGGTAATTCGTTGTTAATGCCGATTGTAAATTGTATAATAAGACTTTCGAAATATGTGTGAGAAAATATTTTCAGATCTCTTGGATTTTTGTGAAGAAACAAAAAATAATTGTTATTCATACAAGTAAACGCGCGAATCGAAATTCGACAAACTCAGAATTTTTGTCGTCACAAACGCGAATATCATTTTCCGAGGCGCATTAAAATAATATTAATTAAACGATATTTCATTTCGCGACGAAAATTTCATTACGGATGCCCACACACGCCCATATTTGGCCTTTTAAAACTTTAGTTATTTTCACGCACAGATATCAAAGTTCTACCGGCAAAATAACGCAAACAATGATAACATTTTTATATGACAACATTGGTATTTAACAAGCGACGACAGGATGTTATTGTATGTAGTATGTACAGCGTGAAGTTGCGCGCACCAGCCGGTCGCGTCCGAGCTGCGCCGAACGTCACCTCGGCAGCTTTCGCTCCGTTCAGTTTTCTCGCGTGCGTCGAGTCGAGCGTTTCGTGTTCGCGTTCTCGCTTACGAGGTGACATACAAAGCCCAGTGGCTTTTTTTTTTTTTTGAACGGTGTCGTTTTCCGAAAACACACCCTACAAGCTCCGCTCGTTGCTTCGAGAGAATCCCGATATCATCGCTCTCCTCATGATCCCGATCGCGACCAGAATCTGGATCCGTTGATCCAGCGATTGATCTCGAGCGAAATCTTCGTAAAAAAATTTTCGGGGTGAGTTAATCGAGATCGTATACATTGCGACCACAAATTTTTTCCCCAAATGCGCACAAACCTGCTGATTTTGTAATTGTTAAAAATGTTGTCTGTTTGTTTTTTTTTTTTCATAAAAATCCCGCTGCTCGTGGGATAAGCGAAAAACACGCTTGTCTGTCATTTTTATGACTGAATTATCGGAATACCGATGATTCAGCGCAATGCTATAATATTTCAAACATCAGGTGTCAAGGGTGTCATCGCGCACATAAAAAAGTTTTCTAAAGAAGCTTTTGTCGGCTTTTTCATTCAGATACTTCGATGTAACTGTTTGATTTACAGATGTATTTGAGAGTATTGCCTAACTCTCTTAGAACTAGTTTGAAAAATTTGAAATTTTACGCGAAAACCTTTCTCTCGCTCTTTTGTTTTTAATAATTAAGTCTATATACCATATATATCCTAATTACATAATTATTATAATATTTTACAGCACATTGTATTGTATTAAATTTAATACATATGTTGTCATAAAGTTTTATTATTTTATTTAAAAATGAAATAAAATAATGAAATGGTCGTTATAATGGTCAACGTGATAAAATCAAGATCTTTACACAAGTTTATTACTGGTATGAGGCAAAATAAATATATTTTGTTCACATCAGCAATAAATTTTTATAAAAGAAAAAGAACCGATGAGATTTAATAATAAGAATTGACTGTGCGAGGAGGAAACATAGGGAGAGAGAAAGAGAGAGCACACACACACACAAACGTTTCTCTAAGTAATTCGAGCAACGTCGGGTTACATTACGTAACACATGTAATGCACCATCGTAAAATATGTATGAGAAATTTTGCCGCTTATTTCTTATTTTGAACGTATCCGTATCGTAAATATTGTGGTTTTCTCCTGAATCGTGTCTCATAACCTTGTACAACTTGGTAGCACCAATTGTTATTAAACTCGCGCGCGCTACGCGATGTGTTTTGTGACTCCGTATGTTCGACCTTGTACAATTCTTGGAGTTGTTTCCACACGAGAATCACGAAAGAGAGAAAAAAATGCCAAAATATTCCATTCCGGTTTTTTTTCTTTTTCATTTATCTTTACTATTCCTTCTTCTCTCTCTCTCTCTCTGTCTTTTTTCTCTCTTTCTTTCTCCGGGGAATGCGGCGAAAAATACATGGCAAATTCAGGAAGTCTTGTAAAATGCAAAAGAATTGTAGCACGTGAAGTTTACATACGCGTGAAATATCCCGTGTCGACGAAAGAGTTTCGCGTCGATGTCCGGATATTTGCGAATGTAACCGCGTTGCGCGAGTCTAATAACGAGTTCGGAAATACGTACATTTTCTCGGGATAAAGCGGGGAATTGAAAATTTGCGTTAAAAACGCGCGCGAGCCGAAAACGCGTTGCGCGGAAAAATGTTTCGAAAGATGATTTAATTTGCAAATATATATATTGTTCTCTGACTCATCCGCTCTCTCTTACATGCATAAATCTCGTAACATTAAGGTATGGAGAAATCGAAGAAACGGACACGAAAGAGCGTGCGAGAACAAATTGCGTTTCGTAAAAACCGCACTTGAAAATTTCATCCAAGGATTCCGCTCGAATTACGACGATCGCCGAAGAAATCGATGACGCGTGGCGCGCATTTTCTCGGACCGACATCATCGTCATCTCTCGAGGATGAATATTTCATCTCGCCGACCATCCCGCCTAAAGAGGAAAAAAACGTAGATCGAAGGAGAAGGACATATTAAATTATGAATATTTCATCGACGGAAATCATCCGCGAGCGATTCCGCATCGCGATGGAGTTCTCCGGATTTTATTCCTCATTCTTTCCTGTTCTTTTCTTTTCTTTCTCTCTTTTTCTCTTTCTTTCTTTCTTTCTCTCTCTCTCGCTCTCTCGCATCGCGTCTCTTAAAGTCGAACGCGCAAAATGGCTGGTCCATTTCGCCATTATTGAATCGACAAAAAAAAAAAAAGATGTACAGACACACGTTCAAATATTGAACGGTACCGAATGTCAGCTGCAAATGGGAATTTATGTCCCGGGAAAGCGACAGATAATTCACAGTTTGAGAACCGAAGTCTACCCATTGTGCGCAGCACTCTCGTAATTCGTTGTTAACTCTTTACCGCGTGATTTTCGACGCGGTATAAATTTTCTTTCCCTTTTGCAGCTCGGCTATCGGTGTTGCAATAGCGTTTACGTTATGAAAACGTACGATTTTTCCAAGCAACTCGATTCCACAGAGGTTTTGCGAACATATCCCGGGTTAAGTGATATCTAAAGTGCGCCGAGATAAATGAATCGAACGCAGAAATAGTATTAAAAAAAACGTAGGAAACTAATTAAGATGTAGCGATAGAGAGACGCGTACACACATACACACACAAGGATGAAAAAAGAGATTAAAGTTGGAGAAATAGTTTTCTTTCTCGCTATTTGTATTGTGCAACGCGAATACACGGACACGCCCGTGTATTCGGTTTTTGTAACCTACTAGCTCTCTTTTTTGCACGTTCGAAGGTTAATTAACGTTTGCAAGGATTTTTCTTTTGACGCAGAGATAAGGGAACGTCATCGATGGATAAATAAAGCGAAAAAAAAAAAAAAAAAAGACCACGGCGACCCTTTGAGGGCGATAATTAAAGCTACGATGTAAGAGCGGGGGGTGGGAACGGAACAGGAAGAGAACACGCGAGAAGAGAGTGGGGAGATGGCTTTGAAAGCCAAGGATGTTTTACAGCTTGCGGAGAGAAAAGAAAGCGATAAAACTCTGCTTTGGAGGTGCGTGCGCTTTTTTTCGCGTCAATTTACGACGGAATCTCGTTTATAGAACTAGTTCCATGTGTTCTTTTCTCCGTCTTTCCTCACCGTCGGCCTTGAAAAACGGAAATTATTCGCATACATAGATATAATAAAATTGACGCTGTTTTACACACACACGGTACATTTTTCAATACGAACTGTATCGTTAAATATATGCGCGCTCGTACGAACATTCATTGAATAGAGAACAAAATTAACGATTGCGACAAGATACATTGCCATTCCATGGTTTTTTTTTTTTTTTTGTTTCTAATTAACATCTTATACGACACGTAACACGAGACAGGTATGCGAAATTTGCAAAATTCCTGGGACGCGCCCATATGCCGCTCGCGAATTACTAGGACTTATCCGCGAGATTCCATTCAAATCGCGACTGCAGAGGAATGTCGTTCTGGCCGACTCTGTGTGTCGTAACGGTTATAGAACCGTTTCGATGTCCTGCAGGCGCGGGAACTCCCGATTGCACCTGCGGCACGTAGGCGTTGCGCACATTGTGTGCGTGCGCGCGACGTTATGTTAATTCCGATGAGTTTGTATCTTCTTTTTGTTATTTTTTTTCTTTCTCTTCGCTAATGTCGCAGAACCATTAGATTTATACTCAGCTGAGAAACTACTGGCTACCGATGGTAGAAAGAAATTTAAAAAAACAAAGAAATAAAAAAAAAACAATTTTGCTTGAAAAACTCAAATAGAAAAATTGATTAGTTACACTTTTGTTTTTTTTTTTTTTTTTTATTTCACGATAATGGCGAATTAGGTAAATAAGTCAAGTTTTCTCATGAGCGGTAATTTATGCATAGATGCCGTTGCGTTATATTGTACGCGCTTCCATTTCTCTCACGTGCGCATAAAGTTTATGCAAATATCGTTACGATAAGTTCAGCTCTCCGCGGAGAAAGCCAAGATTTAATCCCGAAAGAGAAAGAAGGAGGCGTGGAATTGAACGGAAGAGAAGAGAGCGAGGGTTGTCGACCGCTCTAATAAACATATTCACGCCGCGCGCTGATGTAACAATACGGATTTCATAACGAAGAAAGTAAACGCGCGCGCGGTGCGTGAGTAGGTACGATACATCGATGCCATGTGCACACGTGATCGATGTAGCGCGTTACACTCAATGATGACAATTTGGAAACACGAATTTGACAAACAATCGTTATTGTATATTGCAGAGAGAATTCGTATTTAACGCGGTGAAGAGAGAGAGAGAGGGAAAGAGAGAGAGAGAGAAGAAGGGAAGAGCGTTATATTTATTCATTAATCTATTTGGCATGCGATCAGTATGTTTATAATTAATGTAATAATTAATACATTCTATTGTAATTTGCGCATGTAACATATATATATATTTGATATAATTTAATTATTTGATAATATTATACACACGTATGTCTATTACAGTATTCCGGTTTTGATTATTACTTTCTTTCTCTTTCTCTCTATTTTCCTAATTTATTATTATTATATATGTTTTAACAAATATAATTTAATCAATGAAAATAGTGCTGTGTTACATTAGACATTACATCACAGTTTACCGCGATTGTGCGGTCTCGTTGCTATCAGAGCGCTGTTCTCCATTTCTACACCTATTACTAAGACCTATCCTATCGAGTATCCGTATGTTTTATATTAGCAATCGAGCGCGCGAGCATGGAGTATTGATACTTTAAAGCGTCCCTAGTCACGTCCGATGGTTAAATTCGCAAAAGTTTGCAGAGCGTGTCGGTGATTAGAGAGATTAAAGGGAAACATTTTATCGTAAACGACTCGAGAGAATTTAATTCGCTTGAAAGCTTTCGGGGTGAGCGAGCGTTTGCAAAGTTGCATCGACGAAATTCGCAAGCGAACGAGCGAGTTTGCGCGCGCGCTTGCGAAAGAGAGAGAGAGAGAGAGAAGGGAAAGAGAGATAGAGAAACAGCTTTCGATAGGCCGCGTTGAATTTTGCGGCGCTTTCATCGTTTAATCGAATTTTCCGCTTAGTATTACGATCGCGATCGAATCGTTGGCGCGCACACATACGTACTCTGTACACATCGATCGATGAGATTTAACAAATCGAACGAACGCCTCGACGATATATTCGTAACATTTCGCTTATCAAACGATATCGTTTGATTACACATTTCAAATGGATTGATAATTTTGGTAACGAAATATTCTCCGCTATCTCTCTCTTTCTCTCTCTCTCTTTCTTTCTCTCTTGTTCAGAACTTGTTATTTGCTTTTCATTTTTAAAATTCACGACTGCATAGCGGAACACGTTTGCTCCTTCTGTTAATAAAAATTATAAATTTACCGATCGTGTAAAAATTTAAAATTGCGATTTTAAATGTTTACAATGACACGGGATAATAATTAGTGCGCGTAATTCTCTCTTCCCGATACGATATACGTATGTAATAATATAAAATGTAAAAACTGTCGGATATAACAAAATTAGTGAGTCCGCGGAGATTATTAATAAAGTCTAAACAGCGCGCATACATATATCCGGCGAACTTTGTGAATTTGCGGATTAATTTATGAAACGTCAATTTATTAATTAAGCACGCTCGGCCGGGCACTGTGAGCCGAGTCAGGCCGCTTTATTATTAATCGGTCTATTATATTACACATACGCTCGCGCGCGGAGTCGCAACGATTGATATTTCGTTTGCAGTCGGCGGCCGCGGCCCTCACTTTTTCGCATGTCGCATTTCGCACGTGACACAACTCCCACAATCGCCCGCTCATTCCCACCACTGTGACGTCAACCGCGTTGCACGCAATTGCAGTTATTAGCGGCGTTTACCTTCGCCATCCTCTTTGCATCTTCCGTATATAAAACGCGTACGTAATTTGTTCGGATTTACGTATTTATGTACTGCACGTCTATTGATCAAGCTTTTTTTTATTTTTTGATATTTTGTAAAAGTTGCTTCTGAATTTCTCGAACAAACTATTAAATGACAATCAAATCTAGATGTAATTAATAAACTTGCTAATAATGCACTTGCGTAAGCGAGATAACATATTGTTGTGAAAAGAATCTCACCGGTGATCTCTTCTCACTTTGTTTTCTTAACGCTACAATTGCGCACGTAGAAAGAAACGTTAAACGAATCTCTTGTGATCGCGAATTCATGAATAACTTCGGTTAGATATATACGTATTCGTAGATCCGCGTCTCGAGAAATAAAAGCGAAGTTATGCGGCTCTCCCGTAGCTCGTTCGCGCATACCGGGTGTCCTTGCGGAATGAAAGTACTTGGGAAAACGTGACCTCTCCCGTTTCATGTATGAGTAATGTTTGGTCTGTGAGCTGAGCCGCGTGTGTTTCGAGATTCCATCAACAGCCTCTCTCGGAGCGACCACAATCGAGATAGGAATGCGCTTTTCTATTAGCAATCATTATCGTAAAAAGATAATAACGGAGCTTGACGAAGGCACGCGAAGGGAAATACCGATGAAGTCAATGAGCGGCGAATTTACATGTGTGTTCTATTTCTATGTGTTCTAGGTATCCAAATTTAGTATCAAACTTGGAAATAAATATTTTTATAAAAAATTGAAGAGAAAAAGATTACATTCAACGAAGGACACGCACACATATACGCATTTATAATACATGCATTTGTAAATTTATTTTTAATTGAGAAAAAATTGAAATTTAGATTTTTTTATTGCTTCTTTTTACACGTACAAAATTAATTGGAAATTTTAACGGTAATTACGGTTTACATGGTTAGGTGATTTTTTACCGTTTGGTTCTTGGTCGTGTTTCAGAGATAAAATAGTAGTACGATACATCGAACGTCGTCGCGAGCAAGCTCGGGAAAGCGGAGCGGACCACGTGAGATCCAGTCTCGGGAGGACGGGGAAAATATGAGCATCTCGTGAAACCGGAAGAAACGAGTTTCATCTGGAAGGTCATCATGGAAACCGAGGAGCTCACCAGACTTGTCGACGAGATCTACAAGGTAAGCAATTCTATTTTTGATCTTGCGTTCAATGATCGAATTGTATCGACGAGAGAGAGAAAGAGATTCTAGTTCTTGGATGAGAAAATATTTACGGGAAAACTAGCTCGAGTGCCATAAAAAGTAATTGTTTGTTTTTTTTTTTTTTTTTGTCAAATTTCGTAGAACAACTCGCGAAATCCGCGCTTTTCGCGAGGCGATTTACAAAGGAGTAGATCTCGCGATTGAAGCCTCGGGGTGTTCGGCATAATTATCACGATGGCACTCGGCCACGACGGCCTCGTTATGATCTCGCGGAGATCGCATCGAAATAACGAGGTAACCGTCGGTTAACCCCGTTATCGCGTGACCAGAGTTTATGGGGTCCCGTTGCTGACAAGCGAGCCCCATGGCGCGAGTATATCACGCTGCGCGCAGTTATGTTTCAGCGGGGTTATTCAGCAGGTGCAGTGGGAGGGTGTGTGGAACGCGCTCTGCGTGGATATTAATTGGCTTCCGATCCACACAGGAGGGGGGGGGGAAGGGTAGGTCCGCACCCCTTTCCGCACGTGCCATCGATAGGAGGATGTTCTGTCATCGGACGTTCTACTCTCGACCGCACATTCCTTAGTTATTATGTATTAATATTTCATAAAATTAATATCCAATATATGAAATTAATGTGGTCATATACGTGTATGTGGTAGTTACATGTATACATATATATATATATATATAAAACAAATGATATTGAGTCGCTAGTACCAATTGCGAGCATCTCACTGTACAAGAGCTTATTATTTATATTTTTTTCTTTATTTGGTAACTTCATGTTTTTCTCGAAAACAAATTTGTCTGATGGATTTGAAGACTTTGCTTACACATCTGCAAAGTCCCTTTGGAATTCCTTTTAGCTTCTCGTAAATCTCTTCCAAAGTCGACTTTAATCATCTCTCGAGTTGCGAAAGATGTCGAGAGGGACAAATATTCTTATTTTTTTCTTTCCCTTTTTCTTTTACTTTATTACTATTTTATGTGTAACTTTATCCTTCTTTCTCTTTCTCTGTGGTTGTCTTATAATAAGTAATAGTTGAAAAGGAGGCCACGTGTTAACGATCGGTCGTCCACGTGGACTTAACAAGGCCGCGCTCATCGTTGTGCATGTTCATTAGAGCGTTCATTACGACCACTTGTCACCTCCGCACAGCCTCGAAGCCCTTAACGGTCGAGAGGATTAATTTTTAATATCTCCCACCCTTCCTTCGCTTCCCCTCTGCCTTTAGAACGAAGCACCCGCGGTGAATTCATCTTCTTCTCTTTTTTCTGCCTTCGGAGAAGAAAAAAATTCATTAGCATGTCGCAATATGGCGCTATTCGACGCAATAAGTGGAGCGCGATCGCCCATATTTCCGTTTTTTTTTTTTTTCGTTTTTAATAAAATGATTTGCATCTGATTTATAACCAACTGAGAGAAATATTTTTTGCGTTTAAAGGAATGCGGATAAAAACGTTTCGTTGCGCGCGAATCAGAGAGAGAATTTATATACAATATATTAATAATGATTTATTATTTGATTTATAAAAACATTTTTTAATAGGAAACGTTGTAACACGTTATAACGCGAACATTTTTTTTCAACGTGTGCGATCGCAAAATTTATGTGTAAATGGTAAAGGTAGTTAAAAGTTTCACGCCAAATAGCTCTCTTGTACAATTATGAAAATGACTGGTTTTTTTTTTCAAGAAGTTTACGGTAGTTTCGAGTATCGCGATTTATTAAAGAATAAACCACAGTTTACCTCCAAAACATGCATTATGCATTAATGTAATCGGAACTGACGTGATTTAAATATTTCTTGCATTCATCAAGGCGAGCTACGACAAAGTTCATCGACCGTAAAATTTTCAACACAATTTCTTGTCTACGTTTAATTTATTTTCGTGTTCTAATTTACTTTTTTTGTTCACTACTAATTTGTGATTTATGACGAATATTAGACAAATGTCGATGGGCCGAAGTGTGAGTTACGTTCGATGGATTGGTCACGTGCAATTAGAAAAACTAATCCGATTGAAAAAACAAACGTTTTGCTGATAGTTTAATTAAATTTTTGTTGATATTCGGTAAAAATTGAATACGTCAAGTCGCATCGATCGATGCTCAGCAGCGTTGTAAATACTGTAATTGCGCGCGAAATATGAATAAAAAAAAAAAAAAAACCCAAGTTCATCAATTAAAAATCGCTTGTTCTTCAACGTTTCGCGCGAATTTATTCCGACAAGAAAAAATACCCTTAAAATTTGACCAATTCGCAAAAGAGGAAGAAGAAAATCGTGCGATCGATTCGAATATCGTCACTTCAGCACGCTGTGAAATTTTCATGTATTATAAAACGCGCGCGTTCACGTAGCACGAACAACAAAGCGGACGCAATAAAAATATTGGAGCGTTAAGTAAACAAAAAAGAAAAAAATGTATTTCAAGACTTTTATTTATCATTTATTTGCTATTTTATTTTCTTATTTACTCTCTAAAAATATGATGTATGTGTTTCCTGTATTTTTGCGCGCGTGCGTACGTCCGTACAACGATGCTGCTGCTGTTGTTGCTGCTGCTGCCGCGGTCATCGATTTTTTTGAACTCGTTACTCACTGCCGATTTATCGAAAAGCTTGTGCAAAAGGGAAGGGCGGGCGTCATTGGCGTAAAATATTCCGGTGGAAATCAAACAAGGGGCGGACTGCATAAACGGACTGCACTCACGATGCATCTGTCGACGCGGGCTGAAATATCCGGAGTTATTACATGTCCGAATTGCAGGGTAAATATTTCGTCGCACTCGACACGCGCGAGCGCACTCTCACTCTCTCTCTCTCTTTCGGTTTTGCATCGGACGTTGGAATAAAATGACGGCGTGAACGCAAAATCAGAATGTAAAAATTGCAATAAAAACCATGCTGCTTTGAAATTCGTGTGTGTAACACGCCGGAAATTCATCCGCGAAAATGTCACAGAGAAGGCGGCAATAGAAACTTTCGCGTTTAGTCAAATCCGAATCAAACGCAAACGTTCTTGTTATTCTCGTTGCCATCATTATTGAAATCGATCGTTTAATGTTAATTAGTAAATTACTATATTTAGAATATGTGAAATAAAAACGCCAATATCGCATAAAATATCGCCGACGCGCACGCTAGTGATCCGTATACAACTTGTAACTGAAAAAAGCTAAACTCTCGAAGGTCGAGTTCTGACGCGTTATAATCCGAGATGCGGCATAAATAATGTCAATGTAAATTGGTTTACTTTTCGAGAGGTTGCCTCTCGAAAAATTCTCGAGAATTTTATTTTTTGTTTCTATTTCTCTCATCGATTTCAAGGACACTCTTGACAAAGAAATATATTGCAGTTTTATGACAAATCCGAGACAGAAAAAGAGAGAGAAAGAATCATGTAGAAAGCTAGAGAGAGAGAGAGAGAGAGAGAAAAGAAGTTTACACGAAAGAGGAAGAAGAAAGGAGAGGTGAGAGGAGGAATGTAGATTCCATCCACACACCGCGCCCAGGTCGAGATGGTCGCTCATAAATATTCATACGGGATTCCTAAAGCCAGGAAAACATCTATTCCTGCAGATGCGCACGTGTGTCACCCTTCTCCCCCTCTTTGCCACTCGTGGTGCATTCGGCAATTTCGCGGACGGCCAATGGGAAAAACGTTGGCCAACTGCGAGGAAAAATTCCGGAATTACGACTTTTCTACCGAGTAAATCGGAATTTTCTGACACGGAGTGTTTAACGTGCTCGCAGCTTGTTTTATATTATTAAACGTTTTCTTCGTACGCGTTTAAATTGCGGAAACGCAAATTTTGTCAACGGAGAAACGCGAGAAAAAATTCTTAAAAATCAAAAATCTCTCGACAAAATTTCCAAAAAAAGAAAAATTCCATTTTTACGAGAATATTATTTATAAAAAATATTATTGAATAAAGTTTTCCGTTTCTAAACAGAGCGTTAATTGAAATTTAAAGGTAGGAAAATCTCGCGCTGTTTCTTCTGAACAAGATATCTACCTCTTTAAGACCTCGAGTCTCCGGAAAGATTAAAGATACATTAAGTGAGCGGGAGAAAAATATGTATAGTTAACGGATGCCGCGGAGAATTGCGCGCTTTACTCGGGCACGCGCGTAAAAAGATCGGATTGCGGGATCGTAATAATTTTACCGCGGTGAAAACGTTCGGGCATCGCGGATCGCGGAGGCGGGTGAAAGCGAAAATGCAGTAAATCTGACAATAGTCGTTCACTACGACGGCATCCTTTACCGACAGTTAAAAAAACATCCTGTTTACGGAAGAAGCGATGATAAACCGTCTTTTTATACGTGCATAAAATGTTAATGTTTGAGGAAAATTTATACGTTTAACTTTTGATGAATTGTTCATAAAGTGAGTAAAATAATGAAGCTGGTTAAATATTATCGTGTACTGAGTGAGTGAATAAAATTCATTCATTGCTTAATAAATTAATAAACGAGTGATATTGCTATAAAATTACTGATGATTATATTAAATAAAGTACCATCGAATGTGAAATGTATTAAAGAACTTATTGACTCGAATTTTATGTGAGCGCGACGAATGCGTTTTTACGCTGCAAAATTCCGATGAAACATTCTGTAATAAAAACCTACAACTGTATCGGTGAAAGGAGAAAAATAGCGGATAATCGTGATAAAATCTCGGGCGGAGCAGAAAAAGCGTAATGGTCGGACGTAAGAGTAACTGTTCACGGGCGATCAAGAAGGTTAATCGAGTAAACAGAAGTGACTGGGAAATGAATCAGAGGATGACCTTTTCAAGCTATAAAATATCTTTCGATCTCTCTATATATAGTTTATTTCCGTATTTATGAACAATTTTACTAAATTTATTACGTCGTTATTTTGTATTTCAAAAGTTTTTTTTAGATAATCATGCTTATAATAAGTAATATTACACGTTGATGAGAAAAAACAAAGTTAACT